CTCACAAAATCATACTCAAAAGGTGGGGAGCGGGTTGGATTAGATAGTTGTGGCCATTTTTGCTTTTTGCTTTTGCTTTTGCTTTTCACAGAAAACACAAAATCGCCGAGGGTACTCGACAGAGTATCCGAAGCACCAAAAAAAGAAGAAAAACTCACAAAATCATACTCAAAAGGTGGGGAGCGGGTTGGATTAGATAGTTGTGGGCCTTTTTGCTTTTGCTTTTGTTTTGATTGTTCTTTTTGGCTGTTGCAAGTTGCTCATCTCTGGTTGCAAGGTGGCTTGGATACTCTCATGGAAGGAAACATTGAACTGGAAGAAGGAGTCATTCCCTTCATCCGAATCACCATAGCACTCTTTCAGGAGCCATCTCGTCAAACAGGTGGTCTCCAGAGGTTTCAGATCGGGTTCCTCACTCCGGTGGCCAACGGAGTAGGAGCGGAATAGGGTTCTGAAATCCACCTCGGTGGTGCCAGGTGATACATTTTGAAAGATACATTGATCGGGAAGAAGGGGTGATTCCCTTTATCCGAATCATCATAGCACTCTACTAGGAGCCATCTCGTCAAACAGGTGGTCTTCCGAGGTCTCAGATCGGGTTCCTCATTCCGGTGGCCAACGGAATAGGAGCGGAATAGGGTTCTGAAGTCTACCTCAGTGGTGCCAGGTGATACATTTCATGCTTTGCAAATGGACAGGCACCTTCTCGTGGTGCAAGGCGTTAAGCTGGATCTCTGCTTTGAAGTGGCTGTGTTCAGTCGGCCGTTTTCAAGCAAGAAGCTGGTGAACTGAGACCTGTCCAACACTTTACGACTGTTGGTCCTAGGTGATGAGGTTGGCGCGAAGGGATGAGAGATGGGAGATGACAGGAGTGTTGTCCTAGCGAGCAAAAGGTAAGATGTCTGAACCATCTCATTCAAGTTGAGTTAGTCTGCTTAACAGTCGGGAGAGAAGGAGACTTATTGACAATGTAGTGATGCATGCCAGATCACACAAGCTGAATGCAGACTGCATATCGGCACGGAGGGTTCCCTGTTGGATCTTGCTGTTCCTCTTCTCAATGATGCCTCTCGAGGATCCCGCGATGTAAGTTGGAGCGTGGAGGCACCAGATGCAACGAACGTATGTTAACTCTGCAAAGAGAAGGCTCCGACGCAAATCAGGGCCGTAAGGGCTGGTGACATATCTCGAGGCAGAGCTCCACAAGAGTAAGTCAAGCGCATCCAAGACTCCTTTGCTACAATGTTATCCTGGGTTGCGCTGGGTCTGACGGTGACGCCGACGTTGGAGCAGGTGGGCGCCTGGGATGACAAGGAGATTGGATTGCAGCCTTGTCTGGTTCCTCGTAGCGGACCCATTTGCGCACTGCCGCTTAGGACCTGATCCCTCAATGTATGATAGATCTCAAGAAGAGTTGGGATTGCAACTGTTTTGGCAAGCTTCATGAGTAGCGTACGTGGGTAGCCGCGAACGCAGCTCTGGGAAGAGAAGTATTGTCTCCGTCGAATTTCTCTACCGCATGAAATGGTGTCTTGCTTCATGTGCTGCCATCCCTTCCTCACTGGGCTCGGTCATGGCAGGAATGCAGCCGGCTATGGTCTTTGGCGTTGGTGCTGTGGCTTCGGGGTCCTGACCAGCATAATACGACAGGCCGCGATCGGGCTGGTGTTTGAAATGAGGTGGGCTCTGCCAGTTGGGATTCAGTGTACATTTAGTGGTAGTACAGTAGCAAGCCAATGTAGGCCCGAAGGAAGGCTAAGGCGGTGATGTCGTTGAAAATGGATATAAGCGTACCTCAGCAAAAATAATCTGGTGGCTGAGATACCTGGCTCTGTAGCAGCTCGAATAGCGGGTTTGTTCGGTACAATACAATTTAGGTACGGGCGATGAGTTATTATTCGACTCCGAATCCGCAGCGTCACTGACCTTCAACATTGCGCGACAATCTGCTACTCTAACAGACTGGCGTATATTCAGTCTCTCAATCTGAAGAAAACGAACCTTCCGGTGTCAATAGCCCCCGCGTCTCAATGCGAATTGATGTCGGGACGCATCCGCCGCAATCGGACGGGATGTAAACCATGCCGGCGTCGAGGCAAACGGGTTTGTGGTAGCCCCGACAAGGCCAAAGCTGTATGCTAGACATCACTAACACCGCGTCCAGTGCGATGAGAACAAACCCATGTGCAAAGCATGCGAGCGACTATCGCTCACTTGCCGCTATTCCACCGAGTTTGTCTCATACACCCCCAGACATTCTTTGCCCTCAAACCAGCACCGACCGCCGTCATCGCAGCAGTCGACCTGCTTCGGTAAGGAGAATGGCGACAGTGGCAAGGCTTGTGTTCTGAGAGATAACTACCATGTTCCAAAAGTCATCAAGACTTCGCCAATGTCGGTGGCTCGCGGCCTGTCACTCTCTCAACCGGACATGCTCTACTTTGGCCATTTTGAGCGTCTAGTACGCGCCAGTCTACCTCCTGCTGTTCAAGCCATGGAGTTCCACACGTGCAATGACTCGTTTCTGCGATTTGCTGTCCTTTGCCTGGCTGCATCTCATCTCTCAACACTTGACGCATCGCTAACGAGTCGATCGCCGACTGGCAATGGTAGAGGGACAGTTACTAGCCCTGTTCCAAGTCCTCTACACCAACATCATGCTCGCCGGTACCATGATATTGCCCAGAAAAATGCAGTCGACGAGGATTCACACGATCCATCTCTGGTCCTCATCGGCAAAGTTCTCCTTGCTTACTACCATCACGCGTCGACCGATCACCTGAAATTCCGTCTTGCAGTGTGGGAGACTATCCGCTTCGTTCGCCGACGTCAGGTCCAGATCATGGCATCTCCCACAGGTGACATGGCTCTGCAGCTATGGTACCGTCTATGCAACTCGCACCGCCCTGCGAAACCGCCCGCTCTCTTAATTGACGGCGAAGAGCCAAGCTTGTCGGGATCAAGTCTGGCTTTTCCAGGTGCCGATGAACATTTACATTGCCGATGCATCATTGGAATGTCATCCGATGATCTCATCTACGACATTCTATTCAAGACCATGGAACTCAGAAGACGCATTTTATTGTTCCGTGGCGCTTCTGCTGTCCTAAAAGTTCCCGAGAGCTCACCAGAACTGGGCGTTCTGGTCTACCGGCTACTGAACAGAATGATGGATAGGCCGGTGACACAGCTGGAAGAGCAGGAAGCCGCCTCCAGCTTTGTCCGAGGCGAGCACTTACTCGGGTTACTCGAGGTCCAAATCCAACGACTGGGGGTGTGGAGGTCGAGGGTATCATCGTCTGCATTTGCACCCAAACAAACTCCGCGAAAGTGCGAGCCTGTGTCGATCCTCAAATCACCACACTTGAGTCAGCACGGATTTGTCAACCATAGAGACAAGATGAACTACTTGTACTACCTGCTCTGCATTCTGATCTTTGAAAGTACTGGCGCCAGTCAAATCTCGAGCTCAGCACCATGGCGAAGCGGTTCCGAGGCATCAAAGGGGTGTGACATCATGAACGAGGCACTGTGCGTGATCAATACCATTGATTTTCAACAGTCAGCTCTGGTCGATATATATGCTTTCAGCCTTGCCGAAGTGCTGCTTCAACTTTGCTACACCTTCCCCTCCACCGAGGTCTTCAACCATATCCTCGACGTTGTCTGGCCTCGCATGGAAGCGGGTGCGCGGGGCTATGAGAATTCCCATATGCCCACCCATCTCGCCAAAAGAATCATCGCTCTCATTGCCGACGAATGGCATAACTCCCGGAGAGTCCTCCTGGCAATGCCAGCTGTCCCGGAAGATACTCCGAAATCGGTGCTTTTTGACTTGAATCACCAGTTCGACGTCGTGGTGTGTGGTTGCGACACGACCGGGCGAGGGTCCTATTTCATCGACAAAATCCCCCTTCCTTAAGTTTGGCGGGAGCCGACCCTCATCAGAATTGCAGTTGAAATCGGTGTCGTGCTATCTGTGTGATCATGTTTCATTGTCACAGGCTGGTGGTATGATCCAACGGGCTCTGGAAGGCGAGATTGGACCTTGCCAGCCTTACCAGACAATGCAGACGTACCCAGCAGCTTTGGACCGTGGCCCATGACTGGCGGTAACAAAGGGTGATGGCGGTCTAAGCAGCGTCTGGCATGGCAGCCTCGCAGCTTAGATGTGGAGATTCTCATCATGCACTAAACCCATCTTGGTCAATTTTACGCCGGTAACATTACGGTATCGATTGTGGGCCGGCCCAGTCTCCAACCCCAGTCGCCTGAACCAACGGCAGGAAAGAGACGGGGTCTCCCCATCATGTCGACAAGATGATGCAGCATGGTTGATATGCATGTGGATCGTTAACGTGAGAATAGTCCTCCAGGACTCGCATAAAAGGTACCTGTGTCCTCGACTCTGCGTATGTTCCTCGAGAACTTCCCCTCGGGATTCAATTGTCCAAGTTACCCACCTTCAACTTCCTACCTCCAGTTTCAGCCATGGCACCGACAGCGAGATGGACAAAGCTGTGCGAGGATGATTCTATCCGCCGGTCCTCGCAAGCTCTAGCTATTGCCGGGGACTCTGCATACATCTTCGGAGGGGAACTACGACCCCGTGAACCCGTCGATTCCAGCGTATATCAAATCCCCACCAAACCAAGTAAGTGCAGACAGCATACATACCTACGCTGCCGTACTTTGCTCAGACCTACCCGTCCCAACTACCAGCAGCACATGTGTTTCCTGTATTAGCACAGCACTAAACTCACGGAACTATCAGGCCAGAACCAGACCCAGCACCCTCTTCAAAAGATCCCCTTCACCTCCCAACAACAGAACCAAGAAACTCCCCAGCCACGAGTCGGCCATGCCGCCACAACGCTCCGTGGCAAAATATACATCTTCTCCGGCCGCAGCGGTGTCGCCATGGCCCCGATCGAAGAACACGGCTCATTCTGGGTGTTTGACCCAACGCAAAACTCCTGGTCTCGCTTGACTCCCAAGGACCCTGACGCTCCCTACCCCCAGGGACGAAGTTACCACGCCCTCACGGCGGCCGATGACGATAGCCAAAACACCATTTTCCTGCACGCGGGATGTCCCGAGTCCGGCCGCCTCCATGATTTATGGTCCTTTGACGTGTCGAACCGCACATGGCGCGAATTGCCGTCTGCTCCTGGCCCCGAGCGCGGAGGCACCTCTGTCGCTTATCTCGGGGGCAAACTATACCGTATGAACGGGTTCGACGGCAAGACCGAGCAAGGTGGTCGAATCGACGTCTTTGACCTCGGCCAGGCGCGCTGGTTGGACAAAGAGTCAATCGAGTTCGTGCCCGATGGTGTCAATGGCCCGCCTCCCCGGAGCGTCAGTTGTCTCGTGCCTGTGAACCTAGGTGGCGGCTCGAACTCGAACAAGCCTGGTCTGCTCACCATGTTTGGCGAGAGAGATCCTTCTTCGCTGGGCCATCAGGGCGCGGGCAAAATGCTCGCTGATGTGTGGTTGTTTGACCTTGAGTCGAAATCATGGACTGAACTCGAGCTTCGTCTTGATGGAGGTGGTGAGAAGCCTGTTCCGCGAGGTTGGTTTGGTGCGGCGCCTGTTGGCGCAAATGCTGTCGTTGTGCATGGAGGCCTGTCCGAGTCGAATCAGAGACTGGGTGATGTCTGGTTGTTGGAGCCGTTGCTTTGATTAATTATACTGTCTGGACCTTGATGCTCCGCTCCGTACGGTCCCTCACTGGCACGTGCACACTGTGACTACCTAGCCTAGGACGTCGAGTCACAAACTAAAACAAATTTCCAACGTTTCCTTTCTTCAAAGTACCACTGTATGCATAATGCAGGCTCGGCTGCCATCATCAGATCACCCGTTCCATCCACATTGATTACATTGGCAGTACATCGTCGACATTGACTGTAAGCAGAGCAGAACCCACCAGGCAATTTGCTCAAAATCCCCCCAGAGACCCAGCCACAGCATGAAGTAAATTCATTATAGCCCCGCTGAACGCGTCTAACCACGGGCACTCTGTCAATCACTCAAGTCACACTCGTATGACAGACATAAAACACCTACTCCAGGTATCCCCTCACAGGCACCTTAGGTACAATGGACCAACGTGCCCTCCCTCTATAGACCACTATAGTGCACTGCACACGGTTTTTTATGTCATCCCTTGGTCCAGGCCTTGCAATCAGTTACTTGCCACCCGGTTTTACTGAGCAAACATATCCTGTTCCAGCATATCGGCATACATCTCCAACGCCGTGCCGATCATATCGACAATGGCCCAGCTGGTATTGCCCTTGAACGTCTTACTCCAGACTCGGACGACGGTAACACTCAGAGCCCTGATTTTCCGTGTATCGTCGAGCAACTCGCGACTCTCGTTGAGAACCGTGTGGTCGTTGGCATCGCTCGTCAGTAGGGGCACCGTCGTCTCTGTTTCCTCCAGCAGACTACGCACCCACAGCAACAGCTTTCGCTCGTGCTCCGTCACGGGCGGACCACCTACACTCTTGAACCGCGACAGCACCGCCAGCCACTTGCTGAGCAAAAACGCACATTCCAGACTGCACAGCGAGTGCTGGATCGACCAGAAGAAGGTCTGTGTGCGAGCCACGAAATCAATACCAAGCCGGACGGGGATCGACAAAGCGTGGGCAGAGTGTAAAAGAGCCGGGGTCAGCCGCGGGTCGCGCCGGATATCCGGCGTGTTGTAGAGCGACCGGGCTATTTGTAACGGATCTCTCGTCTCGAGGTGCCGCAATGGTCCCATGTCCACGTGCAGCCGGATATAAGCCAGACCCAACAGTGCAGTCGAGGTGAATGCCACTGGACCATTGGGGTTTTGTGGATCGAGGCTCGACTCGGGCGTACGTTTCCATCCGGCCTTCCACGAGCTAAGACCGCGGTCCAGCACCGCTATGTCGTCCCCACGTAGACTGGTTCCCGCAACCCCGGGCCATGCGAGAGACAGTTGACGTGCGAAGAAAATCTGTTGAATGATGGCATGGATGAGGATATAATTCCCGAGAGGTGATATGGGCGTCGCTGTAGCTTGGTTTTGCTTGGTATTGAATAGTCGGGTAAAGGCGGTTTGAAACGGCATTTGCGGCGATGCGTTGGCTTGGTGCAGTTTTCTCCACTGCTCAGCCGTAGTGGCTTTCCATTCATTCGCCGGATCAGGCAAATTCAATTTGATCTCCGAGTTGAGGATTAGAGGAGGCACATTCCAGGTGATGGAGTGAAGGTTAAAAAAGCAGTACACGATCAATTTGGTCCGTTTGTCCCCCTCGATCCGGATCCAGTCCTCCCATATAAGCTCGTCCGGAGACTGCATAATCTCCGGACTGGTCAGCCCTGCTTCTCGTACAAGGCGGGCGAGTATACTCTGGAATGCCAGGGCTTCGCGAAGCAATTCTGTATGTCTCTCCCACGTGGCAAACGCCGTAAGCAGCAGCAACGCTTGTATTGAGTCCATCGACTCCTTGCTATCCGCCGCAACTGCAGATTCGGGCGAAACTTGTTGAAATGGACTGCTCGAGTGGCTTTGACCTGCGAATCCACCACTAGGGGACTGAGCCATAGACCCGGCCCGAGGTCTATTCCACGATTGGGGAGCTGCCAATTCGTCACGCCGTCGTATCTGTTCCATGACCACCGCCTTGGCCGCGTAAAAGAGTTCTATCCCACGGCTGTTCTCAAAGCGGTATTGTGCGCCGACGGCTGCCAAAGCCAGGATGAGTTCTGGACCACTTCCTGCGACTTGTAGAGTAGGGACATGGATAAACGGAAGGTGTTCATGAAAGCCGTTGACGTAACCGGCCAGATACCGAGACAGCGAATGTCTCGATGGAGGAATAAATCCTTTGGGCATTACACTGTCGAACGCGGCCAGTTTCGCGACAAATATCGACCGGTCGGTATCAGACACGTCCCAGGTGGTCCTGACTTTGATGGCTTCCGCATCTTCGATTGTGGTTCGCGCTTCTGCCCGATGGAAGTCAGGCTCTCTAGGCTCGGGTTGCAGAGATGGCAATCTTGATCCGAACCGGGAGAATGTGCTTGTTTCTTCTTGCGGAATACCAAGCTTGCTGTCGAGGGTATGCTCACCGTTCAGATGCGGTCGTGAGATGTTGAGGTGATCACTTCTCAACTCTGGAGAGTGATAATTGTCCACATGGTCATTGCCAAACATGTTGGCATACCATTCCGACGAGAGACCAACCGAGTCCAGGAATACGGTGAAATCTTGCATTGGATCACCCAGGTCCGGTGGTTCGAACAAAGACGGCTGCTGGCCGTAGCCTTCGGCGAGCATGCGAGGTTGATACTGTCCCTCCGACACGGTAGCTGGCATAATCGACTGCAAGGGCTCACTGAGCTGTTCCTGCGTCACCTGTGGCATTCCTGACATGTAGTGATCTTGCCCACTTGACGCGACGTGGCTGGCGGCATGCGACAACAAATTGAGATCATAGCCCCATGAGGGATCGAGCGGCGGCGCGCCCATCGCTGATGCCTGATGCGAAGGCATTCCCTCAACCGTGTTGATGCCGTTGGACGGTTGCATGAGTTGGGGATCGAGCATGTCCATCATCCCTCTTCCTTCCTGGACAGTATCCGGCGATAGCATCGGCTGATTTGGCGGCGGCGCCATGTCCATCGCGTCGGATGCAGCGGACGCCGCCTGCTGCGCCTGCTGGGATTTCGTAGCATTGTGGTTTTGGATGTGATGTTTGTGGGATTTCCTCGTGGTATGCTGTTCTTCCTCGCCGGGATGGACGAGCCGCTCGTGACGCACAAGAAGGTCGCTCCGGGCGAAGGACTTGGTACAGATCTCGCAGACGAAGGGTTTTTCTTTCGTGTGGGTACGAATGTGCCTTTGGAGGTGTTCCTGTTGGCACAGTTCGAGTCAGTCGTGTGGCCGAGGCAGTTGGAGGGACGCGAAGATGCGATAGAACGGTCCAACTTACCAGCCGGGCGAAGAGTCGCTGGCAGTGCGGGCAAGGAAGTGTCTTGGTCTTACTGCCAGACTGCCTCCTCTTGATTCTCCCACCAGCATCCGGCGATTGCTGGTCGTCCATGGCTTGGAGGCAACGGACACCAGAGGCTATGGCAGCAGTGTTTGACAAGCCTCGCGAGTCGCGCGCAACGCAGTGTGGAGATGAGGGGTGGCAGTGGGCGGGCGTTTTGAGGGGAAGACAGAATTACGAGCGAGAAGGCTGGAAAAGAGGAGGAGGAGAAAGTGTGGAGGCCTCCGTGGAGGAGCAGCAGGTCGAGATGGAGGAGGATGAACTCGGAGGAACTGGAATCGAGAGGGCGGAACGTGAAGGGATCGATGCCCTGCACTGCACTCAGTAGTGGCACTGCAGCGGGTGGTTCGAGGGGTCAGCTCGGTTCAGCGCACTGCAGCTCATAATAAAAAGAGGTCGGACCGCCGCCTTCAAGGTGAGTTGTGTGGTGTGGTGCTGGCTTCGGTCGCACTCGGTCAAGGCTGCCAATGCCAGTGCCAGTGGTACTACCGACGAACTGCTGTTACTGAGTCCGCGATATTATTACCGGCAATGCAGTCGTTGAACATGAAGATGGTGGGCTGTTCGTGGTATTCATCCACCGAGGCTGCGACAATGCAACATAACAATGCCTCCTAGTACTGGAGCACCATAGACAATAATACCTACCTTAACCCTAACTGCTAGCATGCTGAGTGTTTAGGTGCCGTGGTGGGTAATATAAGGTATCCTCAGTGCCAGTGGTGGCCAGCGGCGCTACTAGTATACTACGGCAAGTGCGAGATTCAGTTGAGGGCAGCTTGCCTTTCGAGACGCTAGGCTGCAACGGGTATGGGCTTTTGTTGGCGGCACAATGTTTCTCCGGACCTTCTGACGCGAGACAAGGCTGAGACCACGTGAGTTGACTTCAGCCTTGCCGTGACGGGGCTTCCAGAAGCACGAAGTAACTCGTCCGTACATCCTCAGCATCGTATGCACGAGGCAGTCACATACCTTGGAGATGTTGACAATGACTGAATTGTAAGTTGACGAGGGGTCATAATATTCCCTTTTGTCCGTCGAAGGGCGGTGGCCTCGACGCAACTCGAGACCTGCTGCCGTCCTCTCATTTGCCCGATACGGCAGCTTTACGCCTACCGGCTCGAACGGATCTTGTCAGGACAGATGATTGCATTTCTCAACCATAGCGCATGTCAGATGATTAATTTGATGCCAGTTACACCTCGCCTCGCTGTGATGCGCAGCCGGCCGCCAATGGCCGGGTCGTAAGAGTAGTAGACATTCAGAATTCCGGTCCACCTTGACCGCGGTTCGAGACACTCCTACGGTCTGAGATCCGAGAGGGTCCAAGGTGACCGCCAAGATCGAGGAAATATTCTCCGGCTGTCAAATCATGGCGTGCACTCTGCATCTTTACAGCCTTTCTCTCAGAGCTATCCGCCAACCGGAACGTACGGATCTATTCTCCTGTGCCGTACGGCGGTACGGCCGCAACTTCTTCTGCTCCTGCGACCGGGCGTCCAGTGACAATCTTGGTTGAATGGTCGACCACCGGCGAAAACATCCAGCGGCCAAAGTGTCGCTGTCTCCAGTATTGCACGTGGATTAACAAAGACTTCTCCATGCGCTCGTCTCGGTGCCCCGGTTAGGAAGGGGGGATATTGACACAGCCGCATTATTACCTAGTCGACCGTCATTTCCCACCCTATGTCCCTGTGCCCCCGCCGATCCGACACCCAAGGTACAGTATATATATTATGGCTTGTCCCTGAAAAATGCAGTTTCAAAAGTCCCTTTTCATATCCTGCCACGGACACTTGAAGTGCGCCCTATTTTTGGTTGGCGTAATCACCGCGGTAAAGAATACCGGGCCGTAGGAGCAAAGGCCTGCTTGTCCATGCAGGGTCCGGAAAAGAATTTATTCACCACTTGGTGCAAAGAACCATGTCATCGACTGAAAGCCTGACACAGGGGGAGAGAGCGTGATTCCGGGCCACCATTAGCAAGAGCAATTCGATTCCGAGGAGGAATTCTCATCGCCAGCCACAAGATACGCCTTCATACCCACTCCCTCCTTGATCCACATGGTCTTGGGATCACCAATCCCTCAGTGACTGGGTCTTGCTGAGTCTTCAGGTACTCTGTATCCAGAACGATTGCAGACCTTTGGCGACTCCATACGTCCCTTAGGCGGTTGCAGAAGCCCCTTACCTCGAACCCTCAAGGACGATGATCTGACCAGACCCACACCAAAGTTGGGAGAAGAGGAGGCGGCTCTCAAGAGGGGACGCTCTAATGCTGGCATCAGGATTCAGCAGAAGATACTGAATTTCTGCAGGTACACAAAAACACTCAAGTGGGAAGGCCAATGCTTATGCTTAGAGAGCATTCGTCAATATGCTTGATGTGTCGGCTTCGGTTTCAGATGTCCACCACTGGCAGGACACCCCACTGCGCGTCAGGCTGCTTATCCCATGAGACCATTGTTCAACACGGCAGGTCGAAAGAAGGAAAGCTCGTTCAGTCACCCTGCCGAGTCGACCTTTCTGCCCGGGACCCAACAGGAAGTTCACAGCGCCAATGTTTAAGGACGGATTTCCAATTATGACCATCCCAAGCCAGAGACTGGCTGTGATACAATTGGCGAAGCAGGTATAGATTGCGGTGTGGCCCGAAGCATCCACGCATATGGCCGGCCAGTATAGCTGGGGTTGAGGACATCAAAACACGTCAACCTGTCGACACAATTACAAAGAGTGTCCCTCTCGTATACTGGGATTCACAAAGGTAACATGGGCAGCTGGATCCCTCGCAAGGTCTCGCTGTTCCTCCCCGATTCTGTTCATTCTGCATGTCCGTCGTCAATCGTTGCGCATTGGTGTCGATACCAACAATGTCGTGAGGCAGGCCGACAACAGCGGGTGCCGCGTGAATTTCACCATTCTCTGAGGGCAGATTGCCGCCCAGTAGGGAAAGTTTATGGTTAGGAGTGTTGCAAGACCCGAGAGTCTCCTTTCGTCGACCAGCCTGTTTGTCTTTTGCCGTCGCCAGACCTGAGGCAGCCGATGGGTCGTAGTTGAGAAGTGGCAGTTGTGGAGGGCAGAGTTCAACAGCTCTGCCCAACAGCCGGAATACAACTGCAACTCACCCACATGCGTGCTCGCTGTTAACCCAAAGATTACAGATTCCATGACTAGCAGTGGAGTACATGACACGTGTCATGTAGTGCGCTCTAATCAAGGCAGTGGGTTCTTGTGCAATCCGTTCCATATCATTTGAAGCTCGGCAGATAGAGACTGGATCGGCCAACTGCTAGAACGTCGACACGCGTCGAGAAGTTCTATGAGAGCTGTCCGTTGCCGCGGATCTCTGATACATAAACCAGCTGTACCCTGCGTTAGCCGGTGCTAGACTAGACAAGGAGGAGCACCCTACCTATAAACAGACACTGAGATGTCATGATACTGGATGCGTAGTCGGAAGCTGTGGTTGCAGCAAGCCCGCAAATAGTCTCCACATATGTCGCAATCTCCTTTTGTTGCCGTACGAGGTCTTCTAGGCCTCTGACAAAAGGGCGGTGCAAAAGTAGTAGTATCCTAGATGCGCAGTGCACTTGAATGGAGACCGCTGCAGGCTGATTAGCGTTAGAAATGTACCTTTCGAATTGACTTACCAAGCACAGGGGGATGCACCCATATTGGCGTAAAGACAGCGGATCCATCACTTTCCAAAGGCAGAGGGTTAAACTCGATGGGCAGATGCCGCTGCCAGTCATCAAGCATCTGTGCAAGACTTTCACCCCTATCGATTCGAGGCCTAATGTCGACTTCCCCGCGAGCGATCTCTTCTTGAGAGCAGTAGGCCACAACTTGCGCCATTACATAGACCGATCTGGCTGCGATGTCGTAGGAATTCATGTCTCCATAATCCCTCGCAGGGGTCGAGGAATTGAAAGGCTTCCGTTTCTCTCTGAATGCAGCCCAGACATCCTGGCAAAGCCAAGCCCACCACACGGCTTGTTTGAGGCCAAACGAGTCACCGTCGACCGACTGTGACCGTTGGATCCAGAAGACGCCGTGCAAGTGCCGCTCCCAGTCTTTTCGAGATCCATCCAGCATCTCATAGGCAGAAATAATCAAACAAGTGGCAAGCAATTCGGCACTTGTGTTGTAAGAATCGTAATGCATCGCTTTTTGAACATAATGTAGAGTTTCGTAGTAGTAGGGTAGGGAATCATTTCTGTCGTGAACAGCTCCGGCTTCGTTTGCTGCGTTGAGTGACATATGCCTCACTGACAATGCAAGGATGGCGTTCATTAAGCCGACGTTGTGCATCTGATTGACGAATCTCGTTAGCTGGGACCCGACTGATGGGAGTTCCCCTGCAGGGAATCCAGGAAGACATGACTTACCGCCAGATGCGGAACATAGGTAGAAAAATGCCGAATGGGGTCAAACAGGTCAATCTATAGAAATAACAGTCAGTACCTAGAAATTGGGACAAACGTGCAAACCAATAATTCGCAAACTGGACAACGTACCCAAAGGCTGACTCGAGTGACAAAGTGGTTGAAGATGGCAATCTCATGAGGCTTAAGAGTCAATGCCGCTGTCGACTGCCATAGGTGCGAGTCTGGTGGCACCGGGTGACTATAGGGGATCTGATGGGAAGCAGTCCGTGCTGTTTCCAGCCGCAAGCCAGACATGCTGGAGTTGAGAGAGCCATTGAAAGGACGAACGCCGCTCGACATCTCGTAGTTTGGGAGAACCTGCTTGCCATTCTGGCCATGGAGACGGCCAAGGGAGCCGAGAAAGGACGGTTCGTCCTCAAAGTCTGCATCGCCCGCCAACAACCCGAACCATTTCTCAATCGCAGCCTCGGCCATGGCACCTGCCTCCGGGCTTGAAACAGCATATGCCGTTTGCGAAGAGACACACGGCTGCATCAGGGAACGCAGATGGGTTGCGCTGGGCGAAATATCGCCAGCTGTCGAGACAGGGCCGGCCCCGGACCGGGGCGAGTCATGCTGAGAGATGGAGTTTTGGTCATCCCAGCCCGGGAAACCAGAATTGGCATGAGAATGGTTATCCTGGACAGAACCACTGGAGATACGTTCCAGCAGCCTGGGGGTGTCTTGACGGTCGATGGACGCGGTTCTTGAGCGGTTTCGATCCTGCTGCTCCACCGAGGACGGTGCCGAGTTGGATGTTGATTTGGAGGAGGATTGGATCGGGGTGGGATCGGCGTAGACACAGGTATGGTTGCTTCGTGCACAGGGGCCGCAGATGGGCTTCTCTTCATTGCACTTCAGATGGCGTTTCCGACAGGTCATACAACCGGTCCGAGTGCGCAGACCGCGTCCCCGTGGTTTCCGCTCTCGCGTCCGACCAGACTTCTTGCTAGAGTCGGCGGCGTGGTGGGTTGATAAGGCTGGCATTCTGATGTGCCGCTATGTTGTTTGGGGAGATGTAGGGATGACCTCAGAATGTAAGGAGGGTCTGCTGGTCAGCATTGAGGCTTCTTGCATTGGGAGGCCATCCGAGTTGTCCAAGTGGGTTTGGTTCGAGTTGATATAGATTCCAGGAACCCAAGGAACCCGGGGTAGACAAGTTGCCACTTCGCAGACACATGCAGTCTGCGACACGTCGGGGACCACATTCTGGGAAGTAGACCGCGCAGCAGGATCTGATTCAGTGACTGCTGGACTGAGCGGATTGAGCACGACGGCCAAATCATGGACGATAGGAACAGTGCTCTGTGGCCTGGAGTGGGTGGATGATGAATCCGAAACGGAATGAGAAAGACACTGGCAGGCGACGAGGGTTGACGAGGGTGTGGAGGGTCTGCTGCGGGTGTGCGCACTCAAGCTTTGGGGCTAGACCAGCATGTGAATTTATGATTTCTTCATCTGCAGGCCAGCGACAAGCTAGCAGCAAATATACTTTGCTACCTCGCAGCTGCCACTGCAGGTCGCAGACGTTCTGCAGTGCCCCGGCCTGCGTCCTCGCCAAAGGACACGCCAGCCTGCCAGTGTCAGTGCCCAGCCTGTGCCCTGTGCTCCGACCACTATTTGCAGGCCTTTTGTTAGGGTGGTGTCGTTGCGGGCCCGTGGGCGCCGAGCCTGGGCGTCGGCTGTAAGGCGTGTAGTGCTGCCACAGTAGGCGGGTGCTGCTGTGGCTTACTGTCTGCATAACTGTACCTAAACTTTAAAAGCCCGGCGCCATTATGGGCACGGTCAGGCTTGAATTAGGCCGGGGTGATAGGGAGCTGCAGTGAGTATCGTCCCGACCACGGGCTCTTAGGCGCCCTCGGCCCTCGGCCCCCAAGTCGCCCCCACGATTTTCCAACAGATGTACAAGTACAAGTACATAAAGTATACAGAGCCTTCCGACACCTATGTACATTGTAGAGCACTGTCCCAGTTATCAGGCCCACGCCCTCGAACGTTTACACTTCTGCTCACCGCCCCACGATTTCGATCACTGCCCGCCAATTCCACGACCCAACGCATCCAATTCCATATTCGTCATCTCTCATCACTTGTGATCGGTCGGGGCTGTAGCTTCATTTGTAGCATTGGGGACCACTTTGCGTGGCTTTGCCAGTTGCTAGTGACCTCGGGAGGCAGTACGGTCTGCATTATCGTAAAGAAACAGTTTGCCCTACCTACAACGTCGAGTATATCCAAAGTAGGGACCTTAGGCACGCCTCAGTCCCTGCGTTGTCTCGGGAAGTCTCGTTCGTCCATGCCTCCCTACCTGGAAGTATGCCATTGCAATGATGCATTTCGCTACTCCTTACCCGCTGTCCGAGTCTGTCGAGCTCGATCCCCTTGTTCAAGTCTGCCAGGCCATGTTGACTGCTCTTCCGGGCTTTCTCCTTATCTTCAATTGACTCTGTCGGCGCCATAATGCTTCTGAATCATGTCCTTGATCCGCAATCCCACCGTTTCGGACTGTCTCAAGCGCATGTGTGTAACAGTCTTGCATGGCCCAACAAGAACATCCTAGAAGTAAACAGCATGGCTCTGGCCATACTCTCGATGTCGGACCTGTACAGTCCGCCTCGGCAGACCAAACGCGTCATTTTCGGCCTCGAGGCGATCCATGTTATACTACTGGCACAGCGAGGTTCTTTCGCTGTCCTGTGCTCCAGCCATTCTAGGTCTGATGCAGTCTGCAAGGTCGTCCCGCATGTCTGGGCAAGCTGGGCTACATGGACCACGAAACCACGAACCCCGGTGTCATATTCTCTGCCCTACAGCGTAGCATTCAAGACAAGGCTACCGCCGGTTGAAAGCTATACCGCGCTTCGCACCCTGACCAAGCTATCTCGGAGTGAAACACGCCGGTTGGGGACAGGAGATCATGCCCATGGCGACGACCAATACGTCAATCATGCTGCGACTTTACCACGATGTAGCCCCGTCAACTCTGCTTGAAAACCTACGTTGCTGACTTTCCTTCTCCTCCCCTACCGCCGGTACCTGCCGAGCTCTCGTTTGTCCGCAAAGCCATCCAAAAACGAAAGTGCCGATACAGAAGTCAAGCTCAAGACACTCAGCAGGATAGGGGCTTGGTATGTAAGAGAGTGGTCGAGATTTACCTATATTCACCGTCGTGACGAGAAGGGTATGCATTCGGTCGGGTCAATCAAAATAGAAAACGTCAGCGCAGTAGGGCCGAGATGCTTCGGAGCGCCCGGGTCAATGGTGGTGGTGCCCGTGATTCATGAGGGGCTTCTCGCCTCGCTCCGAAGTTCCAAAAAAGAATCCTGACTGCAGGCCAACCACAGTGAAGGACAGGGGACTTATTCTTTTAGTAAATTATATATCCCTGGCAGCGGATACAACGGGCCTTGGACAGGGAGCCCCAGGACTTCCTCACTCTTCGGCAGTGGACCGACGTCCCCTGAAGAAATCCCGAAAAAAGTTAAAATATACGTGAAGCGGCCACGACACACGCTGTTCAAACCTTCAGTCTTCAGCCTACACCGCAGGAAAAGGCTTTTCCTTGACCTCGTGCAGGCCAACTACCAGCTTTGCAGAGTCAGGATTTCATGTCCCGCCGAATCACTGACGTTTGAGTTATTTCCTCTCCCGATTTTTGGGTTGCTTACACTTTAAGGTTACATAGTAAGTTCTTGACGACGAAGCTGTGGGCAGAGCTTTACATCTTCCCTCTCGTCCGAGCAAGTTACGGCAAGCGACTAGACGGACTGCTGTCAACTACTGGGCTGTCAGGCGTCTCGATGATTCTTCCTTGCGATAAGACTGGTGGAAGGGACGCCACTCCTTGCGCCATGATCCGGCCACACAAGAATGATCTCCATCTGTCCAGCTGAACGCCTTAGTCCTTTGACAAACGTGTTCAAAAGTTTACTGCGCCACCAGCGGATTACAATAGGAGCGCAAATCACGTTGCATCGTAAATGTACTCCCGGCTCTTAAGCGATGCGGGCCAAGCACACAGCGAAAAGCGAAAAACAAAAAAAACAAGAGGCCTCTCGATCACCCATAAACCCTCAGCCTTGTCCAAGAAGAGCTTCCCGTAACCGCTTTTGTCAATGGTCGAGGAGTATACATTACTGCCGAGGACAACCACAGGGATGGGAATTGGCATCCAGCAAATCGTGGACGACAATGCTACTGCAGCATGCATGTGATGTTTCCATCCCAGTCCTGCATCTTTGGGCACACAGTAGTGGACTCAGCAGCAGGCTCTCCGGGCTGGCCTTTGGCACACTGTCCTCTGGACGAATCAACGTGGAACTTCTCTGTACTGCTGGGCAGATATCACCAGTATCCGCAGCAATCCGGTCAAACTGTCGAAGGACCTGTATGCCCCGGCTTGGACTATCATCTCTCTCGATGTTTGGCAAGCAGTACAGTGTATACAGTAGGCCGAACAGCCCTCAGTGTCATCTGTCATGTTGTTTCAACGGCTTGCATCAGGTGACGATCAATCAAGATAAGAGTGATGGCCCTGAATCCGACAGGGTGGGCACCGATTCTGCTACGGGCAGTGCCGACGATTCAAACGCCAACAATTGACAATGGTGTCAACCGTGCAAAAGTAGCAGGCAGGACCGCAATCTCGAAATGGCAAGTCGATCAGTTTTCGTCTGGGTCGCTATCACATTCCATTGTCCCGGGACATCCGTCCCACGAGGCGTCGAGTCCGAGGATAAGGTTCAGCCTAGCCTCGGTCATCCGCCCACGCGATCCACCGTCTGTACCACTTGACTGTCGGTGTGTTTTGCAAGATCGACTCGACCACACTGCTTCGGGGACATATGGACATCTAACTTCCGCATGTTTCAGACATATGTCGGCCAAGATGAGGTTTTCAACATTTAGCCACCACCAAAAAACAACACGCGTCTCTAGCAACAAGGGAAGTGGTCTCGAAGGAAAGCCGAAGTTGGCTAAGGTATGTCGATGGGAAGTAAACTTTCCGACTAAACGGTTGCTAATCTCCCGCCGGCATCATTGACGAACCCAGGACACTTGATCCGTTCGAATGGGCATTTGCCACATAAGTCAAGCGCAGGTCTGGGCGAAGCCCAAAGCACGTTGTATGCGTCAACACAGGCATCGTTGGTCCGCACACCCTGCTTGCTTTTGCTTTTCCTCCCACAATGCGGTCTACTCAGCCGCTCCCCGTGTCCTGTCCTTCGAATTGGAAACTTTCCGGTTGTACCGATCCTGTTGGGAGGGGAGGCCATATCGTCCGGGCTCTGCGCGTCTGAAAGACCAAGATCTTTGATGTCAACATTTTTGACGTTGTCCTTGGATGGCGGCAAAGGTGCCACGGCCGCCACGGACAGCATTTCCCGACAAATGACCATGAGCCATACATTTTCGCTCCTGGACGAAAGGTAATGACGGCCATATCATATGGCCTGCTTGTTCCAGAACGACTGCACTACCAGTTACCGGATGGACCTTGTCCTGGCTGTTTTGCTTCAGGACGAACGCTTGCGTCCAGGTTGCGTCCTGTTCAGGCGATCTGATTGCTTGGGAATAGGACGTTCCGTCCAAAAATCGTGTGCTTTTCCCAGGCATCAGATAGTGCTAGGTCACGGATAGATGGGAAGGCGAGACTGACGATCATGCGGAAGATGACAAGGCCTGGCCCGACATGACCTGACTGACTCGGTAGCGAGCAATGCGGACGGTCCGTGATGTGTCTCGGTGCCCCTTCTTCCCGCCCTTTTTACCCGTGCGCTCGAATAGCCTTCATTATTATAATCTGGTCAGATCGTCGTCCACCTGACACTCATGTGGGCAGTTGATCCACCGGCTGCAGACTCCTGACGGCGGCCGCTTTCTGTTTTCTGCTGATTGAGGGTCGACAGGGCGCATGTCCCGTCAGAACATCCACGGGTACCACTGCCTTCCGCCACGACAGACATGACACGCTTCGGCTTTGACATGGTTGGCATGCCCATCGCCTTACCCCGGGATTTTGCAGCACGAAGACCCTTTCTCGAGAGGTGAGCTAAAAGCATATAACTCCAGGACAACAGGAAGGTTTGTCGCTGGCAGAGGGCCTCGGTCACCGCGGCCGCCGCTGGATCTGATCATGGACACATCATTTTGGCATTTTAACCCTTTTGTTCTGCCAGGATGCAGACCGGCCAAGGTGATCTCAGCGCACCTAGGAAAGTCAAACAAAAGCTTTCTCTTCACCAACAGGGAATGTTGTGCCTGCTTACCACAAGTACATGTCTCCATTGCAACTCGGTGGCCGCGGGCACCGATATTGATGTGTTTTTTTTAAACGCAAACTGATTTTAGCATTTCACTTTGGAAGTCAAAAATGGACGTGCGACACTGGCAATGGAATCATGATGCATTTAGCATCGCGGGGGGTCCCCCTCTCAGGGAGGTAATTCAGACAGAGTGAGGGTTGGCTGGGCTGTGCTCTTTGGGGGTCCATTGTCCGAGGCTCGGGTCGAGTTCACCCAGAGCTTGCACATCGAGGGGGATGGCAAAAAGTCAAAATCAACTTGGCGGAATTTTTTTTTTCTTGTGCCGTCAGTGGTTTTCGCATTGGACGGTACGATGACGCCGCAACACGCGCCCGCAACAAGTAGGGATTGAAAATAACACCCAACTAGCTACCTTAAGGTTATATGAGGTATGTATGATGACATGTAAAAGTGAATCTGATGCTGCATGCAAGCCACGTGTGGGGGGAGGGGAGCACAAGAATTTCTCACTGGCCACTAATTTGGTTAGGGGTGCCTTATTGCAGTCTACCTTGTGCTGACATGATAGATTCTTCAAGTTTGGCGAACGAGTCTCGTATTGGGGAGATCTAGATCTGCGGTGGTGCGGTGCGGTAAGGTAGTAGTATGTAGGGAGTACTACTACCTGGTAGTATCAGGTGATGGTACCAGTGCAATGGTTGATGATGCATGGAGTCGGTACTAAGGAACAGTGCAAACGGTTAGCTACTAGTAGTAGTACCTACCTAGGTAGGTAGTAGTAGTACATGCCAGTGCAGTGCAGCCGAGTGGCTGGAGGAGTATCTATCTAGACGGGGCAGTGGTGGTGGTCGAAGTGCCAGCACTAACTTAAGGTAGTGAGCCCGGGGTACGGAACGGATGAGTTGACCATCCAATGGGGAACCCGGGGTCAGTGCAAGTAGGGCTGCTAGTGCTAGTAGCTTAAGCCCCCTCCGCCCGCCCCACGAATCGATGCATGGGGAGATAGGATAGGATACTACCACTGTACATCGTGGTAGTAGAACTTTGAACAGCCTACATCGACATGTGGCTAGCCACCTGGTACTTCACGTTGTGGCTGGAGGGTGGCTGATGGTTCCGACCACAAGTACCAACCACTGGCATAGGGCTACTGCATAATGGACTGCAGTACTAGTACTGAGAAGGTGTCACAAGATAATACCTACCTAGCAAGTACCGACGGCTAGACACGGGTAGGCGAGGTGGTGCCAAGTAATTTCTTCAAGTTGACTGATAGGATGGAACGATAGGTATGCAGTAGGACTGGGGATAGCATTACGAATCCCCCAGAGGGGCTCGTGGGGGGTGGGGGGAAAGGGCGCCGGGGGCATGTCTGTTGGATGGAATTAAGGTATCTTTGTCCCGTGTTTGATATATTATTGACATCGTTAATTAAAGAAACAAATAACTACCTGCTACCTAGGTAGGTAGTTGGCATCCGGGTAAGTCGTCTGCCATTGAATGCGGGATTCCCGATGGTACCTAGGTAGGTTAAGGTACCCAGCCGAGGCCACCTAACTTAATTATTACAGTTGTACAATTTTGTGACGTGTGCCCGTACCTCGACCTGAATGCCGATGTAAATGCGGGATTCCCGATGCCAAAGTCAATTGCACATGAGATCAAGCCATAATGTTTCCTAGTATCTGGTCGATGTATGATGATGATGATGATAAAAGGGGATGGGATTCGCATGCAGTGTTGCCGGCCGGTATCCTCGGTGGATTGATATCCCGTTTACTGCAGTGCAGTGCCATGGCACCTGGCACCTGGCAGCTGTCGTCCAAGTTCAAAGTTGTAACTACTGCAGTGTACCAGGTAACTTGTCTCTCCTGTCCCTGTCTGCCTCTAGAGAAACATGCAGTTTACTAGTATGGTAACTGGAACAGTTATCGTTGTAATAGTAATTGGCAGTCAGAGTCACAGTCGGCAGTCACAGCACTTCCACCGGTCACGATTGCCCCGAGCTGTAGTGGTTCAGTTTGGTCTCGAGGGCGGTCCAACTGCTGAATCACTGCCAATCCATCCATCGATTCGCACAAGATGACGATAAGGGTGAGGATGAGGCCGAGGATGTCTGTTGTCACTTCCGAGCGCTTGCGCTTCTCGGTTCTGATTCTGATTCTGGTCCTCGGTTCTTTCGGTCAACGGAGAAGACGGGGACAAATACCTACCTTACCTAGTTGTACTAGTAAGATGCAAAACTTGAAAGGAGCAGCGGTCAAAAATTGCGGTTTCACGTCACTGTAGTACTGTAGTATTACAGTACATCTCCCCTGGGTGTCAGAATCTCCATCTTCCAACCCAAGGTTGAAAAAGAAAAAAACTCAGAGGGAACGAGCTTATCTGGGCATCGCATCTGATCTCATCTCCTCAATATCGATACTACTTACCTACCTATATCCAGAGATGAGAGTGGCACACGAGAGAAGAAGAAAGAATGGCGCCGAAACAAGTTACTGATGCGTAGCCTCAGGAAGCACGCTAAGGTATGAGTAACTTGAGTACAGCACGAGCCTGAGAATATCAATAATATATACCCGTTTTGAGAGTGTCTGAATTGCCACATATGGTAGGTAGGGGGTCGTCGCGATTATGGCTCCACAAGGCTTTGTCTTTCTCAGCTATGATTATCGAGGGCAGCAGACCACAGCTAAAGGTTCTTCAGCGTGTCTTCTGGCATCTGAATAAGCCGGTCGCCATGATGTTCAAGTGACCGCTCCCCCAACATGCTCTGATCCATGGGAAGCCAAAAACCACTTCTCAAGACAGTTCCAGTACAGTGGTATATATACCCATCTATTTCTTGTACTCCTTTGGTGCCAACATGAGTTCCGGTCGGACGTATTTGTCAAACTCCTCTTCTGACAGAGCGTTCAGCTCCAGAGCCGACTGCTTGAGGGTAAGACCCTTCTTGTGGGCGTTCTTTGCCACTTTGGAAGCCATGTCGTAGCCAATGATCGGGTTCAGACACGTGACAAGCATCAAACTAGAGAGTACCAAAGTTAGCCGTATTCTTCTTCTTGAATCGAATCGAACAACGGGGGAGGCCGTGGTCAAAAAATGGAGTTGGTGCAACTCACCTCTCGTGCAACAGAGTGCTGATCCTCTTCTCATCCGCCTTCAATCCATCCACCAAGTGCTCGACGAAGCTGTTCATTGCGTCGGATAGGATCCTGCTGCTGTGAAGCAGGTTTCGGATCAACAGAGGTTTAAAGACATTGAGCTCAAATTGCCCATTCATGCCTCCAATAGTGGCGGCTGTGTGGTTACCCATGACCTGGGCTGCGACCATGGTAAGAGCCTCACATTGCGTGGGGTTGACTTTGCCCGGCATGATACTGCTCCCTGGCTCATTTTCAGGGAGGATCAATTCGCCCAGACCGCAACGTGGGCCAGACCCCAAATATCTGATGTCCTGGGCAATCTTGAACAGACTGCAGGCCAGGGTGTTCAAGGCTCCGGAGGCTTCCACAATGCTGTCATGGGCGGCCAACACCTCGAACTTGTTGGGAGCCGTCACAAACTTGGTGCCAGCCAGCTTGGAAACCTCTTCCGCAATGCCCTCAGCAAAGCCCTTGTACGTGTTCAGCCCGGTGCCCACTGCAGTGCCACCTTGGGCCAATTGGCGCAGATGTGGCAGCGTAGCTTGGATCCGCTCGAGGTTGCGATCGAGCTGTGCGACGTATCCGCTGAATTCTTGGCCCAGCGTCAACGGGGTCGCATCTTGCAAGTGAGTGCGGCCAATCTTGATGATGTGGTTGAACTCGTCGACTTTCTTTTGCAGAGCGTTTCTCAGGTTGGTCAGAGCCGGGATCAGCCGCTCCTCGAAATCGAGAACCGCAGCAATGTGCATGACGGTCGGGAACGAGTCGTTGGAGCTGGCAGACATGTTGACATGGTCGTTAGGGTGGACCGGTTTCTTGCTGCCCATTTGGCCGCCCAGAATCTCAATCGCTCGGTTGGAAATGACCTCGTTGGCGTTCATGTTGGACTGGGTGCCGGAGCCGGTTTGCCAGACGACCAGAGGGAAGTGATCAATCAACTTCAGCGAAGCGACCTCAGCAGCCGCCTGCTTGATAGCCTCTCCGATCTTTGGGTCTGTTTGATCTGATTAGCGCAACCATACTTCCACGAGACTGCTGTCCACATACCGAGCCCATATCGCATATTAACCTCTGCGGCGGCGCCCTTCAATATTCCAAAGGCGCGCACAATCCCCTCGGGCATCCGATCTTGGGGCTGATTGATCTTAAAGTTTCCTAGCGATCTCTGCGTCTGCGCGCCCCAGTATTTGTCCGACTCGACCTCAATAGGCCCAAAGGCATCGGTCTCGGTTCTCGTAGATGCAGCCATCCTTGCGCTGCTGCTGAATGCTCGATAGGAGCTTGGGGAAGCTCGGCAGAGGTTCGATGGGTGGCTGTGTGGCTTTTGAGAGAGGGACGAGAAGCAGGACCGCTGAGAAGACCTTCTCAAGAGCTGGGCCGAGCTGTTACTCCGCACTGCCCTCAAGTTTGATGCATGTGACGGAGCGAGCTTGGAAGCCGAAGGTCGGACTGTAGCAGTAACCCGCCCTAACATTGTGTCGCAAATATCAACCGGATCAATGCAGCCGCAAACCGAGAGGATGTATCCTGGATCCTGCGCTGGTCGGTCGATGAAGAGTCGCAAATACAACTTGGAGACGGAGCAACGGGCAGAAGAAGACGGCTGGCCAGAGGACGATTGATCGCATTGGCTGCGTTCCGGCTTTCGGAAGCTGCATTAATTACGAGAATCGCCCGTTTTCCAGAATCATCGGACTCGGAACTTCTCGCGAGATCGCCCGACGTCATTCCCCAAGCAGCAAAACGTAAATACAGAATTCCATGTCTAGGTTCTTCAGCAACATTATTGAAGGGACGTTCGACTCTTATCATAGGAGTTTCCAACGAAGGATTTCTCCTTCCAATTATTGATTGTACGACCTGAATCAGCATCCCCTAGCCGGTATTCGAGACTGTTCAGGGCAACCCAACTGCGCACCGCCACTTGACAGACCGGGTATCTCTATATAAAAATTCACAGTAAAACTGAATCACAGACACAATGACGCATTTTGACCTGCTCAAGCCGTGCCGTCCACAGTCTTAACAGCCTGTCCGATCATGAAATCCTTGGCCTTGGCCATCTTGACAAGGAAGCTGGGCAGTTTGTAGCCAAAGGCGATGCCGACGCCCTGCTGCGAGCCAATGGGGACGAATTGCATGTCCTTAGTGATCTTCTTGTAGATGTTTTTGGTGCGAGGACCTGGAGCTGCAATATGTGTTAGTCACTGAGTAGAGGAACAAAGCGAGGCCCATGACCACTTACCGTGTCCCTGAAGGTCCAGCTTGATACTCTCCAACAGAGCTCCCTTGGCAAATTTGATGTCCAGGACAGCGCCGTCAGAGTAACTCCCGACAGACCCAATGCAATACACGCCGGTAACCCCCGGCACGTCCAGACGAAGAGTGGCAGGATCGGTCTTGACCCTGCCTTTGTCGTCCAGCCATTCCTGCGGCACAAACTTGGTGTTCGCTCTGTCACCGGTAGCTTCGATGTAGACGTCGACTGTCTTGGTCTCTCCGTTGCTCAACTTCAACACTTCTTTGCCATCATCCTGCCTGGTGTGCTCCACCACTCGGATACCGTCGTTGATGACCTTGACACCCAACTTTTCAAGCCGAGCCTGGGCATCCTGGCCCATTTTCTTGTTGTGCAATCTGGGGAGAAGACTAGCTGCGCCAGACAAGAGTGTGATCTCCTTTTTCTTCCCATAGACCTCGCCAAGTTCGCCTGCTGTCTCGACGCCGGCGGCGCCTCCTCCAGCAACGAGGATGGTCTGAGCATTGGGAAGCCGTGCGTGGATGTCCTTAATCGCTTCTTTCAGAGGCTCGGAGCCGTCCGAAATACTCCAGAGGTGGGTCGAAAATGTGGTGCCGGAAGCAATGACGAGTGAGTCGTAGTGTATGGCGGCAGAAGTGCTGGTATGGACAGTTTTGGTCGAAGGATCGATCGACGTGACATAGGCCTTGATGAATTCGTATTGTTCGGGCTTGTAGTCCTTGAAGTAGGGCGCGATTGGGATGAGCGCCTTGTCCAGCGGGAGGGCGTTAGGGTTTACAATGACCCGAGGGGCACCGATCTTCCAGAAGAACTCGTCATTGGGTGCAATTTGGGTCACTTTGTAGGATTTGTCCTTTGGGAGTGTTGGTATCACTTGCTTTAGGAGCCCCTGAGCGACTCCAAGGCCGCCGAAAGACGCGCCAATGATGACAATGTTGTGGACAGACATGGTGCCGCTGCGCAAAAGAGGAAAAAAAATCCAGATGACGGTGAAGAGGTGATGCAGACGCCCGAAAAGATCAAAAGAAATCTCAATGAAAGGCTGAGACACGGTGCAGTCAATAAAATAATTTGGTGTACTGGTTGTTGGGCTGAAGACTCGTAGCCTCAGGGTCGTGTTCTCTCAGGCTGGTTAGAGCCGGAGAACCGGTGGGTGCAGAGACCGACAGCGGAGATCAGGTCAGACCCGACACAGTTGGTATTTTTGTCCTGAGCACGAACTTGAAGCCACCCACTGTTTATATATGTGAGGGCTTAGCTATTGCTGACAATACTTGAGTTCTGCCAAAGTTAATCCTGGAGGCCTGATTACAGATCGCTCGGTCCACACGTACCCTTTGTTGAGCGCTACCTAGGCCTTGCATAGCACAATTCTCTTCGTTCCACGACCATCTGGCGCAGTTTCACCAAGACGCGTGGCTGAGCGCGACCGCGGCGGCTGAGACACCTGCATTCCAATTGGCTGCTTTCTCCGCACTCAGCGGGAACTTCCCACGTGATAGCTATCCTGCTTAGTCACATAACACGTGATCCACTCTCTCGGCCGAGAGAACACATAGTGTGTCTGTACAGTAGTGACGTGGTAGATAGTATACTGCAACTTGAATTGAGGATCTTCATCTGTACTGCATGACGAACCTCAAGCGATGCGATGCGCGGGAAGTGGATCTAAGGCACCATCCTAGGTTCGCGATAATCCTTGCAATGCTCCCCCGCCTTTCCCAGGCCTAGTGATCAGACTGCATTGCCAAGTTGACGGAACTCATATTGACCGTGCATGACGGCGAGTAGAAATTATCCTTAAGATTCAATGTGTGCTCGCTGAGCATTACATTTCTAAAGGCAGACTCCGTACGACTCAAGCCCAAGCCTTACACCGCAATAACCTGATAACATTCCGTCCGGGTATAGATTCTGACCTTCGACACGCCTTGAGCATGCACTCCCACCAACTCGTTATGGATTTACACAGATGCTCTTTAGCCAGGCATCAATGCAGGAGACTCGACAACTTGCTTCAAGGATGAGGGAACCACCTGAGATGCTTCCGCCAGCTGTGCCTCGCCGCTGCCTCCTTCGTCTTGTTCTCGGCTGTGACTTCGACCGCCTGAGCCGGAGCCTCATCGGCAACTGCTTCCGTTAGACTATGTTGTTCAAGCGGGACTGGCATGGCGGCTGTTGTTGCGGCCTCAGTTTCGAGCCGATGCTCAGGTTCGGGCTCGGCGTCAGCGACCGAGTTTTGTCTCGAGTCTAATGCCTCAGATACCTCGCTGTGACGGCGTGTTGCCTTACTTTCGGTACGGCCATGCGCAAGGTGCCTTCGATAAAACCCAGAATGTTTGATGAGCCATGGTTCCAGCCAGGCTTCCGCAGCGTATGGATTGGTTTTGCTGCTGCCTTCGGGTTGGTCCATGGCCAGGCCGTTAAATGCTTGTGCCATTTGTGTAGACGTTGGATGTAGTTGTTTGATTGGTACCAGATATTCGAGCTTGCTGCCCTGATTTCTTGTATTGAATGCTTTAATTTGCTTGATTGTGCTTTGGCTGTGGCAATCCTAAAATTCCTCCAGGTAAAGACAGGAACCCATATTTATGCTCTTATCGAGCACAAGCAACAACAACCCATGCACCAATAACATACAAAGAGAACACGATGACGTGCGTTGGCTTTCTGAGGGATATACATATCACGATATGGGACTCATTCCATTAGCAATCGGAGACACTTACAGCATAGTATTTGGATTCCGGAGGTATCCGGATCATGGGAATGCAAAGCGTAACCGCTCGACAGTGCATCGCCTCACAGGTCTTGTGGAAGTTGAACAAAGAACCAAAGAGCAAGGCTGCGGCAGTAGGGGAGGGATGGAACGGATTTTGGTTGGCCCCAAGAAATGGCGGATATGCCGGAAGGTGTTTCGTTATTCATGGTGTACTATATGTGCTGAGCCCCTTCGTCTTATGTTATGCTGGTAAATGCCGCAACGTTCATCTCTTGTGACTGTGGGATCCTAATAGCATTTGGGCTATGCGCATGTGGCTGTGTCTTGTATTCTTTCTCTTGTAATGAGGGAATATAGCAAACTTCCTCAACCTTGACAGACAACTTACTATCGGGCCAGTTCCTGGGGTCCCGGAGATGATGGTCCTGCAGAGTCTACCTTGATCTGGAACCCCCTTGAGCTGGTGGCATCGAGGACCAGTTAAATATGCCGCCATAAATGGCAGATTGTTGAAGGAAATGTTAGGGCTGATACTTTGGGGTTCAAACTTGAAGTTGGAAGAAAAAGGATTCGGAGAACTTTGGTCTCTGAGGCAGCGCGGTAACGTCATAGCACGTGATATTTTCTTGCACTAGTTCTTTTTGGGACTAACGTAGCCTTCCTTCATAGTTGCACAAAGTTTTGCTACACAAACTCGAACGCCCGATGCACTCCTGGACATCCATGCAGTTTATGCTACTACTGGGGCGTATTCCGGCTTTATACTCTCTCTTATGACCTCGAAATTGCTATAGCCTCGGCACCTCTATTTCTGGAAGTATCAAGCAGCGGTGGCAGTTCTGGAAAACTCCCAATGCCAGAAAATGAAACGGTCCCAGAAGGAGATCAGCCTCTTCTAAGGGCCACTGGACTCGTGCTTGTCATGAATACACCAAAAGGTAGGTCAGCAGAGCAAAGCGTCGAAGCCTACAGTTCAGTGACTGTTACCTCCATCTGTCTGGCTTTTCCCGATTTTTGTGTCTCTATGCATAGGACTTGTGCGTCGCTACTCGCAATGAACCGTCGTCAGTATGATGTCTGACACGCACGGCCCTTTGTTTCTTAGGACGCGGAGTATTCGCAACACAGGATATCCCCAGTGGTACCGTGATCGAAGTCAGCCCGGTGCTGATCTTCAGCGAGGAGGAGGTGGAGAACCACACCCAATACACCCGTTTGCAACACTATACTTAGTAAGACAGCCCTGGACATGGTCGCATACGAAAACCTCAAGATAGTCTGCGTTTTTTGCTTACACTACCTCCTTTTCCTCCCACAGTTACTGGCCCTCCGAGTCAGGTCGCACAATGACTCAAGCTCTCGCCCTGGGGCTGGGATCAATGTTCAACCATTCCATCCGGCAACAGAATGTGGGATGGAAACGCAACACCGAGACCGATGTGATTGTATATACTGCGCTCCGCGACATCAAGGCCGGAGAGGAATTGTGCATTTCCTACGGCAGCGCGAGATTATGGTTTGACGATGCGGATGCCAGGAACGGGCTTGACATTGACGATGATGAGAATGATACACGTGGTGAGACATTGGGCGAACTGGAGTTGAGTGGCCTTGGAAGGATGGATCTGTGAATTATGGGAAGTGAGATATCTACATTAATTTCAAGGCAATCTACAACGGCAACGGCATGGCATGCATTCTGGACAGGTGGACTGAGCAAGGCTGAATTATTGCTTACTCATCAGAGGGCGCTTGTTGTGGACGCGGACTGCAATAGCCGTCATCACTCAAACCCCTTTTTACAGCCTTGGTGAACAAATTTATATGTTGCATGAGTGATGGCATACCGCGGTGTAGTGTACAATTGTCCGTGTTATATGGATAGGAGTAGGTGGTGTAGTCGACACATTCCATGCGGCCGCACTGGGACCTGCTGGCGGAGACAGGGTCTCAAGCGATGCAACAAAGGAGCTGCCTGGAGTACAGTACTCCGGATAGTCAACCCCGAAGTGTGTCAGCATCCCCTCAAAAGCCCCAGGGCAGAGATACATTGTACACGAAACTCCGCTGTACATGGACCCAGCATGTTATTATCATTCAACTTTTACCAGTGTTGCTTGATGGGTGGAGACGAGCGGAAAGATCGGTATGTGGTACAACGAGTAGAAGCCATCCGACAGGACTGTTGGCATGGTATCTGCTGGCGACACCAAAGAACCATGCATCCCCGGTTTTGATCGTCAGCACTCCTTCTCGAAGGATGAATAGACTCGGGGTTGTATCAGGGCGAAGACCGAGCAGCTTTTGCAGGCATTCTCCATCTCCACGTACCCGACCTCGCTTGCCTCAGGTCCACCTCGAAAGACCCCAGAAGAAGGTGAGAACATGGAGTCAGTAATCTTGGTCTTATGGATGAGGCCACCAGCGCCGTGGAGGCGGAGCGCCACAACCACGATCATACCGGATTATCGAAGCCAGAGTAGTTGTAGAGTCCAGGCAGGCAATACTCCCAGGTACCTACTACTGCTATACTAATTCTTATCAAACCCTTTGCGATAGCCTCCACTGCTACGACCGCACACCGCAGTAATATGACTATGACGTCTCGCGACGCCAAGAATCATCCAGCTCGGAGGCGTCTCGGGGATAACTAGATCCGCTAGCGGCAGTTAATGTGTGCAGTCTGTGTGTGATTGGCCTCCCGCAATCACGCACTGCCGGCGTCAGGGTTCAACTCGAAGTTTTCAAAGTGCCGCTGACGTCGATCGGCGTCCATGCACTCGATCTTTACTCCCCGGGATGGCATTTTCCGGTCTACAACAGCAACGCAGTCAAGCCTTGGAGTCCAGTCGTGCAACATCGAGAGCACAACATCAGCTCGAGCTGCACAACTTGCAAGCCTCGAATATCAAATATCAAGCGTGTTCATGTTGGCTACCGTATCGCCATCGGACGGAGAAAAACGCACTGCTGGGCCACATGGGACTTTTATTCACAGTGGTGGAGTATCGTCAACTGCTAGTGGAAGTAGTAGTTGTATATCGCAGTCCCAGTCCCTGCCACCCCTGCTTACACGGCACTGGCAGACGCAGCGGTGGGAACGCTCGTGGAGACAAAGCCCCTGCCACCGACTACTAATCAATACCTGGCTGGGGATCTGCTACCACCTAAGGTACCTACTAGCTAGTATGTGTGTGCAAACGCGATGTTCGTGGGTCATCTGATGCGACGGGGCGGAATAGTGCACACATCTTTCTACAATCATACGAACTACTGCTAAGATAGAGCGGAAACCGATTTGCTACTAAATAGTATGGGCAGTGTCCCCTCCTTCTCACCCTCTTTCCATTCTCCTGCGCTGCCTATCCTACACCTGTCTCTGTGCCGAGTTTTCATCTTGTCTCGGTGGTTGCTATCCTCCGGAGAGATTCAATTTATGCTGCAAGCTGCCACGGTCAGCTCTCAGCATCTGTCGCCATCATCATCAGCGCTATATTCGTGAGCTAGCGCAACCAACAACTTGAGAACCGGTGCGGGTTTCCGCCACAAGTCGTCAAGTCCAAGTCACATTTCAGAGTCAGTCAGTCAAGCTCATTCTTGACTTGATGGATCCGTTTGAGAAACCCAAACACCTCCACGCCTCGCACATTCCCCAACTCCAGCGGGGACAAGACTCGTCGTCCTCGTCGCACCCAGCCTCGGACGAAGTCACCGTGACGCACCACGAACACGAACCCTACGAGCTTGACGACTTCTCAGGCCACAACAAAAGATCCCAGACCATGGCTCCCTCCTCTCAGCCACATCCTACCGCGCCATCCGGGCCGCAACAACAGCCCGGCATGGACCCGAACCCGATGACCTCGTACCCCTACCATTCGGAACACGGCCCGCCGATCGACAACATGCTCAAGTACGACGAGGCCGAACAAGACTACCAGCACCACCGGAACCTGTGGTGGTCGCGCGTGCGCCATCACCTACGCGACCCGTTTGCCGAGTTTGTGGGCACGTTTATCATGATCCTGTTTGGAGACGGCAGCGTCGCTCAAGTTATGTTGTCCGCCAACGAAAAGTTGCCGGCGAGCAGTCAAAATAAAGGCGATTATCAATCCATTTCTTGGGGGTAAGTTTGGTTTTTGCCCCGAGCTCTTGTCTAGACAAACTCCTGCCGGAGTCAGCTGAAAACTAAAGCCAAAGATCGCTAACTGAACATTTTTGTTATTTACCAGATGGGGCATTGGCGTCATGTTCGGCGTCTACGTTGCCGGTTGTGCCGGAGGCCACCTGAACCCGGCCATCACGTTTGTCAACTGCCTGTACCGCAAATTCCCTTGGTACAAATTGCCCATTTATGCCTTCGCCCAGACGCTGGGCTGCTTCTGCGGCGCCGCCGTCATCTACGGCAACTACAAGTCCGCCATTGACGCCTACGAAGGCGGTGCGGGAATCCGCACCGTGCCAGGTTACTCCGACACCGCGACCGCAGGCGTCTTCTGCACATACCCGCAACCCTTCCTGACCAAGACGGGCCAAGTGTTTTCCGAAATCATCGCCAGCGCCGTTTTGGTCTTGGTCATTTTCGCCCTCAAGGACGACGCCAATCTGGGCGCCGGCAATCTCGTGCCCATTTGTCTGTTCTTTTTGATCTTTGGCATCGGCGCCACCTTGGGCTGGGAAACAGGATATGCCATCAATCTGGCCCGAGACTTTGGCCCCAGGCTGTTCACGTATTTTGTGGGCTATGGTCATGAAGTCTGGAGCGCTGGTGGCTATTATTTCTGGGTATGTCCTGAACTCACTCCCTTGTGACGGAGACACGCACCTCTATTTTGTCGATTGGAATGCTGATTTTTTTGGTCTTTGTCTAGATCCCCATGGTTTGTCCTTTTATCGGCTGCACGTTGGGTGGTTGGTTGTACGACACGCTAATTTACACGGGCGAGTCACCCATCAACACTCCCTGGATGGGTCTGAAGCGAGTGGTGCACCCGAGTAAACAGGGCATCAAGGAGGCCATTACCGGCCACCCGGCGGATAAGCAGGTCTGATCCATCGGCAGCCCGAATCAATCCCCCCTTGCGCGCACCTTGCACGTGCCGCCTACCTTCCGAAACGACCCATTTTGACGGCCAAAAGTAGTCCGCCCTGATTTCTGGGTGTGATATATGTAACACCAGTCTGTTCCAAAAGGCCATCTATGCTCTCTGTATATGTATACGAGATAAGAGCGAAATAGTGTGGCTGCAGAAAATCTTGGATAGCGCAGTACCATAACAATGGTTTCCTCCTTTGAGATTGGGAACCTTTTCTCCACGTGTAATTGTTATCATGAAAGAATAGTTCCGCAATCAGTTCTTCTGTTTCTTCTTCTGCGGTCCGCCTTCCTCGTCGTCACTGAGCTCGGCATAGATGGTCTTTGGCTGCGTCTTCTTCCAGACATTCGTGAACATGGGCTCCTTTTCGGCCTTTTCGGCGTACTTGAGCAGAGCTTCGCGCGGATCTTCTTCCCGCATGGAGCTCAGCGGGATCCTCTCCTTGATATGACGCTCGTCCGGCTGGCTTCTGGCGAAGGGGGTAGATGCTGGGATATGCGGTCTCCGCGGGTCTCGCGAACGGCCGGACGCAGTGAGTCCGATGGTCGGGTGCCGCGATGCGAAAGTGCTGCCCTGGATGGCCTCGCTGCTCGTTCCCGGGTTGACGATCGCGTCGCCAGAGACGCCCTGCGACATGTCGGTGGTCAGGCTGGGGTCGTCGTCGACGTGGCGACGTTTCGGCGGCTTCGACATGACCATCAAGGCACCCTTTGTCGAGATCTTGGGGTTGAACAGCATGTGCGTCTCGGCGTTGGCGCTTCCCGTGATGATTTGATTCAGCTTCTCGTGCCACAGCACGCTGATGAGGGCGGACCCTGGGGTCACCGGCGTCACGAGCTCTGGCTTGAGGGTGGCTGGGTTGAGGATATACAGGTCGCCCGACTCGGAACCTGTAAGAACAGAGGACGCATTGGGAGCAAACATGATGTTGGAGGTTGGGTACTGACTCGACGTGGAGGTGTGCGACGTGGTGTTGACGGGCTGTTTGAACTTGCGCGTGTCCCACAGCTTGATCGTGTCGTCGCCGCCCCTGGTGATGACCAGCCGGCCGTCGGGACTGATGTCCACCCCACCGGTCCAGGTGTTGCTGGCATGGGCCTGGCTGATCTCGGCACTCGGTCGGTTGTAGGGCCCTTCGCCTCCCCACATCACCAAAGACCCATCGAGCGCGGCCGCCACAAGAAGCGTATTGCCACCTTCCACTTGACTGCCCCAGGCCACGGCGGTCATGCGAGTCCGTCCTGCCGAGCCGGCCTGCTTGGATTTGTGCACAATGACATCGCGTTGTTTGTTCCGCACGTTGACGTCCCAGATGCGTAGCGTGCTGTCCGTCCCTGCCGTTACGCATAGGTCGTAGTTGTGAGGATGCCATGTGCCGCTGGTGATCTCGCTGATGTGCCCTTTGGTCATGTGCATGTCGCGAAGATACATGTCTCCCTTGACAAACTCGACCGACATCTCACCGTCGCGGGTTAAGATCCTAGCTTGAGGTGTCGCCGTCACTACCAGAACCTGGCTCGGCGAGTTTGGGTTGAACTTGGCCACGTGTACTGGATGCGTCTCTGAGTTGGCGGACGACTTTGTAGCGGTCGGATCAACCGATTTGAAGGCCCGTAAAGTGTTGGGAGTCATGGTTGCGAAATCGTGCAGCTTGATCGTACAGTCGGTAGACCCGGTGATCATCCGTGACCCAGCGGGATCCACGGCGATGGTGGTGACTGCCCGGTCATGCGTTTTGAAAACAATCTCATGAGATGTCGGGAATTCATCTTCATAATCGGAGTCGTCAGACTCAGAGTCCGCGTCCGAGTCTGTGTCGGAATCCTTATCTGGATCATGGCGTACGTCCTTCGATTTTGCAGATATTGTTTGGTCCGCCTCGGACTGTCCAGGCACTTTGCGCCGGACGCTTTCTATCTGTGCCGTTGGGTCGAATTCGCCACCGGAACTACCGAACGACGCCGGCACAAAGTGTCTGAGACTCTCTTCGTCTATTTCGTCCATTGTAAGGATTTGCAATCGCCTTTATGGCAACCTGGCAATGAACAAGAAGCACGAGTCGATCGTCAAACCAGGACGCGGCTAGGGAGAACTGAAAATCGTACGGTAGCCGTCCCAACCTCAGAACTGGGGCTTGGCCATCTGTCAGAGTAGTTACGAAGTCCGCTCGGACGTTCAGACAACAGAGTTTCCCATGCAATGAAGTAGACGTTGAAGAGTCTCAACGCCAGGAAGTCGTCCGCGCCGGTCTTGGCATATAAATTGCGTTTCAATGCCAAATACTCATCTGTTGACATATGTACGGCCGGGCAAGGGGGTTGAAGCGTCGCAGCCTTTCCCCGCCACCTAGGTGCCCGCCAGCGTGAGATACGACAGATGATATCGCAACCTTTTGTCTCCACCGCATATAAAGCTAGCGATCCTTGGAGGGCTCACTCCAAGAGGTAATGCTCATAACGCCGAATTGGAGCTTGTCTCATTCCCAGCTGTCGGCCATCGCAGGATACAACACCAGAGAGCTCAGCCGAAGCCCCAAGTTGGAGGAGATTGACTAGATACACACTGCATGGAGTAAATTTCTCCATCACACAGAGGCCTAACTAGATCTAGACTAGAGCCTGCAAATATACAGTTATCATTGGCTAGTTCCTTCACAAAATTGACTTCTACCTACAACGCCTCCTACTCGACCCCTACCGATATAGCTAGAGAACTGTAGGGGTATAGTAGTATGCCTATACAACTGCAGCAGGGGTCCAGTTAATAGGCGTCTGGTAGCAGGCGTACAGTTATAGGCTTATAGGCGGTGTAGGCGCTATCGGGGGCACACAACATTGTAGTTATAGTTGTTTGTAGGCGTTATAGGCGAGCGGCTGAGCGGCGCTAGTACGTATATAGTTAGGGCCCCGTACGCTGGAGAAATTGCTCCCTGTGCAGCTACTAGTGTAGTACTAGTGGATCTCAAGTTGGAGACGCCGAACTTCGAATTGATGGCCGCGGCTACAACAAACAAGGCTGACCAATCGGCCACGGCCATGCGGGGGTTGTTCAGTTGGACGGCCTCACTGTTGATGTTGGGCGGCTTTTGATTTCTCATTCAATAATATAAACATATACGTTCTTCTACTACACTTCTCTGACTGATTGCGAGAGTGATCGTCTGTATCCCTTCGCATTGATATTACAGTGGTGCCACTTCCAACTTCATAATAACCACTGCCAACCACAGCATCCTATCATCATGGCATCTGATAGTGTGCTCACCATCGACGGCAGCAAGTTCGGACCTGCCGTCATATCTGAGGAATCCAATGCCTTCAACAAGTATCTGATGGACATCATGGCCGGCGGGCCAAAGTGGTACGAAGTAAGTGCTACTTTTCTAGGATTCCATCGGCACAATTTCTTGTCCTGGGCCTCTGACTTAAATGCTCACACAACTACCATTTTCCCAGGTTGGAGCGCAACGGTACCGTGAAATGCGTGCCGCCGGCGAGACTCCGCTGCCCAAAGCCGTATATCTGGACTCTGCCGAGTCGTTCGACATTCCCTCCAGGGACGCCGACCGAACGATCCCTTGTCGGATCCTGAAGCCTCAGAACGGCAAGTCCGCCAAAGCGATCTTCATGCACATTCACGGCGGCGGTTGGGTCTTACAGGACGAGAAATCCCAGGATCCGCCGCTGCAGGCCATTGCGCAAGACACGGAGACCATGGTCATTTCGGTCGGTTACCGCTTGGGCCCGGAGCATCCTTTCCCTGCTGGTCCCAATGACTGCTATGACGTGGCGGAGTGGCTTGTCGACAATGCCGAAGCAAAGTTCGGCCTTCCCATGGCCTTCGTTGGGGGTGAATCTGCTGGTGCCCACCTCAGTTTGCTGGTCGCTCTGTATCTGCTACAACATCACGACCGGAAGTACGCCGATTTTCGATTCAAGGGCCTTCTGCTGCACTTCGGGTGTTTTTCATTGATCTGGACGCCCAGTGTCTACAACTTCAAGAAGCCCGAGGTGTTGGTCCTGGACCGTGACTTGATGGACCATTTCATCGACGCTTTCTGTCCCGGCATGTCTGATGAAGAAAAAAGGCATCCTTCATTGAGTCCACTCTATGCGGATCTGGAGCCTTTGCGGGGCAAGCTGCCGCCGGCGCTTTTCACTTGCGGCACCGAGGATTGTTTGCTCGATGATACCATGTTTATGAGCACGAAATGGTTGATGGCCGGCGGTCAGGCCATAGTTAAAATCATTCCTGGAGCTCCACACGGCTTCATTTTCTTCCCACGCAACGTGAAAGGCAGTGGTTCCGATGAGGGAATGAACGCTGTTGAGGACTTTATCCGATCAAAGCTGAGTAGCTGAGTTTTGAATACAAGGTATTTAGATGGAGGTCCAATGGGCATTGCAGGCTGTTTGTTATGATGAATACAATCTTTAGTAGGGAACAGAGTTTCATGATTCGGACGCACAAGGCTGGTTCACGAGTTCTGCCAGTTCGTAATGGTGGTTGATCATCCCAGCCATGCCTGCCTTCGTAACTGTCTTTCCGTACATTCAAATCGAGATGTAGATGTCCCGAAGGCTGAGAACTGTGACTGTAAACCAGGGACAGACAACGTCGTGCCGATTTCGGTAGGATAGACTTCTTGCTGTACGGCCCAGAGCCTATACATGCTGTTGAATAGTCAAACACCGCCTTGGAGCCTGGACAAGTCCTTGCCGATCATTCGATCATGTCGACATCGTCTCCACCCTCAGGCCGGGCTTCTTGCGGGGCTGGAGCGCCATTGTTCTGAGTTCCTCCCTGGGTGTTGCCTGCACCACCCCAGTAATCATCCATTTCGGCATCAAGTTCCTCGACAGTCTTGCGTGGTCTGCCGTTAACCAGTTTGTGGCTATCTGCGTCTCTAGGAGCCCTTTCTCGTCTCTCGCCTGGTCTTCGACCTCCCCGATGACTCGAGCTTCGATTGTCACGCTGGCCGGGAATATATCGATCGATGTTCTCGGGTGCTGGTCGGGTGGTATCAGTTCTCCGGTCTCTCGGTTGGCCTCTGCGTGGGCCGCGCCTAGCGACCCGGTCTTCCTCCACTTCTTCCATAGGACTTGCACTCCGACGTCTACTGCGCCCACTTGGTGCTTCAATTCGATCAAAGAGACTCTTCGGATTCTCCACCCGATCAAAGGGGTTGTCCCTCCTTGGCAGGGGAAGAAGCGTAAGCCGGATTGGTTGGCCTTTGGCGTTGGCACCATCGAACTCGCGAATGGCTGTCCTGGCATCGGCGACATGCTGATAAGTGACAAACGCGACACCTTCTGAGCGTCCGGCTCGATCATAACGGAGTTTAGCGTCCATGACAGGCGCAATGCGCTCGAAAAGATCCTAGTCGAATCAGCATCTCCTTTAGATACCATGTCAGCGGGCTTACATAGATGTCCTCTTCAGTCAGGTCATAATGAAGATTGTCGACACGAAGTTTGGCTGGAGGCGGATTTCTGGCCAGGTCAGCATAAGTTGTGCATGAATTCCCACAGCGTCATACCTATCAGGCTCTGGCACACGGTCTCGCACTCCTTTACGGTCGTATCTTTCTCTTGGTCGATCATAATCGCGGCCTGTGAGTTGGTCAATAGAGGCAATTATGAGGATCTGTGATGTATCGTACTGTCCGGCTCGTCGTCATATCGATCGTGGACCCAGTCGCTGTAACTAGATTAGCCCGAGAGCTCATCTAGATAGGGCCGAACTTACTTGTCGAGATTCGTTCGCTCATCTCTTGCAGACTGTAGTGGAGGAAGATCTAGTTAGCTGTTTCCGTCAAAACAACCCTGGCCCGCTCGCGTCGGATGCCCAAGCACCAGTCCAGTGAGGATTCGAGATGATGCGGCGATCAATCGGACCGGCGGACAGGCGGGTATCATGAAAGAGGAGAGGAGATTCGGACCTAGGTCATTTGGGTCAGCCAAAAGGGGTGCTTCGAGGTGTACCAGTACTTTTGACGCTCACCTTTCTGACTCCATCGCGAGGGTAATCATAATCGCGACGACGTGGAGGAGGAGGTGCTCGTCGAACCCGGGGTTGGCTTCGCTGATATCTCGTTAGTTCATGGCTTGATTGTGCAGCTGAGCTGAGCCACCAACCTGGCGTTCAGCAATTGTATCGTCTAGACTGCGATCCATACTGCAGATCGAGACGCTTGATCGTCGACAATGAAAAGATATTGTTGGAAGGCGCAGACGCAACTTAGTCACGCGTCAAGGGGTTTGTCGAGAAGCACTTTACTCCTAGCTGGGTTCGTGCAGCGGCTGGAAGGATCAACCAATGTAGGCGAGCAAACAACCTGAAGTTCAAGTTATAAACTTGTCGCGGTGCAAAACTCCACAAATGCTGTCTGTCCTGTCCGATCAGGCGGCGCCGCAGGATGTTTGTTAGTAGTAGGACTTTGCTTAGAGGGCCCTTTCACGTGACCCCGGCGATTTATGTCCCGCCTAAAGCCGGACCAAGTGCGCATTTTGGCAGACATCATTGCATGTATTGCGTCGATGGAGATTCAAGGCACTTCAACAACTAACACCTCCGCCGCATCTCATGGCTTATAAAGATCCTTATTGTCATATGTTTATGGTGCTTCGGGCAGGGCCTTTATGCCTTAGACATTGCTAGATATTGACCTCTGCTCATGCCGCAACGACGCCTGTTCGCATACCCACCCGCAACCCCTACGATATTTCCTGAAACCCTGTCTCTACTGCGATTCCAGGGCTCACACCGAGATCACTAGTTGTGGCATCCATGCACATACCTAACTCTCCTACCACAGCTGATCACCATCAGTTGCACCCCTTCATCTTCCTTCTCAAGTCCGGGGGAGCGCATCCTGGGGACGATGAGCAGTTGCAACAACGGTGGTCGTCATTGATTGGAATCATAACAGCAATTGTCGGAAACTTGCTTATATCATTTGCACTCAATACGCAGAGATATGCACATATCCTTATAGACCGACAGTGCAGACAAGGAAAGAGTCAATCTGAAAATGGTGTATTTTTGCGGAAGCCCATTGGATATGGCTCTGCCACGCAAGGAGATGCTGCGGCAGCACGGGAAAGGAGCGACATCGTTAAAATCGCAAGTGGCGGTGCTGCACGCAGTGGCTCCATTAGTCCCTCAACGGACGGGTCATTACATGTTCCGGATGACGTGCGGAAGCGACAAGATCGTCATGAGAAAGGCTCCGCGGAGGACCAGGACCGACCATCATATCTGAAATCGCCGTACTGGTGGCTAGGCCTGGTGTTGATGGTCATCGGAGAGGCCGGGAACTTCCTCGCCTACGGATTCGCGCCTGCACATATCGTCAGTCCTTTGGGAGTGGTGGCGCTGATATCGAATTGTCTAATTGCTCCTTTGATGCTCCACGAGCGCTTCAGAAAGCGCGATGCTTGGGGAGTCCTTATAGCCATCGCTGGCGCTGTCACGGTTGTACTGTCTGCGCAAACTAGTGAAGGAAAGTTTGGACCTGGAGAACTATGGAGGAGCATCAAGAGATGGGAATTCCTCCTTTACGTCCTCATCACCTTGTTACTCATTGGTGTTCTTATGTACGTGGAACCACAATATGGTCGGAAGACCATCCTCCTCGATCTTGGGCTGGTGGGCTTGTTTGGAGGCTATACCGTCCTATCGACAAAAGGGGTTTCATCGCTTTTGTCAGCATCGCTTTGGAAAGCATTTACCTATCCCATCACCTACTGCCTGGCCCTTATTCTGGTTGGATCGGCACTCATGCAAATTCGGTATCTGAATCGAGCCTTACAAAACTACGACTCAACGCAGGTGATACCAACACAGTTTGTGCTTTTCACACTCTCAGTCATTCTTGGATCGGCGGTGCTGTACCGGGATTTTGAACATACTACCGTGGAACAGGCGGTGAAATTCATCCTTGGATGTTTGTTGACGTTCTTCGGGGTGTATTTGATCACCAGCGGTCGAGAAGAGCAGACGGATTCCGATGAACTAGAAGACCACGAAGGGGACGAGACAATTAGACTGCTCGACGAAGAAAACGAGGATATAGATGTTCACACCTTCTATCCAGGAGAAGTAGGAGACACAAGTGCCTCTCGAAGCACCGAACGGCTGAAAACATCCCATGATGAGCAGGACGAACTAGAGGATCCAGACGGCCTATTGACACCTCGTCGCGTTTCAACGTCGTCCTCAGTTCCTTCCATTGCAGTGACGCCGGCCGAATCCACTGACCTCTTGAGTGTCAACCCTTGGGCATCCTCCACCCTGGGGGAGGACACACCTGCGGCGGCTCCTCAGACTCCCCAGCTTGGGGCCCTCCAGCAATCTGATTCGGGGTCAGGTTCAACGTCGTTCTTCACGCCCGCCACGTCAAAACCAGGAGGCCGTACGCGCTCAGTCCCGGCCAACCTGGAGTCTTCCACCATACAAAGCATACCCCAGCTTCCCGCTGCCGTCAGCCCCACCGGTTTCGGCTCAGACGAGGCATCTCCGGCGGCACTAGGGTTCCTGACACGCTCCGCTCGCGGAAGTATCTCACGGCTTCTGCCGGTGCCTGGCCCCCTTCTCCCACCTTTATCCTCGTCCCTTAGCGCGTTGGTCGCAGATTCACTGCTCAAGGGTGAAGGAGCGTCTCCATCCGCACGAGCTGCGAGCCGCCGCTCACGATCTGTCCACCATGCGCATGAGGACGGTCGGCGGAGGGGTATCGTCCCTGTCACAGACGAGGAGAACCCGCTGGGCCTGGATGACGCCGATCTCAGCCGTGCAACTACCCAGGAGACTATCCCTACCCCAGGCTCACACAGATATGACAACAATGAGGGAGACCAGCAGTATCGCCAGACTATAAGGGAGCGGCTGCCTAATCTCCGGGCTCTCAGTGAGACCATTTCGGGGATCATAGGACGTCCAAAGCCCAGAGGTGGCGGGAAGAGTAGAGATGTCTTTGATGACCAGCCATGAGAAAAGAGTGGCCGCCACTGCCACTGCCTTTGAGTGTCTCTCTGCACCCCTATTCCTTGTCTGAGAACAACCACTTGTCCACCTAGCAAGCCTTCTTTTTACATTCTAGAGCAGCAGTCGCGATGAAAAGCGGTGTCAATTAATATGTAATTCTCTTTAGATTCAGTCACTTGTTCCATTTACATGCAAGAATATACGTAGTATAATGCATGCAAGACATCCACGTGTATCTGGGATATCATATCAATGACTGTGCTGAGAGGGACCTTTGTTGTTGGTGAAGGCCCAAACAAGGCATTAAGGGCCTGCTCTGGCAGCCCAGCCACGCCACAGTAGAAAGCATTTGTTTGCGAGTCACATCTCTCATCTCTCTGTCAACATCAAGCACCTGATGGGCCAGGCTTGCCCATTACAGCCTTGGTCCTGTTGTCTTCAGACGGCTTCTCTGCTGCAGCCTTTGCGGCGGTGGTGCCAGGTTTGACCTCTCTTTCCCGCTCCCGTCTCGCCTTGGCCCCTGCCTTCAAGTTCTCCCATTTTTCCTTGTATCTGGACAAATTCTCCCTCAGTTTGGCGTTTTCGTCATCTTTCTTGCGTAGGCGCGCGTCACTCTTGCGCAGGATCTCTTCGAGCTCGGCGATTCTCTTGGCCATGGCCTCGTCCGAACCTGGCACGGGTCCAGCTGTGGCCCCGCCTCCTCCTCCTCCACTGTGCATTCCAACTCCCATACCTAGTCCAAGATCTAGGCCCATGCCTAGACCACCTCCTTTACTAGTCGACTTCCCGCGCGAATTCTCCGGAGAGAGAACTGTTGGTGTAGTGAAAGGTGACCGTTGTAGCGAGCGAATGCTTTGCGCGAGTGCCGCCGAGGATGTCTGCGCCGACATTTCAAACACGTGCAGTCGGCGGGACAGGGTGTCAACCAGTTGTCTTAGGGCATGGTTTGCCAGTGCGATCTCCTCCATGGTCTTCCCATCGACCTTGGCCTCGTCCGCACCGCCGCCGCCGCCACGACGATTGAAGCGGCCAGGTCCTTGTTGCGGGCCCCCAATACTCTCATGGGAACGGTGCGGAAGAATCATGCTCTCGGCGTCGACGAAATTGTCTTCTGAGATATTGGACAAATTCGACGGCTGCCGGTGATGTCGTAAGCCCCCGCGCGCCTCTTCACGGTCTACCCTGTTCATGATTTCCGCGTAGGATATGGTGCCCCCAGTCGTGGGGACGACGTAGAACGATTCCGCGGGATTATGCGACTGTGCGCCCGGCCCTGAAACTGCCCGGAGTGCGGCACGAGAGATCAGTTGCGAGTAGTCGATCGAAGGAGCGGCGGGGGTTGCACGAGCAGGTGTCTTTGGAGGTTTGGGTGATGCCTGTACGGGCGACTTGGCCGGCGATGCTGGAGTGGCCGTGGTGGCATTGGTGGCCAATGGAAGTCCTGCAAATGCCAGAGGTGCACTGAGTTTCGAGATCAGGTTTTCAAAGGTCGCGTAGAATTGTTGAAAGGGAGCATCCGAGGATTCCTCGTCGGTTTGCTCAGCAGTATTGGGTTGCGCCGTCTCTTGCTCGGTCGGTGGAGCCCAGGATGGCTGGGAATGTGATTGCGATTGCTTGGACATTGAAAGGAGAGCATCGGTCGTGCCTGTGCTCTTTCTAGATAGCGATTTGGCCCGGGCTTCGTCTTCAGCATTGTGTCCGTCTGCGTGCTGGTTAGACACCAAAGGAGAGATCGGGGTTGGCCTTTTCTGACGACCGCTCGGGATCCCTCGGGCAGACGCAAGATTGCTGACGATGGAAGATGAGAGCTCGCGGGCATTTGGCCTGAGGCCTCGCGGTAGCCTCGGGGGATGGACTGTCCTCTCTGGTGATGGCAGCCCCTCTGGCGCGGGCTTCGGCGGCGACGGCTCTCTCAGAGGCGCAGGCGAAGGGGAAGGACTGGCAGTTGCTGCCGGTGAGGCCTGAGGCGCATCTCCACTAGCGGCTGGTCTCTCATGGCTTGATCTCAATATTTGTCCAAGTTGCTTGTGATGCTGTTCTAACAGGTTCAGAATCCGTAAGGCCTCCAAATCGGACGTCCCTTGCGCGGCGCTTGCGAATTCCGCCGCTGCCAGATCATGTTCCTCACTCGCGGCGACTGGGTTGGACCGTCGGGTCTCGAGGGCAGCATTACGCGCATGAGCATGTGCCTGGAAGGTTATGCTTAGTAGATGAGGCTTCGTGTTGGCTGCGAGCAGGACATACCAGCGTCAGTGGTGCGGCCTCCATGAGACTATAGGAAGACGGTGCCGTAGGCCTGCGACGTCAGGTCTGTTCGGTTGTTTCCTAGTCGTCCGTGCCGAGCGCTTTTGTGTTGTATTTTCAGGGGAGATAGCAGCTCGGTTGAAACCTTTAGGAAAGGCGGCCGAAGTCAGCATCGACTCCTCTTTCTCGTGTTCGCATTCGGATTCGCATTCGTAGCCTGAAGGCGGACGAGACGAGGCTGAAGAAGTTGGAAGATCCTACTCGTAGTACTAGTACCGCAGTGTGGGGGAAGGCGGGCAGCTTTGAGGGTTCGGCCGGTGGATAGAGAGGACTAGCAGTAGGGACACAAGGCTGTGGCGGCGGTGGCAGCCTAGAACCGCCCGCCACTAGTTGTACGCCAGACAGAGATATGGTTGGTTGCACCTGTCGTTGCACCCTACAACATTGTACAGTGTTGTAGTCAGGGTAGAAATTATGATACATCACAGGCAGCAATGGAAGGTCGCTTGTGGTACCTAACGGGGGAATGACACTCGTGAGATTCTACCTACCTACCACTGCTGAGGGTCACTGCGCACCAGCCGCGTATGTCTACGCGTGGAGATGGAGATGAAGAGCACAGGTGCCCACCGCAGATTAGTACTACCTAGGTAGGATCTCGGGTCACCCACCTGTCTGCCACCGCGCCTGGCACCTCTCCTCGTTTAGGTGCTACATTGTAGAGGCGTCTCCTCCCCCCCAACGGTGCCTAGGCACCGTCTGACACTGCATTACCAAACATCCATAGTAGGATGCAGATTTTGCTAAGCACACGTAAAAGGAAGATTTTGACTGACGGCTGTATTTCAACTTCGCCTGAGGCGCCCTCCCTAAGGTCCAGTGCCTAAAGTAAGGTACCTACCCCAAGCGGGTACCCAACGATTGGCGTTTATACCCCCCAAGGTACGCTACGCCTGGCTACATGGACAAACTTCAGATCTGTCAACCTGTCATTCCTTTTGACCATGATGATGATTATTTCTTGCCTTCTCAGCATCATCCTCCACAATCCTCTCTGCTCATCCGTTACACCTCGTTTCACTTCCCTTCGGACGTACCTTCTCCCTACGTAGACAACCGCTTTTCGATTCTACGAGAATATTCTTACATCAAGTCCTTCATTAAAGAGCCTAGGGTAGCGCGTCTCCTTGCATTTCTCCCCCTGTGCATTGACCCCAGTGCGACCTCCTCTCCAATGCCTACGTGACATCACTCTGCCCATTGGTCACTTGAACCATACGGTAAACAATCGACACGACACGACACCACTGCATACCTACACCGACTCGACTTCGTCTTGGTGCCACGCTGTCTCGAATGACCACAGACTGTATCGATTTCTTGCCTCATGCGCTCCTACAATGCCGGAGCCCTCCCCTCAACTCAAGGGCATCAAGAAAGTGCTCTCGAACAGGAGACGTTCAGCCGACCTCCAAGGTGACGAGACAATTAGCGGGCTCCGGACGAACTCCATCGATTCCCTCTCCATCGATAAATCTCCTACAAGACAAAGTACTCGGTCTGTCAGCCAAGATGGAAGCAGCAAGTCTGGAAGCAGTGGTATGCGAAAGCTGCTGCCTGGACACAGCAAGAGGAAAAGGAGGAAGCTCAGGGAGGAAGAGTTGAAAGTCGTAGCAGATCATTTGGCACGGGGGCGAACTGGGTCTAAATTGAGCACAACTACACCGCCAGATGCTCTGAGCAGGCAATCCAGCAGCCTTGCCCCCGACGGTGACACCAGCCTTCTTACAGACGACTCCGAAGTGGAAACACCGCCGCTCGTTTCTCGCGACTCTCACACAGGCTACCTGACGATGTCTTCTCCCTTGGTCTCCACTGTGCCCGCTCGGAACAATGATGAACCAGCACAGAATTCCTCTGCAACGCGTTCGCTTGGAAACATACCGGTATTGCTGGAGCCTGGTCAAATAAGTGGATCACCATCTTCAAAGGGCGCCCCTCCACTTGAATCAGAATCAACTTTCAATGCAACGACATTGAATGACAGAGCAGGAGGTCAGGCGCCAGCAGCAGAGGACGAGAGCATGAGTTCATATCGGGGTGTGTCGCCCTCTCGCCGCTTCCGCGACGTGTTTGCAAAGGGTAGTAAGACTTCGCCCACGAGTCCCGAAAGAAGTTCGACAGGTATGGCGAGCGGCATTTCAGGCCCCAAGAGCAGCCTTAGCCTGGTCGCTGGGACGAGTGCAACCGCCGAATCGAAGTCGCAAGAGGCAAGCCCTGGATCCTGGACGGATCAAGGCCAGCTGCAAAACCATTCCATGCCCAATCTAGACACCATGATACGGCCATTGACTCCACCTGCAGCTCTGATCAGTACGCCTGTGACCACGGTCACCCCGCCTACTCCCACCGATACGAGGTTTGAAGAAAGACCAGACCCTCCGCAGTCAAATAAAGCCGGGGTAAATCCAAAGGACGAGGCAGGCATCGTGGTCAGCCCTTCGGGAAACATGATCTCCCATCGCCGCATTCGTTCCGCCTCCTCCATCACTCATCAGCCAAGCAAGTTGTCCACTTCCATGACGGCGCCTTTAACCCCAACAATGGAGGAGAGCAAGGCGCTCTCAGGGAGCGGAACTGGCAACAGGACCCCAAGTGGTGGCTTGTTCTCTTCCTGGGTTTCTGCAGCTCAAAATGCTGCGACCACCATCACCAACCTGACCGGCCAGAATCGGACACGGTCCGGAACCAATGCGTCTGACACTTCGGTCAAGCCGAAACCGTTCGAGCAATCCATTAAGGAAGAGGAAGAGGAATCAACCAAAAAGCCGCCGGAACCCGAAGTACCTCGGAAACAATTGGCCATTGAAACCATGGGCTCAGGAGACCTCAACTTCGAGCATTTGGGTTTGGAGCCTGATGACAAAGGTTCAGCCACCACTGGACCTGATCTGGCCGGACTACGAAAAGACTCTACGCTGGCCCGGGAGAAGGCAGCCGCGAAAGTCGAAGATCTTCTTGCGAAACGAGCCGTTTCGGCGGCTTATGAAAAGCCCACTGATGCCCAGACACCGGTGGCAGAAATTGCCGACCCTGTCGGGAATGTGAAGACTTCGCAGGCATTCCCAGGCACGTTGAGCGGAGAGAAGACGCCCCCGAATGGGAGCATCGCTGACAGTGACGGTACCACGATCAAACGGACAAACAGTGTTCGCAGTAAGCTGGGCAAAAGACGATCTCGTGGGTCTTCGGCGGCAACAGGGCAGTCCGCAATTGGTGCTATGATAGGAGCTAGCACCGCGGCTCTGGTGAATCCCGCCAAAGGGCCTCGTGTATCGGGTTTCACTCTGGCTCCGAAACTGCGGAATCGGAACTTTCATCAGCAGTTTCGCAGTGTGCCCGAGGATGATTACTTGATCGAAGACTATAGTTGCGCCTTACAAAAAGAGATTCTGCTGGCGGGACGGCTTTATATCTCCGAAGGACATATCTGTTTCTTCAGCAACATTCTCGGCTGGGTCACCACGGTCGTGATCTCTTTCGATGAAGTGGTCAGCATCGAGCGGGAAAATACCGCCGTGGTGTTCCAGAATGCCATTGCCATTCAAACATTGCACGCCAGGCATACTTTCCGAAGTTTATTATACCGTGAGCAAACCTACGATCTACTGATCGGAATATGGCGCGTCAGTCACCCGGCGAGTTTCCAGAAGAGCGTCAACGGTAAGCAGTTGGCAGCTGAAGAGGCCAATGTCAACATAGAGCCTGCGGCGGAGATTGTTGGAAGTGGTCAAGTCAGCGAAGGGAGCACAACTGAGGAGTCTGACTCGGAAGGAGACAACGACAGTGCAGAGAGTCTTGCGGATAGTAGCGGCAGTCATGCTGACAGCGAGATTGGCGACGGTAAGACAGTGTCGAGGAAAGCGTCAGGCATGAATGCGGCTGCTGTCGCGCAGACAGCTAGTGTGTTGGCAGGCACTGCCAGCGACGTTCCACCAGGACTTGCTCTTCAAGCAGGCGTTCCAGAGGCAGCTAAGGACTACCCTGGCCCTGCGACACATCCTCCAACGGACTCTACTGACATCGCCACACCTTACGACAAGGCCTTGAAAGACGAGATCATTCCTGCTCCTCTGGGCAAGGTCTACTCTTTGTTGTATGGTCCCGAATCCGGGCTTTTCGTCCGAAAGTTCTTGGCCGATGAAAGCAAGTGTACTGAGGTTGTACTTGAAGACGACAAGAAAGGTCTGAATGAAGAAATCAAGAGTCGACAATACACATATATCAAACCACTTGGAGGAAGTATTGGCCCCAAGTCGACCAAATGCATCACCACCGAGACTCTGGACTTCTTCGACCTTGAAAAGGCCGTCGTTGTCACATGTTCCACGTCGACGCCTGACGTGCCCAGCGGCAACGCCTTTAGCACAAAGACTCGATATTGTCTCTCATGGGGTCCTGGAAACTCGACGAGGTTTCAGATGAGCTGTACAATCGAGTGGACGGCAAAGTCTTGGCTGAAGGGTCCAATCGAAAAGGGTGCCAATGACGGCCAACAGCAATATGGAGACAGTCTGGTGAAGGTGCTCAAAAGTGCTGTCAGCGGCCGACCCAGAGGGACCACGAATGCTAGCAAGGTGTCCAAAACGACGAAGAAGAAGCGCAAGGGCGAGAAGAAAACTAAAGAGGAGAAAGTTAAAGCTGAAGAGAAGAAAGCTGATGATTGGGGACCATTAGAGTTTCTTCGGTCTCCATTGCAACCTGCTATTTCAGTCTTGAGGCCAGTGCTGAAGATGGAGGTTCTTGTGGCGATGCTTTCTGTCATGGTGATGATATTGTGGTTGCGTGGCCCGACAGGAGGAACTGGACTGGGTCCAGCTGCCGGACTGTCACAACCAGAGCGTCTCGCGGCCTACGACGTTCTCTGGGCCGGTCAACAAGATGAATTCTGGGAGTGGCTTGAAGCCCGTGCAGGGGTCGATACCGTCCTTCTGCGGGACCAGCCCCTGTGGGGTAGTGCGGAATCGGCAAATGCCGCAAAACAGAAGGGGAACCGGCGTCAACGGGGCAAAAACCTCAACTCTGTCCTTAGAGATGTCGAGGCTAAGCTACGAGAGGAGAAAATCGGCCAGCGGGAAATGCGGGATGCGATCAAGATCACGCGCGAGAGGCTGCACGTACTGGAGGATGCCATGGAGAAAGGAAAGAAGAAAGAACCACATTCATCCTGAACGGCAGCGCGCCTGCACCGTAAGGAGGATTGCTGCATTGTTATGGCTACGCCCCTGGTCTGACGGAGCATCGTCCAGGGACACGGTGAGGTCAGAGATTATGCTGCATCGAATGGGCTTTTGGTGGAAGAAGTCTGTCTCAAGTTTTTTTTACGCGCTACGGATAATGACATTTGCATCATATCCTCGCTATCATTAGGAGACCTTGGACAAGCTGGGGAACGTCGGAGTCGTACGTGTATGGCTTACACAAGTCCCCGTCCGAACGGCATGATTGTTTTGTGTGTATTCATCGGAAAATGTCATCGGTGTCATGGGCTCTAAGCAAGCGCTGTTGGTCATTATGGAAGCCATATGCTTTCCTTGATTACTAGTACCCCATTCAGGGGATATCAAAGTGTGAACTCGCGTAGTAACCGCTGGATCTCATATTGGGTGAATTGGATAGCAGGTTAGTTTTGATATTATTATCGTTAGGTAGTATCAAAGCTGGAACTTTGTCCTGGTCTTCTCCATCTTGGCCTTCCACTCCCAATCCTGGCCGCTACGTCTCTGAATGCCCTTATCAACACGTCTCAATTTCAAAGTGAAACGGGGGCCTAACTCCTGCAGGCCGGCTCTGATGCCCTCGACGCCCTTGACTTCTTTCCCATCGGGGCCGACGACGGACTTTTCTGTCTCGCGCTTCTCGCGGAAAATGTAGCGATGGCGGCGCACAAAGATGTAATCACGCTGGTTGTGCAGGGTCAGGACCTGGCGGCCCTGCAATTGGGGTGTCGCTGGGAACAGCGAGCGGAACAGATGGGCGGTCACCAGGCCCAGCGGAGTGGTGAAATTGTTCAGGATCAGTTCGGGCTTGTGGTCGGTGGCGCGGCCGTGGCCCGGGATCGCCTTGCCCGTGTACCAGTTGGAAATGGAGAAGTGAAACGTCGGTCCCTGAGGTAGATGGACGACCGTCATCCCGGAGGGCCGTTTCTGGTCCTCCTCCAGCACAATCACCGCCGTGTACCCTTGGTTATGGGCGAACGAAGAAATCTCCCTCACGGAAAACTTGTAGCCGTACCGGTGCGACGACCGTCGGATGTATTTGCTGTTGGGGAACAGAGAGGTCAGAATCGCCGCTTCGTCGTGTAGCGTCGAGTTGATGGACGTGGTAATAAGGATTTTGGGGTCTGGCGGCGGAGGCGCGTCTGGCGATAGAAACAGAGTTGGGAATTTCGCCGCCAACGCCGCGGGTGCAAGGGACAGATTGGTCGAAGTTGTCGACCGGGTGGGCGAGGCTGCACGGTCTTGTTCGGGCTGCCGTTGTTGTTTGCTTTTGCGCAATATCTGGGATTTTGACGGGAGCGGATCATGCGCCGCCTCGTGCGGTTCTAGGTCTTCTTCTTCTTCTTCTTCAGAGTGAGAGCCCCCCTCGCGGTCACTCTCGCTTTCGTCCAGCATGGAATCGTGATCTTCGTCGTCATCATCGCTTGGAGTTTCGTCCTCTTCTTCTCCCGCAAGCTCGAGTCGTTGTTCTTCAGCCAGTTTTCTTCTCTTCATCCTCTCCACGTCGTAGACCATGCCCAAACCGCCATCTTCGGGCTCATCTTCAACCTCGTCGTAGACACGTTTCTTGTCGATCGTGATGGGGATGTTGCGCCGCAGCCGCTCTTCGCGCAGTTGAGGGTTCTTGGCTTCTTCCTTTTTCCGCCCAAACCGCTCGGCTCGCTTTAATGCATCCCGCGCCCGCTTCTGCTTCAAGTGAAGTTCTTGTCGCTTTTGCTTGTTGGCTGTCCGGAATGGGAGGGCGGCTTTATCGGAGAGTTTGGTTCGGGACGGCATGGCTGCGTAGGTACAACAAGTATACCCTGTGCCAGTGATATAAGTATGCGCAGGTGGCTTATTCGCCGGGTGCGGTGTGTATGAAAATCAATGGATTTCCCCTTTGTATTGCCTCCTTTCACCAGGGCATGTCCTCAGGATGCAACAAGTGTTGGCGGAAGAACGGACGGCGTACAACGCAGAACAAATTCCCAACTTCGTCTCCTCTGGTAGTTGTACTTTGCCGGCCGGGAAAAAAGTTTTGGGCGCGGAACAAACCAACGCTACTGGCAGTGATAGCGGCCGATCATCTCTCCGCCAATCGTCGGGCACACTGCACTCACCGCAAGGCTGGACTGTCCCTATGGGTATGTGGCTGGTGCAGCCTTATCTGTGTCAGTGATTAGTCATCTGGGGCTGCGTGTTCGTGTGTAACAAATGCTATACGGAGAAAGTAGTCTCCGAACATTGCACCACAAATTTTGGTGACTCCTTCATTGAGGGACCACTCGTAACCCAGCTCCGCCGTCATTCATTGCCTGCGCTCACTCTTCGCAAGTCTCGCAGGAGTGCCTTTTATGCTCCCTGTGTCTCGTACATGCGCCCTCTGAGCCTGTTATCGAGAGCGACCAAAGGCCACCACTTTTCCTCGGAATTTGTGAGATCGTTCGGTTCGACATCATCTGCGCTCCGGTTTCAACCCATCAAAGCCAGCAAAAAAGCACCCGTCAAGATGGCGACCAGTACCACCAAGACCGGGCAGCCGTTAGATCGGGCAGCTCTCGAGCCGGTGCTGCGTCGGAGGATGTTCTACACGCCTTCGTTCGAGATCTACGGAGGAGAGCGTGGCCTGTACGACTACGGTCCGCCAGGCTGCGCCCTGCAAGCCAACGTGGTGGATTTGTGGAGGAAACACTTTGTCCTGGAAGAAGACATGCTTGAGGTCGACTGCACCATGCTGACGCCCGAGGCGATCCTTCAGACAAGCGGCCACGTGGAGAAGTTTGCCGACTGGATGTGCAAGGACCCCAAGAGCGGCGAGATCTTCCGAGCGGACCATTTGGTCGAGCAGGTCCTCGAAGCGAGGCTGAGGGCAGACAAGGATGCTCGTGGTCAGACGATCGAGGTCGACGAGGCCAAAGAGGCCAAGAAAAAGAAGAAGATTAAGGACACTGAAATCAAGAAGCTCGACGACGCCGTGGTCAAGGAGTACGAAGAGACTCTGGCCAAAATCGACAACTATGGAGGAGACGAGCTTGGAGACCTTATCAAGAAATTCGACATCAAGGGCCCAACCACCGGTGCTGATTTGGATCCTCCCAAGGCGTTCAACCTCATGTTCCAGACTCAGATTGGTCCCAGCGCTGACAAGCCAAATGGCTATCTTCGTCCGGAGACGGCTCAGGGCCAGTTCTTGAACTTTCAGAAGTTGTTGGAGTTCAACCAACAGGGCATGCCATTCGCTTCGGCGTCCATTGGCAAGTCGTTCCGAAATGAGATTTCCCCGCGATCCGGTCTCCTACGAGTGCGCGAGTTCTTGATGGCCGAAATCGAACATTTTGTCGATCCCAAGAGTGGCAAGAAACACCCTCGCTTCGAAGAGGTCAAGGATGTCAAGTTGACTCTTTTGAACCGGAAAACGCAACTCTCTGGCAGCACCAAACCCGACGTGCTGTCCATTGGCGAGGCAGTGTCTTCTGGAGTTGTGGACAATGAAACGCTCGGCTATTTCTTGGTCCGCATTCAGGATTTCCTGTTGAAGCTCGGGATCGACCATTCGAAACTGCGGTTTCGGCAACACATGGCCAACGAGATGGCCCATTATGCCGCCGACTGTTGGGACGCCGAATTGTTTACCACTTACGGCTGGATCGAGTGTGTTGGCTGCGCCGACCGAAGTGCGTATGATTTGACCGTGCACGCCAAAAAGACGGGAGCCCCGCTCGTGGTGCGCGAAACCTTGGCCGAGCCCCTTGTTATTGAAGAGTACCAGATCGACCTGGAGCGCAAGAAGTTGGGCCCCAAGTTCCGCAAGGACGCCAAAGCCGTCGAGGCCGCCGTGGATGCTTTGTCGCAAGAGCTGCGTGAGAAGTTGTCCCTGGAGCTGGAGAAGAACGGCAAGATCGAGGTGCAGACGCCTGGTGTGGGCAGCGGCACGACCGAACTCGACAAGGACCTGATCAAGATCGAAAAGAGGAAGCGAACCGAACATATCCGCGAATACACGCCCAACGTGATCGAGCCCTCGTTTGGAATCGGTCGCATTTTGTACAGTTTGATGGAGCATGTCTACTGGACCCGCGAAGGCGACGGCGCCCGTGCCGTCTTGTCGTTCCCCCCGACCGTCGCGCCTACCAAGGTCCTGCTCGTCCCCTTGTCCAGCCACCCGGATTTCAAGCCCTTCGTCAAGAAGTTGACCACCCGTCTGCGGCGCACTGGTATCTCCAACCGGGTCGACGACTCTTCTGCCAGCATTGGCAAACGATATGCTCGCAACGACGAGCTCGGTACCCCCTTTGGCATCACCATCGACTTCCAGACCGTCAAGGACGGTTCCTTAACGCTAAGAGAACGTGACTCGACCAAGCAAGTCCGAGCCAGTGAGGACGAGATCATCGCCGCCGTCAAGTCCCTGGTCGATGGGGAGGAGACTTGGGAGGATGTTTTCAAGAGATTGCCTGTGTTTGAGGGACAAGACCTCGAATAGACGGAGAGAGTGCGTCTGATGGAACAAAATAACGAGACGGCAAGTGCAGAGACGTCTTAGACACTAGGATTCCTTTTTGGTCAATGATGCTCTTCTGCGTTGCTCCTGTTTTCATAATCATGTAACCAGCTCTTTTCTTTTCTTTTGTTCCTCAGAAGAAAGAAAAAGGCACAACCTGTGATGGTGCCATCATTTGACCTGCCACAGCCGGAAGGCCAGATAGATTGAGCACCTCGGAGATGACGGCCAGAGCACCGTGGCGGGAAATCGCTGGGCCATGGACTCCAAAACTGAATCAAGACGTGAATGATAAAATGTTACAAAATTAAGCATGCCATAAAAAGAAATGGAACCGAATTGCAAAAGATGGAAACTATTTGTATAAGAAAGCATTCAAATGGAGATATAGCTGCCAGCAACAATGTACCGCAGCTGTGCTCAACTTATTGTAGAACAGGCAGAGACGTCCTCCCAACATGTTCGGGTGCCAGTTGTTGTGTTATACGGTTATAATATACCTAACCTAGCTCTACGCCTCGCACCTAGACTAGACAACACGCTGGGCCGCCTTCCTCATATCAGTCCTCCAGTCCTCGAAATAAGGCTTCATCAACCCCATCACCTGTTCCTTAGTCGGGTGCGGATTGGCCATGATGCGCAAGTACCAGTCGTCCTCGGCGGCCATCTCGGGTGGCTGGTACTGCAGCCGTAGTTTGTTCTGGGTTGAGATCGGGTCGACAAAGTTCTGGAACACCTTGCGTCGTTCGTCATTGTAGACGTCCAGCACGGCGTCGGAGCGGCCTTCCTTTAGGATCATGATCAGGGCTTCGGCGAATGCTTCGATGTCGAGGATGCCCGTGTTGAGGCCGAGGGCGCCAATGGGCTGCAGTGCAAGAAATACAGTCAAGTCAACAAATGGTGGCTTTGCATTGCAGGGCCAAAAAAGAAGGGGAGGGGAAGCGGAGGCTAGACGGATATATCTCTTTTTCTTTCTTTTCCAACCCCTGCTCCACAAATTCTGGGGCGTGTAAAACAGGGAATGTATGTACGTAGCCGGACGCTGAGAAGCCAAAGGACGAGAAGGGCTGCGCGCCACGGGGGTGGAATAAGATAGAGTCGAATATTTTTCCTTACCTTGCAAATGTGCGCGGCACCACCGGCCAGGAGAATCTTACGCTTGCGCATCGTTGGTGCAAGTCGTTGGTGAATGTTGTAGAGTGTGCGCCACTTGATTTCCACCTGCAGCGGTCGGGGGCCTGCCATGGTCCGCTCGTAGAGTTTGAAAATGTACTCGTCTGAGGTGAGTTCGTCGCCTGACAACCTTGCTTCAGGGTCCTTGGCCATGGCCCAACGCCACAATGTGGTCTGGCCAACGATGGGGTCTTCTAGAGGCGTACAGACGCTCCAATGCTTGCGATCCAGGAGGAAATGCGTGGGAAATGGGACGGCCTCGTTCTTGATCATGACATTGGTCGCAAACAGGCGTTCTGGCCACGTGTGGCCCGCGAAGGAAAGACCAAGACCCTTGCGAACTGCAGAGTGCGCGCCGTCGGTACCTACGGGGTATTTCGCGCGACATCTCTTTTTCTCGCCAGTCTTGGTGTCACGGGCCAACACTGTGACTCCTTCGGCGGTGTTTTCCAGCATTGATGTAAATTCGGTGTCGAAGTGGACTTGCACTCGACCACTCTTCAAACCCTCGCGAAGTAGCAGTCGGTTTAGCTTGCCTTGGGATAGATTCAAAATCCCATTTCCCGGTTTGAGTTCCGTGTCGTCTGGGGCAGCGAGTGGCTGTGAAGCGAGGATGTCTCCGAGTCTCTTGCCGCCTTCGCCATCGTCCTTGGGCAAGGTTCTCCAGAGCATCCCTCGAACCATGAACCCTTCCTCTCGGATCAATTTGTACAGTCCTATTTTCTCGAGATAAAGCTGTACGGGACCGTGATACCCGCAGGCACGAGGATCATCAGGAGGCCCTGATACTCTCTCGATGACTTCAACTTCAATGCCCGCCTGAGCCAGATGGTACGCAGCGAGGAGGCCCACGACACCGCCTCCGATGACGAGGACGGGCTTTTCTCCTCCTAATCAGATGGATTGGCACCATCGCGATTCGTTTGGGGCGCGCGGCTGTCGTTGGTAGTCATGCTGTCCGTAGAGAAGTCGTTGGGTTAGGGCCGGAGCAGAGAAGGGAGAAGGCTGCTGAGGAATACGGACTTGGGCTGTACGACTCGAGAAGACATGGTTTCCAAACCCGCCGCAGAGAGAGCCCCTATATACGTCTTTTTCGTACCGCCTCGGCACCCAGTATGGTGTGGACGAGCCCCCCTGCGACAATGACCGCTTTTAACCCCACTGGCCAGCAACCCGTTGAGACACGGTCATGGAAGCCCGCCCGCGTTGGAGTCGGCTTGAACTGAAGGACCGTCTGGCCGATTGAATGGGTCGATACCGCTCGGACCCTACTTGTTATGGGTGTTCCAAATACACGAAGAGCGCTTTATGTTGTGGGACCGCAGCACAAATGTGACCAGAGCCACTAACGGAAAGATCTATTCAGCCTCGTCGGCCGTCAAGTCAAGAGCACCAGTGCGCTCTCCATCCTACCAGCACGGCTTTCCAAGAGCCTGTTTAGCTTTGTGCAACATCACGAAAGCCTTGCATCGATCTTGCTCGCAGATTCGCTGTTTGTCTTCGCCTTGGCCGAAATTTTAAGCTAGTGGTTTCCCTGTGTCCAAACCACTAAGCATGAATTGAGGTCCTGGCGTACAGAACTGGTCGGTTGACCCTTGACTCCATGGCCGAGGCGTCGGTAGATGCCCCTCGGAAATAGACTCGATTGATAGGTAACGAGCCTTTCAACAGCTGCCGACAGTTCATGTGGACAGCGAGTACATGACTGAGACCCTGGAGGGTTATTCCAGGTGAGCAGCAACTTGTTTCATGCAACACAAAAGCTGTCGGTATGCATTGGATGGACCCATCATGTTCTATAAAGAATAAAAGTCAGCATCAGCGGTTGGAAGCATCAGAGAGGACTACACTTTGAGTAACATGTGTTTCGCCGTAGAATCGGCTTATCGATAAGACATTCCTGCGGCGCGTGCCCTTGAGATGTCCGACAGTTTGTTACTCGAAGTGGCATTCTGTTTCTGTTTCTGTGTCTGTTTCTGTTTGGCACCTCAGTCAATAAAATGAATCGATCAATTCGCCCTCCTCGAAGGTTTCCCGGCCGGTGAATGTCCTGAATCTGCGTTTTTCATGTTCAAACCATATTCACTACTAATAAATCCTATCCCTACACCAACTCGCGATGCCTCCCTCACGCCCGCCGCCGCCTGAGTTATCCCCCACCAGCGCGCATTTCCTGTCCTCCGCGTCGCACGCTGGAACAACGGGCTCTGTACGAAGAAACCTGTTCTCGGCTCATCTGTCACGTCGGCCGGCGTCTAGAACAGGATCGCAAACTGCCAGTGCGTCTCAGACAACATCGCACAGCCAAGGCAGTACTACCAGTACCAGCAATGGTACTTCTCGAACCACCGCTCGAGACCAACAACAACAGCAACAGCCGCCCAGTCAACCGACCAACAACCCATACCAACATCGGGCACTACCTCATCCGCGGACGCACCAACGGTCCGTTTCGACGCCTTCACTCTCTCCGTCCCCTCCACAACTATCTCCCTACACCAGCCGCAACATGTCTCCCGAACCGGGCCAGGATGGGCACCAGCAGCAGCAGCACGCGACATTCGAGTCGCCCGCGGCAGGCCGACGGCGACTTGACCACCAACGACGACACCCCTCGCCGCCCAGTAATGGCATCCCACAACTCCAACATCAGCAACACCACATCCTCCAGCCAACAACATCCTCGTCCAGCCACCGTGCCCTTCTAACCGAGGGCTACGACCCGACCATTTCCCCCAATCGACCGCTCAGCCCGCGGTCGACCGCAACACTATTTCCTAATGCGTCCATTATCGCCCTCAACCCGCTCACAGGCAGACCGGTCCTGCCTCGTCTCCCAGTTCTACCTGGGCGACTACGACTATCTGATGCCGACGACGACAACAATGGACAACAAACCCCGGGTGGCGACGACGATGTCGACATGCACCAAGGACACAACCCACATTACGCCGAGGACGAGGCGGTGGCACGAGCATACCAGCGGGGACGGAGAAGACAAGAACAAGAAGAAGCCACCACTCCCGACCATATCCAAGCGGCGGCCGTGATGGCAGAAGCCGAGGCCGAGGCCGAAGCAGACGAAGAGCGCCGCGATCGCGAACGCATTGAGCGACTGCTGCGCGAAATGATGGCCAGACAACGTGCCCGGGCGGCGATGAAAAGCAAGTCTTCCGTGGCGACCAGCGGCCCTGGCGGCAACAAAGCCTCGTCTTCGCAATCGCACTCGCAATCATTTAATCGAGTCGCCCGGCGAAGGAGAGGAGGAGGAATCGACGCAGCAAACAACATGAACACCACCACCAATAAGGGCGCCAGCGCCAGTAATACTAATATTAATACTAATGACCACCTGACGAGTCACCATCACGCTCAAAACGAGACTGCTGAGTATGAATACTTTGACGATCACGACCACGATGACCCTCCAGATCCTACTAGTAGTAGCTACTACCACTACGGAGGACAGAGTTCTTTCCAGACTACACAGCCCGACTACTCGGAATCAGAAGAGGCCGAGCGAGAAGAACTCATGGGTCTGATCATGGGCAGTCTCGGGCGAGAAGTTGCGCGCGCCGAGGAAGAGGCCTGGATGTTTGGCGAGTCATCGACCACCGGCATGGGCTTTGGGGCTGCTGGAAGGGATGAGATTGGAGTGTATGATTGATTGACCAGCCCACCACAACCAGACCCAGTAACAGTTAGGTACCTAAGGGGAAAATGACAATACTGGCAGGAACAAAAATGACCAAAAAGTCAGCTAGTGGTGTGTGTTCTTTGGTGTCTCTGTTCTTTGTATGATTTGAACTGCCGGCGCACTGAAGACCAGGTTCAAACCCCATCCATCCAGCCGTTCCTTGGCTAAATTAGCCACGGAGAAAGATCACATCAACAAATAGAACAACAACAACAACTAATAGAGGCTGATATAACCTCTATTGTCGCTCAATGTTACTCAATCCAGATCCATGGTAGGCGGCTTTTCAATCTCCTTTGCAGCAGGCGGAAGTTTCGGCGTGCCAGCTTTGGCAGCAGGACTACTGGCTGCACCGCCGCCGCCGCCGAACAACATACTCCCCATCATATCAAACAGCGGATTCCCACCCTGTCTAGGCAGACGGATGCCGAACCAGATGTCGCCGATATTGGCAAGAGCGTCGCTCCAGAGACCTTCGGTGTCCTTGAGATGGGAGGCGTAGTACTTTGCCAGCTGGCGGAACAGACCGGCGTCGGCCTTTTGGGCCGCGAGCAGCAGCAACGCCAGGAAATTGAGGAGCGGAATGGACGGGAACACGCGCAGACTCAAGCCGGACTTGCTCGACTCCAGAGGCTGCGACATGGCGAGTAGAGCCGGGTTCGACGTGGTCAGGTGTGAGGTAAAAGTGCTGAGGGCTTGGTTGGCAGACGCCAGGTCGCCAACCAGCAAGTATGGCAGGACGGAGCGCGACGCGTAGATGGCCGCCAGGTGCGGCTGGTCGAGCCGATACCAGTTGTAATGCAGTGAAGCGAGGATAGGGGCCGACTCGCGCGTACCTAGAATCAAGTGTCGTTCGGCGTCGTAGACTTCTCCTTCTGTAGAGACACAGATGGATGGTTAGTATATATATTCTTCCATGGTCCTCCCTCCCCTCCAAAGCACTCGCAACCGCATCCAGTGATTGATCGATGTAATGTGTACTGTTGAACATACCTTCAGCATAAACCTTGCCCGCCTCAAAATGAAGCTCCGGATCGCCCCTCTCGATGTCCCCAAACTTGGCCGACCAAGCAACCATTTCAGTAATAAATCTCTTTCTCGTCGGCTCGCCCGTCGGAAACGCACGCAAGATTTCCACCAGCCGACTCTTATTTTCCTGGTTACACACCCACTCGCCCTTGACATAGACGTCGTTCAGCAGCATCAGGGCCAAATCGCCGCCGGAACCGCCCTGGCCCGCCCGCAGTAACATCAAAGATCCAGTGTGCAAGACATCGCTGGCGGACGCGTAGTCGTGGGCCTTGAGGTAGCGCGCCGTGATGACTCGGAGTTGTTGATGGGCTTCGTAGAAGTTGCCTTCTGCGATCCTACCCGAGAGAGTGTCAGTCAATCAAAAGGACCTCGGGCGAACTACTGGTAGGATGAGTTATGGGGATCTAAAACTTACTTCTCCTTCTGGCGGGCTATCGTCTTTGCGATTTTGGCCGTCGACATTGTTGTCTTGTTTGTCGCTCGGTGTGCGAGATGTGAGATGTGGGGATGTGAGATGCGACTTCGATGCCGATGAGGAGGAGATGAGACGGGAGAACAGAGCAGGAATAGAGAGTGCGAGAGCGTGTGTGATAGAGAGATACTAGTAGTACTATGTAGATAGAGACGGCACTGGCAGCCTGCAGCGCTCGACGGGATGAGCTCAGCTGCTCGATTGGAAAATTGCAGGTCTGTCCGTTGCCTTGGGCCTGCGGTACAGTTGTATATAGGTGAGGAGTACGGCGAGAGTGAATCAGGTGCCTAGTACCTGAAGTTAGTAGTAGCACAACACTATCAACCTCACTGCAGGCTGATGAGTTGCAGTGAATATACAGTAGTAGTAGATTACCTGGTAGGTAGTGTCCGCGGTCTAGAGGCATTGAGGCGACGTCATTCCAAGTTCGGGTTCAAGTGGTCGCAGCCTCAGCTTGGCACAAGTACAACGTGCCTAGGTATACCTGGAACTGTAGCCTCGTGGCGCTCAGCCTTGCGATCGACATCCCCAACTTGAGCTGGCAGTACACACTGGCAGTACGATGTAGTACTAGGACTAGTAGTAGGTACCTACGTTAGTCCTACTGCTACTACTACTTTCTTTTTCTGGTTGATAAAGATATAGGATTCTCATTGTCGAAAAAGGGTCCTGCAGAAACGACGCGGCGCGGCAATTCGCCATCGAGTCTTGCAAGGCCAAGTAGGTACCTAGTAGTTATTGTCAAACCCGTCCCACTTTCCAACACAATAACTTAGTATAGATGAGGTTCCTGCTCAAGGTATACAGTAGGTGTGGTACCAACTAACAAAACAACACATCACACACCTGAGCATGTCTGTCATGTCTGTGATGGTGATGACCAAAAGGACAAAAAAAAGAGGAAGATATCAGACCTTCCAATCAAACCTGTCAGTTCAGTCCTGTGTGTATCAAACTCCGAGGGCCATGCATGCACGCTGCAAAGAAGATGTAACCAGGATACAAAAAACAACAACAACAGAAACAAGCGCGGCCGCAGGCACAAGCCCTAGCACTGGACTCGGCTCTGGGCTACGGGCGTGCCATAAAAATTCCACCTCAGCAAGGAGATCCTTCGTCTTTCGTTCGTCAATTCTCGACGTCGCAAAAAGTCGCTTCTCTTCTGCTCCCGTGTTTACGACGTTTTCTCATCCTCCTCCGCCATGCTTTCTAACCCTCCGTTGCCTGTAGCTCCACCGGCACTGCCGCTGTTACTTCTGGTATTCTTCGGGGTGCGAGAACTTCCACCAGTCGGACTCAAAGTTGAATTTTTCTTCACCGATCCGTTGCGGACTGGTGTAGGCGTTTTTTCTGTCGAGGTCGACGAGCCACTGCTGTTTCCCAGAGTAGGAGGAGGTCGGGCGAACATGGCCTTCAAGGCCGCCTTGGTTTTGGCCTTTTCTTCCTTTTCTTCCGCCGCTTTCTTGGCCGGATCATCTTGCGCCTTCTCCGCCGCATATTGTTTCCACTTCCTCCATCCGTCGAAATCTATCAGGGCTTGCATACAGCCCCATTCGGTGACTTTACGCTCCATCCATACAAAATTGACCGGCTATACTTCCCAGTTAGTGATGCCTTCCCCAACCCAGGACAGGAGCAGCGTGCGTTCTGTCGCTTACCTTTGTCAAAAAGTCGTTACACCCTGCCGCCAACGCTTCGTGCCTGTCACTCTGTAAACTGCTGGCCGTCAATGCCACAATGATGACGGGGCTCTTGAATAGACTTCGGTCAGGTAAAGCATCTTCCTCTCCGACCGGACCACCGTTCTTGGGAGACATCCTCGCGCCAGCATCGATGGGGCTTCCGCCAAAAACGCCGATACCGTTGACAGCTTCGAGACGTCGGATTTCCTTGGTGGCTTCCAGGCCGTTCATCACAGGCAGCTGGATATCCATCAAGACCAGATGGAACCCGCCAGTTTTCCACATGGCCACGGCTTCCTTCCCATTCATGGCCGACTTCCATCGGACCTTCAACCGTTTCATGAAAGCTTCCAGCAACTTCAGGTTGATGACGTTGTCCTCCACAATCAGCACGTTGATGGGTGGGACCGTGCCGTCTAATAAAGCAGCGGCAGCTGGCTGGGAAGATGATGGCGGGTCACCCTTGCTCGACCGGCCCATGATGGCATCCTTTTTCCTTTTGTACTTCTGACCCGGGTGTGGAGAGGAAACGCGATTGGGTGGAGTAATGGTCGAACCGTGGTCATTGACACCTTGCGCGGGAGGAGGTGTTGGGAGAGGAGGTGCCGAGGGGACGGTGCCGTTGATCTGTGATTGAGATTCTGCTGACCCTAGTTAGCTCAAGCCAGTCCTCGTCTGGTCACATGGGGTTATTCAACCGCACCTATGACCTGCCCCGTAGGCTGGACGGTATGTAAAATGGTGGGGCTGCTGGTATGTTGCCGTCCGTACTTGGGCCGTCCATGTCTCCTTTGCCCATGGGATCCTGGGCTGGGTAAAGGCGGCACCTGGCCTGTAGTCAGGACCGACATGGCATGGGTAACGCCATTGTGTTGTACTTGCGCCAAGTGCGGCGAGTGCACGGGCATGGGAGGAAAGTATTCTCGAGCCGCATCGTCAGGCCGGTATTGGTCTGGGTAGTAGTAGGATACTTGATGGTTGCCCGGTCGAGGAGATGCTCGAGGTGTTCGGCGTGAAGGGACTTCGATAATCAGCGCTTCGTCCACAGTTTGTCCACCAGGGTAATATGCATCGAGGGTTGTTCCAATGGGCTCTTCAGGGCCCAATACTCGTTCCGCGGTCACCACCTTATTGCTTTGCTCGCGGCTGACGATTTTCAATACGATATCGGGAGCGTCGACGCTCCGGCCGAGGGAGTTTGCATATTTCCGCAGAATCACATCACGGACATTGTCCACCAGATCATCTTCGGCCACTTCGACTCTCGTCGGGGAAGCTCCGGGACGCTTCACCCATATCTTTCTCTGCATCGCTCCGGCGCTATCATGTCGAGTGCATGACTGACTGGGCAGGGTAGGGACGGTCGGAGTGGAGGGTCGCTGAACGAAAAGCAGAGGAGGTTCGGAAGCAATGGTCGGCGGAGCAGACGTGTCGTCCACCGCGGAGGAGGGACGACTGGCTGCGGTCGAGGTGGAGGTCGTTGAAGGACGCGGTGGTTCAGCAAATTCTTCGATGATAGTAGGTTTGGAGACTGAGGCTGTGGTCGAACCGCGGTGGGTGGCCGCTACAGAAAGACCAGAGTTGCTTCGGGTGGGTTGGATCGGTGGAAGAGGAATGGTTGATGGACGTGTGGCTGGTGCGTTTGGAGCGTCGCGATCGGGCGGTTCGGCTGTCTTATTGGGTGGCACCGGGTCAAGAGGGTCGACCGAGTCGGGGGTGGGCTCGTTAGCAGGCTCACTAGCAACAGTCGTTGTGGGAGTGGTCGTGGTCGTAGTACTGCCAGTCCCAGTCGTGGTGGTGGCCGTGAGAGGCGTCGACTCCAGTGGAGGAGGCTCTCTGCTACGGCTCTTTCGAAATCGACTGTCTAGGCTTCTTCTCTTCGCCCCCGACTTGTCTCGGTTTCTTCGTGGCAGATTGAGGTTTGCTAGACTCGCCAGTGTAGGCAAGCCAAATCCCGTGCCAGCTGGGCTTCGGCCTGTGTTGCGGCCATCTTGGTCAGAGGGTTCTGTGGCGGTAGATTCGAGGTTGTTGCTGGCGGCGGCGCTGGCGCTGAGACTGCGAAACAAAGGGAAGGTTGAGCCTGAACGCGTTCTTGATAGGGGCATCCCGGATACCAGGCGCTGCCTGATCTTAGGGGAGGGCAGTGTCAGGCCCGTAAGAGCAGCGTGTGAGGCCGCAGCCGGTGTGTAAAGCGAGGAGCATCGGGAGTCAACCTGGAGCGAGTGAAGGAATGGAATGTCCGAGTCGACGGCAGCGAGCAGTCAAAACGGCAGAGCGAGACTCTGGCATCGGCCACTTCAGCACGGCAGGAATAATGACTTTTTCCACGGGTCCGTCGACCGACTGGAATTCTACACTGGCACCACAATACTACCTAGTGACAGGTCGGACCCTGGCCAATTCGAAGGAAGGAGAATGCTGCCAGCAACAAGGCAGTTGGTTATATACAGAGAGATTGGTCTTATTTGAGGTGGTGATAGCAGTTTACTACGTTTACTATTGCAGTCCTAGGTGGTAGGCGAGGTATGTCCACGTCCACGGCCTCTCAGCCGGATCTGCTCATTTTGAATCCAGTCCCAGTTCTATCCCTGCTCCTGATCCCTACTACTGCCAGTGTCATCCATCCACGCCTGCCAGTGGTCTCTGGTCGAAGCTGTTTTGCCGCCTCGCATGGCTCCTCCAACTTCAAGTATACACAACACCTACCTTTAGTACTATTTCAGAAGAGCACTGCAACAACTAGAGTACTGACCGCGACTCTCTCCAAGAAACCCCCGTTTCTGCGGCTCTTTCACCGCACAAATCTTCCACGTCCTACTAGTATGTTGTCGCCATCGTCTGCCAGTGCTGCCCACCTTGGCTATCTGCTAATAAACAATTTCCCGTCTCTGCTCCCCGCTGCCACCATCTGCTAGAATGCTGGGAGCTCACTCGCTTACAGGCACTCCTACTTGGAATTCTTACTAGTCCTCCAATTACCCAATCCTAGTATCCGTCTCATCGCACCCTGCCAGTACTGCTATACCTAACTGAACAGAGCATGCCTCTCCCGGATTAGACCAGTCTGCGGGCTGCAGTCGCCTCAAGACAGTACGTCTCTGGCTTTGATGGCCACGAGACTTTCACTGGTAAAAGATACGCGGAATCTTGAACAGGCTCTACTCGATAGTAGGCATATCACTCTAGGTATGGTATGCAATCCCATCGTTGAAGTCCGATGCCTCCGTTGCCGGCAAAACAATCAAACAGTCCACGGCCGATCCAGCTATCCATATCCACTGTAGTGCTGCAAATAACACATTCCTTTCTGACGATTTCCTCCGTGTCCACACCATGATAAAATGAGATACCACTGAATGCTGATCCGGAAATGACAGAATGTGCGCTGAAAAAACAAAAACTAAAAGCAGAGGCTTCTCACGCGGGTCCAGAGGCAATGTGTAAGCCTCTTCGATTTCTGTTGACCACTCAATCCATAACGCCACTTCGCTCTGCTTGCCTGCCTGTTTCCGTTTCCCTCGCTTGCGTGCTCGTCGTATGTTGTCTGCTAAATGGGGAATCTCGTGCTAGAATAGTCGGAAAAGAAACGAACAAACCCAGATCAATCGATCCCTTTGCGATAAATGTCCATACCCTTCTGCCGGCGCTCGCGATGTTTACCACAGCCCACTCTGCGCCAGCACCTGTTGCAATATTTGCAGTCATTTCCTTCATGATCACGATCGCCCAGCCGCCAAATGAGGTACACGACCAAAGTGACAAGGCCAAGCTTCCAATCACCTTCCGAGCATATGATCCGAGTACATGCCATTCATGCCTGGTATCGCCGACCCACTGTTGAGTGGTGGCATCCCTCGTAGACTTGGCAAGCCTCCATTACCCCCGTTGACCGCAAAGCCGGGGTTCACGAAAGATGGAGGAGGCGCAACGCCGCTGGTCGGCGACAGGCCCATGTTCAACCCTGGCGGGGCTGACAAACCAGGTGGTGGACCGTTGGCGGTTGAGAAGCCTGCAGGAGCTGGATTGCCGAATCCATTCATGCCCATGGGTCCGGTAGCACTCAGTGGTGTTGTAGGGGTTGCGCTTCCAGGTTGGCCTGCCCGCACACCCAAGGGGTTCTTTGAGAAGCTCAGACGGATGCCGCCCTTGACACTGTTGTGAAGCTGTGCTCCGTACAGCTCGTTCAGCGCTTTCGTGGCAAATGAGATATCTTCAAACTCGACAAAACACATGGGTCCATTATGCTTCGTTCGGAAGCACAACCTCTTGTACCCCCTCTGTTTCGAAAAGATCGCTTTCAACTCATCCTCTGAAGTGTCCATGGGGAGATTCCCGACGTACAAAGTGTTACAGGGCGGATTCTGATCCGCAGGGTTCGCGGGAGGATAGTTGTGCCGGATAAAGGGCTGGCTAGGTCCAAGGTATGACGCAGGGGTTCCCACGGCAGGAGGAAACTGTGTCTGTGGAGTACGGGATGACACTGCTGTCCGTGGGGAGGTGTAGTTGTTGGCCGGACCGCTGCCCACATTGGTGTTGAGGGAAAGGGCCGAAAAGGCTGCAGTGGGAATACGTGGATTCGTGCCTGTTCGGCCTGTGCCCGGAGTCGATGAATGATGCATGTAGGCCACAGGGTCTTTGAGCAACTCTCCTGTGTCATCGTCGCCTATATCCTCACCAATAACCTTCTTACCGCTCACGCGGGATCGTTCGCTGCCCACACTCACGACGGGAGACTGCGGTGTGAATATGGTTTGTAACTGTGAGCTGGTATCAGAGGATGCCTGGTCGGGCGGCGATCCAACGGCGGGAGGAGACATCTTGTCCATTGACTGAAAGGTGCCGTTGAACCTCGACGCCTTCTGGGCGGTTGCGAGTGGCGGGGACAGCGAGTGGACACCCTTTCGCGCCGCCATGGGATCAATGGTATTTCGCCGGGGCATCGAGGTCATGGTTGGTCCCACGACCATCTCGACAATCATTTTCGCTTGGCCGGCCGTGTTGGGCTTGCCATCAAGCATTGCCCGCGCTTCGGCCGCCCCGGCGATCGAGCCAAAACGGGCAATAGCTGTGGTGAAACCTGCATCCTCATCGTACTCGTTGGGGATGATCTCCGCATCTCGGAGGTCTTTTGCAAAAAGAAGCATGGTCCGGACGGCTTCAATTGTCGTATTCGGGGGTAGGCGACGCAACAAAACGGTTGGCAAGCCGACGAGAGCCTCATTGACACTCGACATCCGTCGATCGCCCGAAGCGCCCTCAAAGCTTACAGGCTGTGAAGGCATGTTGTAGGGATTTGAAAGAGTAAGGTGCAACCGATTCTCCGGTGGACTGATGGCGGCAGCACACATGCTCACCTGCGGCAGATGAGACGCTGTTCAACTGGCTATGACAGGGCGATGTGGATATGGGAAGACAACAGCACTGCTCCGGCTCTCGAGTCACCTTTTGGAGGCAATGCCACGCTCTGCTGGCAGCCTGGAGAGCTTGGCTGAAAATGGAAGGGAGCACTGCTGCCAGTCTGGTCTAGGTAGATGTTATAGACAATAGCAAGACCAAGGCAACCGAAGGTTGAAAGACCATATTCAGCGTCGCTAAGGTAGGCTTATAATCGGTCGTTCAGCCCCGATGTAAACCCTCAATGCCACTCCGACAAGAAGCTGCTCGCTTGCGCCTCGACAGCGAGCCCCGCGGTATCGTTGCGTCAATAGTCAATGGCGGCTGGTTCAAGGAGAACGCGCAAGGTACCTGACAATGTGTTCGAGATAGCGGGATCCACAGCTGGTTTGACTGTGCTTCACGTGTCGCAGATCAGGCCGCGTCAAAATGGGACAGACGGTACAAGGTTGAATAAAGATGCAATGGAAATGGGAGACGGCGACAAAGGCGGCGGAATGTGGTGGAAGTGAATGTTTGAACAGAGGGACACTCTTGATGCGGTAGTGAGAAGATGGCTGAGACCAGAGAGGCTCCAAGGAACTCGAAAGTCCTGGAGGTGGGATAGCGATTGAGCGCCCGCGGAATATTTTGGCGGCGACCAGTGGCCAGTCGATAGCAGCGATAAAGGCACACTAGGCCCGTGTTTGGCATCAACCCAGGATGATCAATTGTGCCAATCCGGTGCCGGGTGGCTTGCAGGGAGGGCCCGAGCACCAGAGTTGGAGGCACAGAGTGGGCAGGATAAGATAGAAATCGCGATCGCGCGGCGACCGGAGAGTGGAGAGTCGAACGGCCAGAAATGAGCTAGACAGGGTGTAGGGCCAACAGCACTGCAGAGCCGTAAGGGCAAAGAGAACTCCGGATCAGAGAGTAGCTGTCCTAGGAGGCCCTCTTTGTCCACTCGTCGAGCACAGCAAATGCCGTGGGGGACGATGGTGGGTACCTAGACCTACTCCATCGGCCGGTGATCGTCGTGCTGGAGAAATAATGTCGATGCGCCGGATCTTCGAGTTGTCGGCGAGCGAAATGAACAAAACGGAGTCGAGTATGGCGCCAGGTAGTGCAATTGTAGTGGTGGCACTGAAGCAGTAGTAGTGAGGGGGAAGGTTGGCGTACCTGGCTGCCGAGATGCATGCATCGTCGGCCTGCCGTTTGGTGGACGGGGGATGCAGCGGGTGAGAAGTCAAGCATCCGGACTCGTCTCACGTCTCTTGTTTTGTTGGTCCAGCTTCCAATCACGAAGACACAGAGTAAAAAGTGAGTGGCTCCGAATGATGGCTACTGGCTCTGTCAACCAAATCCGGCCTCTGGGCTTCTCCCAATGTACTAAGCTGTAACTCTCCCAGGCTCGGATGAGAGAGACGGCACCTTTGGCGCCGCCTGGTATTGTCCGACAGTGGTGGTCAAGGCATGCTTTTTTGTCGTTCCTGTGCCCCAGTTCTGTGTAGCTAGAGCTGCGGATCTCGTCGACTCTTGAGAGCAGAGCTTAGTAGATAGACAGTTCGTTGCACTAGACGGCGCCCTAGCGAGATGGGAAAGCGCCAGAGGTTGCTTGGATTGTTCGTTTGTCAGTTGATGTCGTGGGGTCTGTGGAAGGAGGGTCGACACCAAGCACACCGGGGTGTGTCCACATACAACCACTCATGTGCGCCATCGAGTCCGCCATGCTCTGGGGACATTATTGACGGCAGCTTGACACTGTAAGTGTGGACGCCATATGCCTCTAGTCTGCACCTGTTGTCCATCCAGCGGACTAGAAGCAAAGCCTCCATTCCAGTGGCCATTCTACAGCCCCGGGGTGACAGGCACGACCCCTGCTGCTGGTATATGGTAGGGCTTCACGCCATCTTCTCCTCCTGATCCTCCTTTGGACGCCTTTCCGCCCATAGCTTACTTTGGTGTTGAAAGCCCAAAGGTAGTGCATTCTTGACCGCTACACCTACCCGGGTATGATCACGATCTTCCAAGTTTCTCCTTGCGTAGGCCAGCTAGGATAAAGGCAACTTGTGTGATGTCGATATGGTCCTGGCAGAAAGCAACTTCAGGATGAGCATGTGCCCGACCGGTGTGATGTTTCAGATTCTAGCCTCGAGAGCCGATGCCCCAGGAGACTGGCTTTCCACCTTGTTTACGGTACTATTGTTTGTTCCTAAAATGTTTTCCACTGCGCGGTCGAATAGTTCGATTTGAACCTGGACCAACTTGAATGCGGGACAAGGGCACAGTGGCCATCCGCCCTGTGTTGTGCTGTGCTTGCGGCTACTCCGCTGCGAATAGTAGAAGTCGACTTTTTCAATAATGTCAGTCTTCGACATGTGGTGTCCAAGAGGCTCGTAGTTATCTTCCTGTTCCTCCTGTAAGAAGATACCCTGAATATTGCGCAGGCAGGCTCAGCAGGCTTCCTGCTGACGGATCATTGTTGACCAGGGTTTAAGGCAGAGTGGATTCGTAGACTGTGCTGACTTCTAAGCGATGGGATGTCCTTATTGCTGGGACGGGGAGGTGGAAGTCTACCAGGCCGGGTCGCTTCGGTACCTGGGAGGGCAGGGCATGCCTGTCAAATCAAGGTTCCTTTGTATGCCTCGTTCAGGTTGTGCGTGCAGTGGTCTCTACTACTACTACTACTAGTAGTAGTAGTAGTAGTAGTAGTAGTGCTTCCCTGCTGCAGCTGCTGGGCCGTCTTCAACGGCAGGTGCTGATGTAGATGGCTCGGCTTTGCCATGGCGTGCCGCAGCTGAACTTCCGCCATACTGCAATGCAGCAACTCTTGGTCTCGGGCTCGGAGAGGCCTCCCTAGCCGCATGTGGGTTTAGTTGCGGCATCTGGGTGGTGTGCAAGGTGGTTCAAGTTGTTGCTGGCATGGGTGCATGCCCTGGGAATCCGCCACCGGGTGATGAGAGGATGTCTCAGGATGAGGCTTGTCTCATAGCCGAGGGAGGGTACTCGAGTGCGGACGGAGAGGAATTATCAAAAGGGCTCCAAGACCAGGGTTGTGAGTAGAAAGGTGTGCTGGAGGCCCGAGTTGCAGCACATGGTCAGGGAGAAAGAGCATGACATGCCAGTGGGTGGTTGGTTCTGCAATACTAGTCGACAGCCTGAGCAGGTCTGTTGGATCAGCCATGCAGCATTGAACTGCCAGTGGAAGTGAGAGAAGAACTTGCCAGACCTCTAAACCTTGCCGTCTTGATCTTGTACGACTTCCACATGCAGTCAGTCAATCAACCACTACAGCGCTACTAGTAGTACCTGACCTGCCTCTGCCGCCCAAGTCGGGCAACGTCGCCTACATTGGAGCACAACAATGATTTCCACTTCAATCAAACCCACGGCCGCCCGGGGGCCTTGCTGGGTGCCGACCTTTCTTCTTGCACATACACTAATTGTTCTTGTCGTTTGACTCGCCTGTGATGGAGTATGAGTCTGTCCACTACTGACACACGTTGCTCTCTAGCACTATTTTTTCGGTGGCCGGTGTAGCCGCCACCTCGATCGGCACGATCCAAGTCGGTAGACGGTACATACAGTACAGGCCAGTTGGTGAAGATGTGGTTGAGTTGAAGCTACGCGTCACAGTCACACAAAAGTACCCGCGCCCCAGAGTGTTCTCACACCGTATTTCATATCCTTTGGAACGCTTGTCGAAGGACTTGTTGGAAGGGCCCGCTGAATCCCTGAACGTACCATGTCGTTCGGAATATCGCTGTCCCCCCACGGCTTTGAGCAATCGAGGACTGTGTACGTAAAATCACAACCACTACCGGTCGCAGGTCAGATGCAGACTTGAGCCTGGAGCACCCACGCAGCGCCTATGTACCTCAGATACCCAAAATGTTGGTGGTCTTCGGATCAGATACAACGAGTCTGCCTTTCATCGCCTAGTCCTGTGTGGCTGATACTATCGACGCGGATTCAGTTGTCCCAATGCTCTTACCCCGTCGTTCCTGGATTGCCGTCGCTTCCGTACTTCTGGAGCAGCTGCTCGGCATATAAGCCGATCTTGCTGCCTCCTTTCTCTTGCATTTCCGGCTTGCCCACGCTTTCCTCATACGAGGGAGGCTGTTCGGCAAAAGTAGGGTTACCAAGATCCTCTCGCACTCGTTTTGGAGAAGGCTGTCCATCTTCGTCCCTGCCGGGAGTTGACGTAGACATGGGAGTGAACTCTCGGGTTGAGCTACTGTATCCTGTCTGGTCTATCAAGGGCACGTCCTCGAAATCAGGCTCGACCGGCGCACCACCTATAACGTCTGGCATAGGGTCTGCTTCTTGACGCAGTTCCTCGGCGAAGGATTGGTTGTCTCGGTCAACAAAGAACCTAAGCGGCCGGCTCAAGTCGCTGCCCTTGAAGCGCAGTGCATTTTCACTAGCGTAGACGAGAAGTACAGAGCTGTGTTCATTCTTTGCGGCGTCGAGGACTTCGCCCTCATTGACCCGGCGGACTGAATAAGGTTGAGAGGAATCCTCATCATGATCATGTTGCGTCTGTGCTCTATCAGCCTGAGCCTGTGTTACGGGTCCCATGACTGTAGTCGACGCAGAAAGGCTCTGGTTTGAATGTTGTTGCCACGAGCATCTCCACCATTGATATTCGGCATCGGAAGAGTCTTGGTCTTCGGAGAGTTGAATCAGGTCCTTGTTGGGCAGGCGAACGTAGACGATGTCCGACTTGGTGGAAACGCCCTGCAGAGTATATTTGCGGTTGGGAAGATTGGGGCTTTCAGGAGTCGGGTGTGTCAACTGTAATGCAATCTGTCGACTCTTCTCGAGGAGCTCGGTTTTTCTTTGCTCCAAACTTTGCACCTTCTGCTCAATCCTTTGCACTATGTTGTTCAGATCCGACCTGATTTGTTCCACGTCAGTCTGGGCCAGTGAATTGGCTTTTGAAGACATCAGGTCCGTCGAAAGACCAATCGCCGCTGATTCCTGGCCCTGTGCGATAGACGCCGTTTTCGCTGCAGCGTCAAGAACTTCTCGGACCTTGAGGACTCTGTTATCGGGGAGCTTGTAGACTTCGCACCGACGCTGGATGTTGGCGCACTGCTCTATCTCTCGGCGTACCAACTGCAGTTGCTTGCGGATGCGTTGCATGACTTCTCTGCATTCGTACATGTACCGATCTGGGAACCATAAAGGGTCAACTGTCAGGTCAAGCCCACCCTCGCCACTGCTTTGAGGGTCGTGAATTTGTACCGTGAAGACGTCGGCACAGTGGTCAATCCAAACGTCGTCAAGGTTGCCCATATCATCATTCCAAACAGTTTGATCAAGAACATGGACAATCGTCTCGCCCGGGAACCGATTCGTGGGGGCTTGGACATAGCATAACGATCTTGCTTGTGGAGGACTGTCACTGACGCCAGGGTTCTTCATGGCAGTCGTGGTGAAGACCTGCGTCAGTGGCTCCTGCGGTGCCTGGTGTAATGCGGTGTTTGTCCATGCTGTCAACCAACGAAGGTAGCAAACTTCTCCTTGGGTTCCTCGGACCGCTTGCAGGTCAGCAAGAGCGTCGACACTGCCGTATGCCCGATTCGTGTGATCCAGGAAGGCCATCAAGCACTGCACCTCCGCGAGAAGGTTACACTCATCCTTGTCAATTTGTAGGGTACTGTCGGTCGCTAAAGCCTTGGTGTTTTCGTTAGTTGAGCCCGACCACCAGTTCTCATCGTAGCCATAATTGTGAACTTTCAAGCTAGCCATGAGCAATGCTTCTCGCGCCAGAGGAATGCTGTGATAGATTGTGAGTAGGGGCCCCAGGTAGTCGGTCTCCTTTGAGCCACGCAAGAAGGCGGGCTCGTCACCTACCCTCCGTCGCTTCGAGGGCGGTGGGTGGTCGACGACTTCGCGCGAGGTGGAAAAGGTTGTCATGGCCCAGTTTGATGGATCATAGTAGTCTCGAACAGCGGGACCGAAATGAGTGCCTGTGCCGGTGACCCCATTCTCCTGAGCCGGGAGATTCTGCCGTAGGGATTCTGCCATTGCGCGTTGGAGGGCATGATCATTCATATCCTCTTGTTCTTTCAAGGTGTGCGCGGTGTTTTGGGAGGCTGTTGGACTGTCAGCAACAGCGAGAATAATCTGCTCCAGGCCTGACACACACCTTTGGCATGCTCACCGGAGAGGTCCAGTAAAGGTCGGGTGTTGTCGACCCTGGAAGGGGGTCGGCCCACGGCAGGCATTCCTCCTGCACTGGAATCATCGGCAACTATGTGAAAAGCTCGTGTCAATATCAGTCTCTCAGGAGCACGGGGTATGCTTCGTAGACGCCTTACATGGAATGTTGTCCTGATACTGCCACTCATTCGTAGGAAGCTAGCAGATTTGAGCGGAGCTCTGACCGGATGATATAAGACAGTACTAACTGCATCTTTAACAGACCCTACAGGATCCTCGTAGAAGGCATTCACGGCCGTGTTGACATCATTGTTGCTTTTCTGCCATATCAGCCTCAGTTGTGTCCTTCTCCGTGCTCGTCTTGCTTTTCTTACTCTGAGTAGGACCCTTGCACTCAGCTCGTCGACCTGCGTCAGTTCGCAGACTTGTAGTATCTGGTCGCTGGTGGGGTCCGCCATCGTGTTTCTCGTTTCGTTGTATCAGGCCGACAGAGGAACATTGGGGTAGGTTGTTGGCGATGACGAGACTAATAGATCAGTCCGCCACGAAGCGATGGAAGCGTTCAGTGGACCGCGAATCGGTCCTTAGTAGGAGGCAACAGTCAAAGTGCCATGGGGAGGATGAATCGTGCTGGAAAAGAGAGCCAAATGATGGGGGATGCCAAAGCAAACGCCGTACCTGCGAGCCTTACCAGTCGAACTAGCAGCAAGCCATCTTCCCCAATTACCTGCACTGAGGTTCGCGTTCACATGTCCGCAGCCTTGCCTCACAACTTGGTTTCTCCCCGCACATCAACATCAGCCTGAGCGACACTATGGTAACTGTACAGGAAGACCGCCAGACGTCTATGCCTACTGTAATGTATGATGGCTCCATTACTTCAATTCAAGGTCCTGCATTATTGCAAGCAGTCCACTGCCGGAATCCGAGTCTCTTTTACTTTGGCTTGTCCCAAGGCTCCCTTCACACCCTCTATGCAATCAGTTCAATGGATAAAGTTCAGGATTGTCTGTCATACTTAGATGTGAGGGTACATTCCTCATGTGTGCATCAAATTGGTATCTCCAGCCAACTAGCAAATTCAAGGCAGTATAAACCACAGGGGTATCAATAACGCCCCTCCCCAACCTTCCTACTCATACAGGTACGGGTCTAAAGCCGCACCCAGAAGCGATTGCAGAAGACGCATGTCCAGAATCCCCAATCTCTCCCCTGGTTGCTCCATTATCATTAAGCGGGTTCTAAAAGTCCTTGAAGGCGTCTTCCCATTCGGCACGGAGTTCCTCGGTGTACCTACCTCTTCCGCCTTCACTTTCTTCACCTTCGATGGGGTCAGGATATTCGTCGAAATTTCCGGCGTCACCAGCCCATTCGACCCTTGGAATGATAGGGCCTCGTTTCCTTCGGTAATAGATATCGTCCCAGTTGATGCCCTCAAAGAAGGGATGCTCCATGACCCGTTTGCTCCCCCCAGCGATGTGTCCCAGGCGCTGTGTAGGGTCTGTCTTGCACAATGCCAGGATAAAATCGCGCGCGGCGCGGGGAACATGGAGGCTATGACGGCTCTGGGAAGTGGGCTGCGCAGTGGGGAAGCGGATGTGGCCAGCAACAATTTGCTCGTATATGCGCATTGGATTCTGATCCCAGAAGGGCGGTTGTCCGATCAACATCTCGTATACCAGAATGCCGAGCGCCCACCAATCCACCGCGGTACCGTGACCGGTGTTTCGTATCACTTCTGGCGCAAGATATTCTGGCGTGCCACAGAGAGTATAAGTGACTCCGGCTCCGCTAGCCTGTGGCTCAGGATGCTCTCCGCTTGGTTTAGCGTGGTTATGGTGATAGTCTTCGCCAGTCGTGGGTTGTGGTGCAGGAGGCAGATATTTGGCGAATCCAAAGTCAACCAGTTTCAAATGGCCGTCCACATCCAGCAGAATATTTTCAGGCTTCAGGTCACGATAGGCGACAAACTGCACTTCATGGAGATATGCTAAGATGAGAGTGATTTCCGCGGCGTAAAATTGGACAGTCGCAAAGGGGAAGCGTCGAGCTCGCCGAAGATAGGAAAAGATCTCTCCACCAGGAGTATAGTCGAGCAGCATATATAAAGAGGTTTCGTCTGAAAAAGAGGTAATGAGAGTCGTTATGAAGGGATGGCCCGCGACCGCAGCAAGAACGTCTCGCTCGTTGCGAACATGCTCGACTTGTTTCAGTTTGATGACATCCACCTTCTTGAGGACCTTCAGGGCGAACACCTTGTCTCGATCTTCTGGGGACGGATTGGCAAAGCGGCAAAGCCAGACTCGAGCAAAAGTGCCTGCAAGAATGCCGGTCAGTTAGCACACTCAAGTTTGTAGCCAGGGCGCTCCATACCCGTTCCAAGTGTCCGCATCAACTCAAAGTCGGAGATTTTAAGATGACGGGACGAATAGCCCAATTGCTTCTTCTCTGGATCCTTCGAGATCTCGTCAGGCGGCATGACCTCTTTTGAATTGGCCGCACCGGCATGTTTGAGGACAAGGTCCTTTTCATGTTGTCGGCTGGGATGCGGGTGTGAAGCGCTTCTCGAGTTATTAGAATCGATCGGCCGTAGCTGCGCTCGATCATCTTGCGCAGAAGCAGCCCGCGGCATTCGCTGTTGTTGCGACGGCTGAAGCGTCGCTGTGCTCATCGGAGCAGCCAGATTGCATTTTCTTCCCGTCCTAAATGCCGAAGAGGCTGACAGTCATGCCCACGTCCCAGCTGGGCCTAAAGTACAATTTTACAGAGTCAACGACGACGTGTTGTGTTCGAGTGGATTTGAAGTACAGGAAGGGCAGTCAGGTAAGATGAAACAAATAAAAAACCGTTTCGCTCGTGGGGGCGGGCGGCGGTGGCAGGAGAACCGGTGGGTATTATGGTGGAACGATGAGCAGTCAAAGCCACCGCAGAGCGTTTAGAAGTAAACCATCACTTCGCACGGGCAGGAGTGCGCATCGAGGAGCCCAAAAGCCTTGACCGTGGGACATCTCTTAATACTAGCACCTAACAGGTACCTAAGTTCTCAGCGGCCAAGTAAAACTTGAAGTTGTACAAAGCCAGCCCTGGCCAGATGATGCCTTAGGGATGACGACAGACAGAATTGGCGGCGCAGTGACACTGGCAAGGATACAACAACGATGCCTGGGAGCAGGGCCTGAACAGCCGAAAAGGTGCGCTATGAGCTTGTTAAGCACGGTTCAGTGGGGCAAGAATTCCCACCTAAAACTCCAGCGCTGAAACGCGCAGAGGCTCGCCTAATAGTAGTGCTATAATAGTGAGGAATAAGGCCCTTATTATCAGCGGGTTCTAGCCGCAGCTGCCAGGGCAGTACTAGTATACAACGTTGTACACGACAACTATGTAGAACTTGGATGTTAATGGTCAGCAATAGCAGGGCGCACCAACTGTCAGTGTGACAGCTTAACCGCGATTGGAACTTGTGCGCCGGCGCCTTTGCAACGAGGCCCCAGGCGCCCGGGCCGCATAGTCTCTAATTGCAGTACTAGCAGTTGGGTTTCTCTAATCTGGACCAGTAGTGCCCAGCTTCAGCCCAATCATTCAGGAGGTGATCAGAAAGGTGAGAGCCGAAGCGGGTGATGGTGAAATGGCGAGTCGGGCAACAACTGGAGCGGCAGGGTCCAAGCGTCTAGACCTGGGCGGAGCTACCTAGGTAGCTATCCTCTTATCGTTGTAGATCGTATAGCGTTCTTAGCCTCATCAGATCAGCACAGGCGAAACTTGAAGGACAACGACGTGACCCTTTTCCTGCGCTATGCGTGGCGACAACTGATGAATCGCAGTGCTGCCGTGGATGTCATCACGTCCGCCAACTGACACCGGGAAACTCTGGCTGCACAGTGCTGTTCCAGTGTGCCTAGGACGACATCCGGTATGTCAACATCGAGCCACGACGACAGGCCTAATGAAGGCTACACCTCAGTGAACCATGATGCAAATGGCTGGAAGTTTGGCACCTGGAGCGATGTCCGCTTGCCTGTGTGCGCGAGGCCTGGGCTGTCTTCCTGTTGAGATGCTTGTCGAGAAGCTACAAAGGGCCGGCCGATCGAGACTGAACTCTCACAATACCTGACCCATTTTGCATGCTTCATCGAGGACAAATCTCGGCTTTGCGGCCTGTGCTTTCTAGTCCAACGGCTCCGAAGTGATCGACCTGTACTGGCTGCCTATGCTCGGGCTGTCGACCGCATCCATTTGTCCAGTTGTCCTGAGTGTGTAGGTCAAACGGCCTTGCCGTAGCAGGGGCGTTCCCCCTGGACAAGGCGGATTCGTTCAATGATGTTGAGAGCCTAATGAAGGGTCCTCCCTTTCACTTCTTTACCATTCTCTCGTTCTCGGGCTTCCACGATCCTACGGTCTTGTTAACTGGGTACACCAAGGGCGCAAAGAGGATCTTTAACATACCAAAAAATTCATGCTTCACGAAGGCCATCGGATGATCAACCCCTTCTGAGCCCATCTGACCCACTCCTGGGCTGAAGCTGGTAATCGGAAGCACCACGACATCGCCGATTCGTTTATGCTCCCGTATGCCGAAGAAGTCGGAATAGGTAACATTAGTCTTTCGCGTACGGAAGTCAAAGTATTCTTTATTGTTGAAGTAGGAAAAGACGGCATCCGTCCACGCGCCGGGGCCCGTGTATTCCATGATGCTCTTCGCCGGGGCTTTGCCTTTGCGCAGTTTCCCAGCCTTCTTCATCTCCAAGGTCTCCTCTGTGATGGTTGCGACGATATCTCGCAGGACAGGGTGGCCTGGTTTTGACTGGATGGTCCATTGACAGAACTGTATTCGGCGAGCGTACCATTCATCCCAGTCCTCTCGGTCGGGGTCGGCCTCAATGCCGACAACGAGGCCAACTTTAGACTTGTCGAGAGTCTGCGGTAACCAGTGAGTGGCCGATTGGAGAGCGTGTGTATCAATATCACTGTAGATACCTCCGCGAGCGAGGAGAATCAGATATCGGAAGAAGTCCGCCTTAAGGACAGGTAGGGGCATGGCTTCATATGCCTGCACTACCTCAGGCACCGATGCATACAGGTAGCTGATGAGATGTACCGCCGCCTCATCGGTAATGACTTCATGTACGAATCCGGGATGTAGTTCAGACCATGACGCTTCAGCTGGCCTCAAATGCTCCTCGAACTTCGCCGAACCTGGCCTTGTCTTCCATGTTTGCCATATGTATGCCGGAAACTTAGCCTCAAGGTTGTATGGAAAGTGATATCGAAGTCTTTCCCGCAAGGGTTTGGAGGCAATGTCCTGCACAACTTGTTGGTCTTGCTGTTGTTCAACTGGAGATCTTGGAGGAGGGTATGGTCTGGAAGCTTGTCCCGTCTGCCCTGAAGCAGCTTGAAACGCAGGAGGCTCGGGCGATGACAAAGAGGAACGTCGTAGGAGGAGGAAGAGTGTTATGAGAACGGCGGCAAGGAGCGTTGCCCGCTTGACCGTGGACGAGACTGCCATCATGACGGCCGGAGCACAGTCATCACTTTTCGACTTCGTGGCCGTACTCCCAGATCGTTCGCACTGGATAGGCAGCTCTACCACCTTTCGATGTGATCCGGTAGGTCAGATACGGTAGATATTCTTATTAGACCGCAACCTTCAGAGTTCGCGTCGCAAGTGTCCAGCAGTCAAAACTATTGACCTGTTTAACACTGGGCGTAATACATTATTGTTACCGCAGCATGTCTCCACAGCATGTCTCAGTTCGATACTGTTAAGTAACCCCGGTCGCAGCTCTGGTTAGGAGGAAAATAGTGATTGTCGGCTTGCAGTGGACCTGATGCGCGCGTCCCGACGCCGCGACTCCTGTCAGCCGGACCAGAACCACTGCACGGTAAGCCGAATTGTGAATGGGCTAAATAAGAGACGCTAAAGCAGAAAGCAATGAGCAGGAAAGTAATCGGTGCTGACGAGGCCACACACGGCTGGTGACGAAGCACATGCAGTGGCTCAAGACATTGTATTTGTGGTTCCATCGTCGCAGGCAAAAAGGCGATTTGCTCCTACTCCTAGGGGCAGTACCCCTGTCCATCGTCCGGCCTGCTGGAAGCACCTTGGAGGGATCCAGCGGACTACTGCGGTTGATGCTACTACTAGTATGGCACTGTAGGTAGCGTCCATGTACCTGAGGGACTGGTACAATGTACATGTTGTCGAGCTTTGCGGCTGGCAGGCCATCGCAGGCTGGATATTCAAGCCTACGATTGTGCGGTCCAACTTGTGGCCATCCTGTTCCGCTGCAGGCAAGCGAGTCACTACTGGGAAGACCGGGAGTACGAGTAACAGGTAACAATAGCACGACTGAAAGTGTTCCAGATTGAAAAGCAAAGCATTCGAACACGTCCCAATCGGACTCTCTGCTAAGTAGCAGGCACCTGATTCGAGCGCAGTCATTCTGGAGCCTGGGACCATCAATGTGAACAGCATTTCAGTCTCGAGAGCGGGATTGGATTTCTGCCCGCGTTGACCGCGACGAGAAGTAGTTCCATCACCACCGGATCCGGCACCATTTGTCAGTAGGTAGTGACCTGTGTTGCGACTTGTGCAACTACCATAATCCGCGTCCCGAAGTCATTATGACATTTGATTGAGGGTTCAAGTACAACATGGAGTGGTTGTAGGTAGACATCGTGTTGCCGCACGGCTTTTGGTGTTTCGAAAACACATTTAACGTGCTGACATAACCACAAGTCCGATAGCCGACTTCACAGATGGAAAGTCAAGCGAGAGTTTACAACCCCGTCTCCATCACGATTTTAATTGGCGGCCGATGATGTGATTTTACCCTCCGCAGGAGATTCCGCGCAGTTGGCCTCCATGGCGCTCAAAGGTATGTCTGACGGCACGATGGCTTTCATTCTACAAAAACTGCTTGAGGAGAGGCCCCGCCTGGTCTACTATCACTCCTCCAAGTCAAAGGCACCCATTGCCCAAGATGGCGGCTCCTCGAGGCGCTCAGATCGCTGCTCGCCTGCTTAGGAGAGGTTCCAAAACTCTCCGATCAGATTCCTCGGTGGTAGAGCGCAGGTTCAATCCACGCCCGTTGTCCAAGAGATGCCAGCCGGTCACTAGATCCCTTTATACACGAGCAGCGCACCATGCCCAAGCTGCCGCTGCTCCGGCCCAGGAAGAGCGATGGGAGCCACCGGAGCCCAGCAACCCTGCCATGGCCTTCCCGTGCCTGGACGCACAGGAAAAGAAGACGGCTGCTCTTCAACAGTCACGGTCTATCGACTCCGGGCCGGAGCCCTCTTATACCACCGGATCACATCTGGTCTTCCACAGTTCGGAACCTATTCTTCTTGACTGGGGTGGCATCCTCCCTGAGTTTGATATTGCATACGAAACGTGGGGAACCCTGAATGCGGACAAAAGCAATGCCATACTATTACATACCGGTCTGTCGGCATCAAGCCACGCGCACAGTACAGACGCCAATCCGAGACCCGGGTGGTGGGAGAAATTTATAGGGCCAGGCGCCCCGGTCGACACTGAGAAATATTTTGTGATCTGCACAAATGTCATCGGAGGATGCTTCGGTTCGACGGGGCCTTCGTCTGTTGATCCATCGGATGGTCAGAGATATGCGACAAGGTTCCCCATCTTGACGATGGATGACATGGTACGGGCGCAGGCGAGGTTGTTGGACAGACTCGGGATTGAGAAGCTTTTTGCGAGCGTTGGGGCTAGTATGGGTGGTATGCAGAGCCTGGCGTTTGGCGTACACTTTCCCGAGCGGGTCCAGAGGATTGTCAGCATATCTGGCTGTGCCAGGAGTCATCCCTACAGTATCGCCATGAGACATACTCAAAGGCAGGTACTGATGATGGATCCGAAATGGAATAGAGGCTTCTACTATGATGGTGTTCCGCCTCACAGTGGGATGAAACTCGCGCGAGAGATTGCCACGGTGACTTATCGCAGCGGACCAGAATGGGAAAAGAGGTTCGGCCGTCGACGGGCCGACCCCAGCAAGCAGCCGGCGCTGTGCCCGGATTTTCTGATCGAGACCTACTTGGATCATGCTGGCGAGAAGTTTTCCCTGGAGTATGACCCAAACTCATTGCTCTACGTGTCCAAAGCGATGGACTTGTTCGACCTGGGTTATGAGCAGCAAGAAAGTGCCAGGTCGCGCCGTCAGCAAAACCTGGCCAAGTTAGCACAGCACCGGGGTCGTCTGCCATCTAACGACCTCTCCTGTAGTCTGACACTGCCGTCGAAGAATTATGAAGAGCAACAGCAGGCGGGTTCAATGGACGAGGCGGTCGTTGACGACCGAGCAGGCGGTCCACCAACCGATTTGGTCAAAGGGATGGCACCTTTGAAGACGCATCCAGTACTAGTGATGGGCGTGGCCAGTGATATCCTGTTTCCTGCATGGCAGCAACGTGAAATCGCCGAGACACTGCAGGCGACAGGGAACGGTCAAGTCACTCACATCGAACTAGGAGAAGACATCAGTCTTTTCGGGCACGACACATTCCTGCTGGATCTGGAGCACATTGGGGGTCCACTAGGAAAGTTTTTACAATAGACCAGCAGATATAGGACAAAGTCATATCCTCTCTAGCAAAGATAATATCGTCTTTCAGACTAGGTGTATGTTATTTTGGGCCTCTTCAGGGGCCATATTCACAACATCATTATAGCGCCAGCGAGCACATCCAGACCCCATCATTGCATCATGCGGCGCAGTTCCATCACGGTCGGATTGATATACTGCTCTAGCTCTTCGAGTTCAAGATCAAGCCCACAATGAGGCCGTAGAGTCCTAAGACTTCGCCGAAAATCAGGATGAGGACCATCCCCACGAACACTCTCGACTGTTGCATATAACACCGTACGCCCATATCACCGACAATGCCAATGGCGTAACCTGCGGCCAGACCGGCGAGGCCGACGCTTAAACCACTGGCTAGGTGCATGAAGCCGGTGAACAAGCTGTAGTTCTGTTGCGGCGGTGGGCCCATATCTCCTGCGATCAAAACGGCAATAACGAGGGCGTAGACGGCGATGATACCAGACATGACCACTGGAATTAGAGACTGTACCGATTGTCAGATGTGCCACGGCTATGCAGAATGGCTGAATTGTTTCCAGACCTTCATGATCAGGTCGGGCCGATATGTTCCAACACCAGCAATGCCAATTCCTGATTTGGCGGTACCGTATGCCGCTCCTATACCTGTATGTCTTTCAGTATCTGCTCCAGGTGACTTTAGGGTCCGGCTTCACAGCGTACAGCCAAATATCATCTAGCAGGCGGTCGTTAGCGCTAGGAAACGAAACATCATGGTAGTTCTTGACGTACTGCGGAAGCAATGCCAGCCTGGAGAATCGTCAGCGTCATTTCTATTGCGAGTCCAGCTGGACTTACCATCCCAAAGAAGGGTGCGAACTTTGGCGTATATTCGCTCCCGGGCCCTTCCATGATTGTTGCCATCGTGCCCAAAAGTGTTTGGGATGAGGGGTGGCGCAGGCTCTCGCGAGATGGAGTTGAGTTCGAGGGAACAAAGGTCGAGGGGAGCTGGTGGAGAGGAACGTAGGAGGCAGCTGTAAAGACGTCGATGCGATGATGTGCCTGTCCACGACTCGACCGAAGAGCAACCTGAAGTCGTTAGCAGTACTAGTCGCCGCAGTGAGAGCTTAGCAGCACTAACAGCACTAACAGCATCAGTCAATAAGGTCACTTCGCAGTTACGAAGCTGGCGCGGGAATAAGGAGCCTGAGCCATTCAGGTCGACAGCCAATAGCAGCGAATCAGGCCTAGCGTCGTCCGCGAGTGAAGATGCACCAACAGCCCCAAGGTTGATGCTCGATCCAAGTTCCCATACAGTACGTTCCCATACAACTGATTCCAATACCAGGGCCATTTGCCAACTGCATGACATTATTCTACGATATCCCCAACTCATATCCTTCTTTCTCTGCTCTGTTCCTGCTGGCATGGAGAGAGCATGACTTTGCGCAACAACATAAGTGATCGCAGCCGTCACACCCACTTCCTTCACGCACGACGATTGACCCAATTTTAAAGATCAGACGCCCTCATCCACCCCTGTTACCGAACTCCAGGCACCGTCTGCCTGTGTACAAGAACTACTTAGGAGCCTGGTGTCTGGGTCCGCGAAGAACAAGACCAAAGCCCAAAAGGGCTGAGCCGAACCGTGCCTGCGGCCTATTACTCAACAACCCCTACCGATCGCATCCCGCCTTGCTCGATGCACGTCCAGTGACATCCACCCCGTCTTCAAGGCTGTTCATCATCTGCTATCTCTTGACTGAGCATGGCAGCCTATGGTGCGCCGGACCCTCGCTATCATGGTGCTCGCGCCACGAGTCATAGCGGCTCAGCCGACCATCAAAGAGATGCTGCGTTCCATAACATCTTCGGAGGTGCGCCGCCTCCTGGAAGATCTCAGACTATGACGACTCAGTCTGCAAACATGATGTACGATCGCAGCCCAAGCATGAGCTCGGCGACACAGGCTCCACACACAATGTCTATGAGGCAGGGGCCTCCGGCACCGATTCGACACATGCCTCCAACTTATGATCGGACAAACGGCATAGCACCCGGACAGCCATACATGAATGGCATGGTTGGGCCGAGGGTAGGGCCGCACAACCCTGCACCTACGTTTCCAGATCGCAGACCCTATCCTCCACCTCAGCGAATCGATCCTCGGACAGGAGGACCGCCATCTATGCCCATCGGGCCATATGATCGTAAGCCAGTACCGAATCGTATGCCGCCACCGGCGCTCAACAATGATGGGTACCGCTCGCGTTCCATGGTAAGACCTGGGGAGCCTACGATGGGTTATACTAGGACACCTCCGAGCAGTTTCCAACAGGGAACCGCCGGGGCCTTCAGACAACAGCCATATGCAGCAATGGGGCCGTCGAGGACGACAGCACAAGGCAGGCATATACCCGAACGGCCAGATGATAATAGAGCAATGTCTATGGGGTCATACTCCTTGGATCGTGACCAGACACAACATCTGACAAGTGGAAGAGTTGTACCTGGGCGTTTGCGTGAACCAGAGTCAGACCCCTTTGCCGATCGGACTTCTCTGAACGGCTCTTTCAGCTCATCCACCTCACCCGGCTACAGCCAAGTGCCGCAATCCCGTCGCCCGAGTGAAATGAATGGTCCTGCACGCGCCGTATCTGCGGCCTCTGCCACCTCTGCAACCTCAGTTTCGTCTGACTTGACCAATACCACCATGAATGGATCCCGAAGCGATAGCATGAGGAACCGACCCACACCCACGGCTCACTCATCAAACCAGAGTCAGTCGACGGCGGTTGTCCAACGAAAGTCGCCTCTGGTCTATCCTGCCCTTCTTTCGCGTGTGGCCAGTGCATTCCAGGAAAGAATCGGTGTGGGCGACCGCACCAAGAACGATCTTTCTTACAAAAATGCCTTCACGGGTGCGGAGGCCGTTGACCTAATTGCTTACATCATCAAGACAACCGACCGCAACCTGGCTCTCCTTTTGGGCCGAGCGCTCGATGCTCAGAAGTTCTTCCACGATGTCACTTACGAGCACCGCCTGAGAGATGCTCCTGGAGAAGTTTACCAGTTTCGCGAGACGATGGGGGAAGAGGCGTCGTCCAAAGATGTTAACGGTGTTTTCACACTGCTGACGGAATGCTATTCCCCGACCTGTACCAAAGATCAGCTCTGTTACTCCATTGCTTGCCCTAGGCGACTTGAACAGCAGGCCCGGCTGAATCTGAGACCTCAGCCTGGACTGCGACACTCAAACTCCAGGGGTAGTTTACATGGAGATGACGACCAGGAACAAAAACTGTGGATCAACAGCGTGCCCAAGGAGGTCGCGGATAAACTGGATGACCGAGAAAAGAAGAGACAAGAGGTCATCTCCGAGATAATGTATACCGAGCGAGATTTCGTCAAAGACTTGGAGTACCTGAGAGACTTCTGGATAAGACCGCTTCGCGGGTCTGGTCCGGGACCGTCCCCGATCAAAGAGGAAAAGAGAGAAAAGTTTGTCCGCACAGTGTTTGGCAACTGCCTCGAGGTTCTTGCTGTCAATGGGAGATTCGCCGAGGAATTGTCCAAGAGGCAAAAGGAGCAGCATGTGGTCCACACCATCGGTGATGTCTTCTTGAAATGGGTGCCTCAATTCGACCCGTTCATCAAATACGGCGCGAATCAAATGTACGGTAAGTACGAATTTGAGAAGGAGAAGGGAGCAAACCCGGCCTTTGCGCGCTTCGTGGACGAAACCGAGCGACTCAAGGAATCAAGGAAGCTGGAACTGAACGGTTACCTGACCAAGCCGACCACGCGGCTGGCCAGATATCCACTTCTTCTTGACAACGTCTTGAAGTACACCAAAGACGACAACCCTGACAAAAAGGACATACCCAAAGCTATTGGCCTCATCAAGGATTTCCTGGCCCGTGTCAATGCCGAAAGTGGCAAAGCCGAGAATCACTTCAATCTCCTCCAACTCAACCAACAGTTGAAGTGGAACCCAGGAGAATACACGGATCTCAAATTGACGGAAGAGAACCGGGTGATCCTCACCAAGATGAGTTTCAAGAAGAGTCCCACAGACACTGCCGAAGTGCAGGTGTATCTTTTCGACCATGCGGTGCTTATGTGTCGAGTCAAGAATGTGAACAAGCGAGAAGAGCTTCGAGTGTACCGAAAGCCGATTCCATTGGAGCTCCTAGTCATTGCCGAAATGGACCAAGTAATTCCACGTCTGGGAATTGCGAAACGGCCCTCATCTAGCCTGATCCCTGGGGCCAAATCCTCCACGTCCAGTGCACCGGGCCAGAAAGAGGTGTACCCGATAACATTCCGTCATCTCGGAAAGGGAGCCTACGAGCTGCAGCTCTACGCCACGTCGATCACGCAACGTAAGAAGTTCATTGAGTTGGTGGAGGAACAACAACGGAAACTCCGAGAGCGAAGCAGCAATTTCTACACCAAAACGATTCTGTGTGAAGGGTTCTTCAATGCTCAAAACCGGGTCAACTGTCTTGTGCCAACTGATGGAGGTCGCAAGCTGATTTATGGGACGGACAATGGGATTTACATTGCTGACCGTTGGCCCAAGGACAAGTCAAGCAAGCCGAAACGTATTCTAGATGCGACCCAAGTTTCCCAAATTGATACCCTTGAAGAATATCGACTTCTTCTGGTACTGTCGAACAAGACTCTCACCTCTTATCCATTCGAGGCATTGGATGCCAATAACCAGAACCCTCTCGCCACTCGGCCGCGCAAGATCCAGGGGCATGCCAATTTCTTCAAGGCGGGCATTGGCTTGGGAAGACATCTAGTGTGCTCAGTCAAGACATCAGCGCTTTCGACCACCATCAAGGTGTACGAACCCATGGACGATCTTACTAAGGGTAAGAAGAAGCCTACCATCAGCAAGATGTTCGCCAGTGGGCAGGATGCTCTCAAGCCGTTCAAGGTAAGGATAAAGTCTGAGATTTTTGAGGGGCTGATTTTGGCTAACAGAGGCTGTCTTAGGAATTTTACATACCCGCAGAGTCCACGTCTGTGCATTATCTCCGGTCGACACTATGTGTGGGCTGTGCACGAGGTTTCGAGGTGGTATCCTTGGAGACCACTGAACGGCAGTCTCTGTTAGATCAGGCAGACACGTCGCTGGACTTTGTCACTCGCAAAGAAAACGTCAAGCCTATCCACATTGAGCGGTTGAACGGCGAATTCCTGCTCAACTACTCGGATTTTAGCTTCTTTGTCAATAGAAATGGCTGGCGAGCCCGGCCGGACTGGAAAATCACCTGGGAGGGCACGCCACAGGCGTTCGCGTTGAATTACCCCTACATTCTCGCGTTCGAACCCAGCTTTATCGAGATTAGGCATATTGAGACGAGCGAATTGATTCACGTCATGACGGGCAAGAATGTCAGAATGCTTCATTCGAGCACACGAGAGGTGAGTTTTGGCGATCAAACCTTCTTTTTCGGGCAGTGCTGACAGTTGTGTTTGTTTGACTCAGATTTTGTACGCATACGAAGACGAAAATGGCGAGGATGTCATTGCTAGTCTTGATTTCTGGACCCAGGCACAAGTTTGAGGAGGGATGAATGTCCAGGGGTTCAAGTCAAGTTTGGAAAGTCTCGGGGGGCCAGAGAGGATCTAATTCCGTTTAAACGCCCTTTTGCCTTGTGGAAGGCAGGGCAAGGGATGACGCTTTGCCAGCTTGCTTCACTGTGAGTTCATCGTCAAAAACAATACATGCTTGGAGAGAACATGAACTGTCAGTTTGCGCGCCACCCATATTGCATGCATGTCATCGCGCCAATTCGGCTTCACCCAAGGGGCAAGGGAGGGGAAAGCAAGACAACAAACGTGTGACGATGTAAGCTTGCAAACAGACTAGACCAGGCCAGGGCTCGGAGTGCGAGGAAGGAAAGGAAGCTGCGGCAGTCCTGCCAGCCGAGCGATCCCTTGACTGAACCTGGCACTCTTAGATCCTAAGCCTAGGTTAGGGCTGCGGGCCGCGCGGTGGGAGTGCAAGTTGCGTTTGTCCATCTCGTTCGCAGAGCAGAAATGCGGATTTTCTTGATTTTGTTTCACTTTCACTTCTTACTACCTATCTACCTACCTACCTACTAGGTACCTTGGAGCATCTACCTACGTTGTTGGTCCTTGCTGGCCTGTGTCTGGGTTGGGTCGGGTTGGGCCGGGGGCGAGGCCGAAGCTGCAAAGAATTTACGCAAGCGAGAGAATCGAGAATACGAGGAATCAAAGTCAGGACACGAACTTGGAATGGAATCGAATTGAATGATGAAGCCCAATTTTGGACTTAAAGTACAAACAACATTGTAGTGATTGTCAAACATTGAATCTCCAGTACCGGTCCACGATCCACGACCCAGCCTCCAAGTTGTGTGTGTGAAACCTCCTCCTGAGGACTACCTATGTACAGTATGATCTGCTTAACGAACTTATAACTTGAATCCTACTCGATAAGAGAAATCTAGGTCCCGTTCGTTCGCGAGGGGGGAGTCGTGATAATGGGCGAGATGAAATCCTCTCCCCTCCAGATCGTAGTATGCCCACGTAATAATAATAATAATAATAACAACGGTGATAAGTAAATATAGTATCTACTGTAGGTACAGTAGTGGTAGTTTAGTAAGAACTGGACTCTGGACTGTTATCAAGGCTATTTATATCCAGTACAAGCTGAGTACTAGGTACAGTAGATATCCAACGGCAACGGCAACGGCACAGTAACTCTAAGTTGTTTCGAGAAAGGCCTCCAAAACACGCCTCTTCCGCGCATCAAGCAGTTTTTTCTCTTTCGGTTTTAGATGCCTGTCGGTGTCATTCGCAGAGCGGATCACGATGGGTGCGAAGACGTCGACGTAGGCGGCCACCAGTTGTTTCTTGCGCCGTTCCGAGTCGATGTCGACGGTTGCTGTTGTTGTGAGGGAGTCTTCGACCGGCGGTGCGAGTGCATCCGTGGTGGTAGAAGATTCGGAACCTGTTCCTGTTCCGGTTCCAGTCCCGGTTCGCCGCCGACGTAGAGGCAAAGAAGGTAGAGATGGGAATAGACTTCGTTTGGTCGCTCCCACGGGTGGTAAAGAAGTGGTAGTAGTGCTATTCTCCGACCCGGCTAGCGACGTAGCGGTGTGTTCGGAATCAGTTGACAGTGTTGAGGCGCGAGATCGCCGTGAAGAGCTGCTGATTGAGGAGTTTCCGACAGTTGATGAAGGGTGGTGTTCGTCTGCAAAGGAGGCTACCGAGGGTGCTGCGGTAGTACCAACACCACCACCAAAAGGAATCATTTCGGTAATGATCCTGCTCAACAAGAAAGTCACAAAAGTCAACGAGACACTGTGGACAGGATACCGCGACAGAGAGTCCATGACCATATCCTGGATCTCCTGCGAGGTAGCCTGGACTTTGCCCTTTTCGGACACACTCAGTCGCTGTTCCACTTCGGACCAAGTGTCGGCGGAGATTATGCCATCCCTTAGCGATTGAAGAAACGAAGTCAGTGTCTCCGCCAACACTTCCAGCCGTACGAGACATGGCACACTGGGGTCGAAATTGCTGTCGAGCGGACGAGCTGTGTCTAGGGCCTCTCTCACTCCGGCCAACAGCTCCGACCGTTCCTCTCCTTCGTGGAATGTCCACGTCTCGCGACTAAATGGCCACGAGAGGCCACTGTGGTTATTGTTGCTGTGGTATTGCCACGGCGGGATCTCATGTCGTTCGTCGTGGATCATGCCCCATTCTGCCAGCGATCGTTCGAGGTACGTTGGGAGAGTCTCCGTTAGCGAGTACAGCTCCTTAGGGGCCGAGTGATGCGTCACTGTGCTGCGGACATTGCCCGTCCCAGTAGAGTCGCGATTCCTGCGTGATCTGGGAAGGCTGCGCACACCTCCCTCTGGTGCCACGACCAGCTCATCTAGTGTGCGGAAGAAGGACGATTGCATCCAGGTTCCTCTGACGGGGAGAAAATGGTCTCGTCCGCCCTCGATCCGGAGAACTAAAATGTCGTCAAGCTGCAAAGTCCCCTCGTTCAACTCGTAAACAAGTTCGCCATCAGTGATGTTGATCGAGAGCTCGACGCTGGTCGTTTCGCCAGGCGACAGGCTGATCGATCTGGCCGAGGCTGTTGTTTGTTGCCCCTCTGTTCCGTCGTGGTCGAGGGATGGATCTAAGCGGACCTTGAGCCACCGTGGAGCGACGCCGGCATCGTTTGCAGATTCAGTAGGACGATCGACAAAGGCAAACGAGGCCGTAATTTGCCCCGTGTTGGCAATGGTTACAGCCCGTGGCTTTCTCACGCGGTAGCGGACTTCCCCAAAGTCGACAATGTTCATGTCTGCCGCACCGTCAGCGTTGGGGATGGGATCAGAATGATGGTGGTCCACTACCACAGTGACCGAAGGACGCCCTTCGTTTTCCGCCTTATCCAGCTCTCGAGCCACTTCTTGGTGCACTTTGGCTTTCAGCTCCGGTATGACTGCGTCGTACGTTAACCGGAACACGGCGTCCAACGGCTTGTGGTCCGATGACAGAATCCGTTGATGCGAATGGTAACTGAGCAGTTCAATCGTATCCTCTGTATCCTCTTGGGTGTGGACTAGCTCCACCTCGTGCGGAGCGGCTTCTTCTTCGTTGTACTCGTCGTAACCGTCGCCATAAGCGAGTCCGTCCGTCTCAGGGTCATAGTCAAATAATACATCATGTTCGGCTGTTGCTTGGTCGATACCGCGCGCCTTCATTGATTCGTCCTTCTGACGTGCTTCTTCCAACTGTTTCTTCTTTTCCTCGTACCTCTGCTTGTCGCGCCGAGTTCGGAACAGTATCCGGTCACACCAGCTGGGACTTCTCTTTTTGTCTCCCGAGTCAAACATCCCGACACTCCCGACATCATATTTATAGGTAGGAAGGAAATTAATCTCCCCTTCCCGCCACCCCTCGTGGAACGCTCTGCGCAGTCTTTGCTGGGCGCGTAGTTGGTCGTGAGCCAGAAGAGACTGTAAGGTAGTGTGTAAAGAAGCAGGATCCGACTTGGGGTCCAACGGTGGCTCCGCAGTACTCTCGTAGGCTGGTCTTTCTGCGTCGCTGTATTCGTAGCGCTCGTTGGGCGCCGGCAGCGACTCATTCGACGGCGGGTCAACCCAGCCCAGCTCACTGTCAATCCGTCGCTTGGACTTTATGCTGACGTCGTACTCGTTGCGAGTATGCAGTAATAACAACCTCCGGACATCCTCCCCCGGAATGTCGTCCAAGCGGTAATTGAGGTCTCCAAACCAAAAGCAAAAATCCTCGTCGCCTATCTTTTCCTCCCCAACCTCTACAACTTCGCCATCGGGGCTGACCGGGGAGAATCTGGTGCGGCTCAAAATCTGATAGGTATCCCAAATTCGCCGGTTCAGGGCAGTCTGGTCGGAACCGGCCGCGAGATGACAATTCACAAAACAGAGTCGCGTGGTTTCTGCAAGCATGATTCGCGCAGCGACCGCTCCTTTGTTGCCGAAATAGCCCATTAACCCAGTGCCTACAGAAGCTGTGCTGACCGAACCGATGCTGGGAGCCAGATCAGCGGAGGCGTAGATGAGAAGGAGAAGGCCGAGAAGCTGCTGCTCCGCGACCTTCTTGTAGCCCGGCGGTAAAGCACGTTTGAGCGCCTTTTTCCATTTCTTGCCAGGATTCGGGTCGGTATAAGGCTTGACAGCTTCGGTCATGGAAGTGATATCCACGACTTCCTGCAATCCCAGGACATACAAGTCGATTTGGTCACCGTGGGGTTCGGCATGGGTGTCGCCTATCGGCACCGTGGTTTTCTTCTTAGTTATGCGAGCTTCTTGAGCCTCGACAGACTCAATGTTGTCGTCGTCACTGTCCGAGGAGTCATCGTCGTCATCACCCACATCCTCATTAGAGACCCCAGATAAGTCTTGGTTGAGACCTTTCGCTCCATAACCTTCCACAAACCAAGCACCCAGGTCCTTTTCGGTGCCACTTATGGCGGCCACATTCCAGGTACCAACCTTCATTTTCAGAGTCTTCTTGCGAATGTACTCATGCTTCCGAGCCCTCACCGCGGCTGACAAAGAATGAGGCGCGGAAACGTGGCTTTGCGGCGCAATCGATGAACTGGGAAAGGCACCTGGCGCTTGGGCTTGGGCTTTTGTGGCCCATGGATCTGTTGATCTCCATGGTGCTGGAGATGTATCCCTCTCAACATCTGGCTTCGAGGACATGGCAGCGACAGAATGTTGGTCCCTGTGTAGCAATTCGCAGAGGGGAGAATTATGTCGACCCGATTATGTCACCTCATGATTGCGGGAATTGCAGGACGGCAAACAAAAGCTGGATCGCCTTTCTGACAGCAGCCAAAGATGGCTTCGCAGCGCATAGAAGAGGATAATAAAGGTTACAGAAGACGATGAAAATGATGGAGATGAAGCTCGGATCTCTCCAGAAAATGGAATGATCGTCCTGTTATCCGTAGTAGTGGTATTTGACCGCCTGAAAGCAAAGACTGTGAGTCGACGTTGAAGTTGGCTGATGCTTCTTCTATGACATCGTCCGAGCAAAACTGGAGGGATGAAGGAAAGCTTTTGAGCTGTCTGTTCGCCCGGCTATCTACAGTAGCTCAGCTGTTTATGTGACTGACTGATGGTCGGCTTGCACAGCCACCCAATGCGAGTGGAATGTCCTCTATGTGATTTGTTGCAGTTCAAGGTCCCCTTCATTCAGGGCTCGGAATGGTGGGTGGTGGATGGCTTCGCTGTTCACGAGTAATTCCAGGCGTAAGGTACTATAAGCGACACATCTGCAGTCTAACTACACTCCTGCTAAGATCTTCAAAGTATAAAGAGATAGATAGATCCAGAAACCAGTACAACTGTAGTCAGTGGCCAGTACACAAGCCGCACCAAATCCACCTGCGACTCGAAGCGAACCGGCGCTCACGGTTTCAAGTTGGCGATGGTTCCAGTTCCCTCCGCTGCGTCATCTTTGTTGTTGTTCAATACCTTCACTTTAGGCATCACTCCTACTGCGACAAGCACAACCATCTCTCGTGCTGCCGAACGCGAACTTGACCTCTGTCGCTGCCATCTTTACAGCATGGTGTTCTAACAGTTCCGGCTGATCTCCTCAAAGACAACGTCTCATTCTCTATCATCATCGCTTTCTCCTTTGCACCATGAACGAAGTGTTCTGGACCATACAAGATGAACACGCGCCCTGTCATCGATGAGTCCGCGGGACCCAATGCGTTGTCCGCCTCATTCAACAGCGATGCCAGCTGCTTCGCCGTCGGTCTCGACACGGGCTTTTGCGGTGCGTTGGATTGAAGTGCCATAAACCTGTGACTGTTGTACTGACCCGTCTGTCCTACAGTGTTCAACTCGGATCCATGCGAACTCAAGGCCTCTCGAGGTTGGTAGACCTGCCTCGAATCGGGATACAATTCATTATTAACCAAACGATACGACAGACCTGAACGCGGGCATCGGCGCGGCCGAGATGCTAGGACGATACAACTACCTTGCGCTCGTAGGAGGCGGGAAGAACCCGCGATGGCCACAGACAAAAGTACATACATTCAATTCACGCTTTTTGAAAGAGTTCAGGATAAGGGAAGCTGATACGATTTACAAATGCGCTAGGTCATAATCTGGGACGATGCGAAACAGAAAGTTGCCATCACGCTGGAGTTGAAGACGGCGGTCCTCCGCGTGCGGCTGACCAAGTCGTGGATTGCAATTGCAATCCAGAACAGCATCCACCTGTACAAGTTCTCGTCACCTCCGGAGAGGACGGCGATTTTCGAAACGGCCGACAACCCTCTGGGACTGTGCTGTCTGGGGTCCAAAGTGGTGGCATTTCCCGGCCGGTCACCGGGCAAAGTGCAGCTGGTAGAGCTGGCCTCGGGCAACGTCAGCATCATCCCAGCACACACGTCGGCGCTGCGTGCCATGGACCTCAGTCCCGACGGCCGTTTGTTAGCCACGGCCAGTGAAACAGGCACTTTGATCCGCGTCTTCTCGACGTCCAACTGCACAAAAGTCGCCGAGCTACGCCGCGGAGTCGATCCCGCCTACATTTTCAGTATCGCCATCTCTCCGGACTCGACCATGCTCGCCGTCACCTCGGACAAATCTACCCTTCATGTCTTCGATCTGCCTGGCGCGGGCTCCCCGGCTGCGGCCATGCAGCCCGCTAGTGCTATTGCTAGTCCTGGTCATGCGCGTCCAGCAGCGCAGCGGTCGCAGTCCCCCAGCGTCGACGAAGAGTCGTCCACGAACCAGAAATGGGGCTTTCTGTCCAAGATCCCTTTACTCCCCCGGGTTTTTTCAGATACGTACTCGTTTGCCTCAGCGCACTTTGAAATGGGTGACGAGGCCACCGGCGGCGGCATCACCGGACCCTCGTCGCTTTCATACCTCCCTGCCCTGGGATCGCTGCCCAATCGGCCTCAGAAGGGAATATTGGGCTGGGCGGATCATGCCACGTTGATCTGCATCGGCACAGGCCGTGATGCTCGCTGGGAACGGTTCAGAGTCGGTGAGCGGCCTGGCCTGACTGAAGAAGGCCAGAGGACGGTCTGGAGAGACGGCTGGCGGAAATATCTCGGTAGTTGAGCACCAGTGAGCAATATTGCGATCAAACGGAAGAATCACCCATGAACTGCAAACAATTCGATACGATCTCTCAGAGAGCCCGAGTGGGTCGGGCAGAAGACTCTGCGCAGTGCGGTCGTCCTGCTGGAAATCGAACGCTTTTCTCGCACCTGTCGGCTTGGCCTCGACACTGTCGGCGCGAATTCCCTGCCTACGAACTGCAACTGCAGACGATGGCATCCCTTTTCGACGGGGCCCATCATGCACGAACAAAAGGGAAAAAGCGCACTCGCAACAAGGGCACACCCACACCCTACCTCTGTATGTAAGGTATACTTCCTTTCCCAGATGGAATAGTCTCCAACGCCCATGCGGCTCGAAAAGGAAACCCCGGGGTCATCGTCACTATGCAGGCCCTTTCGCCTTCGAGCCATGCACTTGCAGAGTCTACAACAGACGATGTCATGCATTATCTATCTCCTTGCTTCCTACGGCAACCTCGCGCCCCATGCGGTGAGTGAAGTGGTAAGTTATAGCACAGCTACCTTTAGTCCGTCATCAAGGTCGCTGGTATGAGGAGTGCCACACGAACAGGGAGGAGTTTATTGAGCCAAGGACCTGGAAGAGGGACGGTGACAGATGTCAGGAGAGAAGGGACTCGAAGCAGTGTGTCTGTCCCTTGCTCACCGGTTTCGACCAGTGCAGGCGAGACAAATCGATACGATAATCAGGTAATTGATCACGAATAACATTAATAATAATCTATTTCGTGCTTCTACATACCTACTGTTTTGCAGGAGAGAGAAAGAGAGTCTCCAGAATAGTTGGCCCATGTGCAAAAGGATCAAATCGTGCTTGTTGGGTTCAAGTTGTCCTTGTTTTTATGTCCCTGCCGCCCATCACCCCCTACTTCCTACCATGCGGACGCCAGCCCAGTCAATTCGCAAGAAAACTGTACAGTATCATTCATGCCTACATTGCGTCGCAGAAAGCAATTTGAAAGCAGCAAAGCAAAAACGCCTACAACAAGGGTACCGACTTTCACTGCAAGACCAGAATACAACTTCTTTTTGCCTTCCGCTCGACCCCCGTGACTCCAAACAAGCCTTTCAAATTGTCCTTATGGAACTCTCTAGCCATCTGCTTACTGACGTGGCCACTCCGAAATTCTTTTCGTCACGTGGCGCAGTTGAAGTCGCAGACAGTTCCCTCCCGGAATCTTCATGTCCAATCAGAGGCAAATTGAGCTGCGCGATGACGGGAATTCTGGCTTTTGTATCTGCGGCCATATTCGTGGTCAGAAGATGATCGCCTCTAACTCATCGCCTTTTGGTACTGGAAATTGCCAAACCCTCCGGGAGTCATGCTTCCCATCATGCCGTGAGAAGGGACCGGAGTGTGCGTAGGTCCACCAGCGCCGGCCATGCCGATGTTTCCTGTCTGCGGAGTAGTAGGTGTCCCGTTGTGGTTGTAGAACGTCGCGCCGTTCATGTTCGGAGTGCTGAAATCGCGACCATTTCCGGGCCCAGCACTGCCCATGGTGGGCATCTGCGCGTTCAAGCCCCAGACCTGTGATCGGTATTTGTCCTCGTCGATGGTGCCGTTGAAGATCTTCTCCTTCATCTTGAAATACACTTGCCCAGTAAGCAAGGAGTCCGAGCCGGCTTGGTGGGCTTGCCCGAGGCGCGCCACTGCGAGTTCCTCCGCCACGTCTTGAAGCCCGGATTTCGTCATGAGACGTTGGACGATCAATGCAGCTTCCTGTGTCAGGGGTTGTCCGTTGTTGACCTGGCCCTTGAGTCCAACGTGCTTCAGAATAAACTTGATGTCGAATAATGATGGAAAGAACTTCTCCAGGTATTTGTGGAATTGTACTTCGTCTTCGGGCAGCGGCTTGCAAATCATGAGCTTCATCAAGTACCCGAAGTCGTAGCCTGAATGGAAGGAGATCCAGTGCACATTAGGATCTAGGACAAGACCGGAACTGATCAGCAGGGCGCCGAATTCTTCGGGATCGATGCCGTGCTTGGCGTGTCGGTCGAAATCAATCCCGGCTTTTGCGAGCATCGTCGTGGAGTCTCGAGCGTACATGTCTGACTGCAAGGAGAATCGGAAGTTGAATTGCCATGTACATGGAGTGGGTAGCATGGTCTGGTGATATTGCGACTTATTGGTGGGCGCAGCGTCCGGAGGCGGAAGTGTACCGTCGGGTTTGAAGAGAGTTATACCGAGCTGTATCATTTTCAGAAGGTCAACATTGCACCGTAACGTCTGATAGTGGTAGTCTGCTTTTGTAGTGAATTGTCCGATCGGCCGAGCGACGATCCCGGGGAACTCTGTGTCCTATCGTTGTTTTGGGTCAGTATGGTCACCCAGTGCGGAAGACCCAAACGAAATACATACCATGGCAATGTACGGGTATGTGTCGACAAGTTGTCTCAACGTTGCCATCTCTTCTTTTAGATTGTGCTTCCAGACATTTCGGATTCTCGCATCATCTTTGTTTTCAAGCGGACCAGCCAACCCGTCAAAATTCTGTTGTGCTTGCACCGGACCACCCCTTGAAAAGCCCATCTGCCCCATCTGGTTTGGAAGGACACTGCCATCAAGGAGGCCGCGGTCAAACCCGTTGTTCAGACTCCCAGCCAGTGCGAAAGGACTTGCCTGGGAGGAACCGCCTGCGCCAAAGGAGGCTGTGCCCAAGTGTGTTGGAGGAGGTAAAGCGCCATGCTGATGCGACTGTAGGTGACTTTGTTGGATATGATAGGGTCCGTTCATGGACTGATTCCCGTAGCGAGGAGGCGCCATGGTGGATATTAATTAATGCGATGAGGATGGAGAAGACAGCAGGTCATGCGTGTTCATGGCGGAGCGACAGTGGTGACTGCGACAAGCGCGAGAGTGATTGGTGAAAGGCGCAAAAATTCACAGATCGCTCCTGCAGAGAGGTAGCTTGTTCGAGTTCATCTTTCGCGTTCCAGGGTGATTGAAAATAGTTCAAGTTGTTGAGGTGAAGAAAGACACTTTGCGGGACAGACACTCGAATCATCCCGCGCGGATCACACGCAGGCCAAAGTCGAGAGTCAAGAATGCTTGTTGGCCACACCACTTCGCCGTATTGTGAGGTCCTGTAGAGCATATTAAGCTTAAAGCGCACTCTTGGCGGGAGCTTCGTCTCGAATCATCAAGCATTGTGGTCGGGCAGTGAATTGGACGCTCCAGACCGTTACAAGCTGCGCAACACCAGAGCCAACACCTCGAGGACTGCGTCTATAAGAGTGGTGCGCTCTCAAATTGGCGTGCTCCTGGCAGCTTTGACCTTTTAATCTTCTCTCCGATACGCACCAGCGCAGCCCGTCATCCGCAACACCGAGGCAATGGCTCCTTCAAACAACCCGACCGGGTTCGACATGAAGACCTTCACGGACGCTGCAACCAGTAGGGAATGGCGAGCAAGAGATCCCTGGGCTAGGAAGTAAGGCAACTACTATAATATGTGCTCCGACATCTACTTACCCAGTGGTTAGTGAGGCCTGGCGCTACACAGGCCCCTTCACGCGGTGGAATCGATTCAAGCGAGCATTCCCTGGACTTGGGATTGCTACGGCAGCGTTTACAGGCTATGTTATTGTGGAGGCATTGTTCTTCAAGGACTCACACGCTCACGGCGACGGCCACGGGGAGAAGCACCACTGAGCCGCATAATTTCCCAACACATTTGAACGACAATGCTCGCGACCAAGTGCTGGAGTGAGCCAGGCAAGACTCATCATGCAGGAGAGGGTCGACCATTCAATCAGTACTGTACATACAAAGGGAGAGGCACATAACGCGAACAATGCAAAAAAAGATGAACATGTCTGATAAGGTGCATTACATTTGCAATGTTTGTTGGTTATGCGGAGTTGCTGCCCACATGGAAAGACTGCACACTCGGCGATGCTGTAGGGAACACCCTCTGGGTAAGCGGCTTGATCTGGGGAGACTTGACATCGGACGATTTGCGTTCTAGATATCGGCATTTTGCTACATGCTTTTGAGAGGCGGATATGCGGACAGACGGCGAAACCGGCGGCAGACTGTTATGAAGACCGGCTGTACGTTGTAGAATCAGATCGCGTATCAATTCCGAATTTAAGGGTGTCCGAGTCGCTTCTCTACACTACGGTAAATAGAATGCGGGGGACCAACGTGAGGATATCAGGCTGTCATATCATGGACCAATCCCTTATCACATCTCAGCCTCGAAACAAGGCCTGATAGAAGTGCTCGTGGTCAGCTGCTCTTCTCGGAGAGGCGACAATGGACCCTTTGTGCTGCTGGGGGGCTTCACCTTGCGGTTGTCCAGCGTCGTAAAGTGGCAGCCGGCGACGTGGAGCACCGCTAAACTCCAACAGGGCAACAATTGCCTTGATAGACCGAAAGGAGAAAGCAACCACGATCCCCCAGCGAGTGACAGCGCGCAAGTCCAGGCTCTTATCTGCTTCCGCCTCTTATCGTTCGTGGCGGACGACCAATGTTGCTCGAATTGAGGAGTAGCTCTCATGGTCCGGGGTGATTCTCTTGATGCTGTTGGTGCCTCCAAGAGTCTAGTCAATCATGGCCACAACCGTCCGTGAGGAGACGACGCGGCCAGCCGAAGATACATATATGTGTGTAAGTCTTGCCTCGAAGGTTTGATTTCTTCTGCTCTGCACGACCATTCTCCCGACCATCTTTCTATAGTCCAGTCTATCTTGGGGCACCCGCAACAATGGTTCTTGAACGAGTGAAACAGCTGGCACAGCAGGTGTCCAACACTGTCTCGCCTCCCCATCCCCTGGATCCCCTTTCTTCGCTCGAGATTGAAGCGGCGGTGACTATCCTACGTGGCAAATATGGCAAACTCTACTACAACGCCGTGACTCTTCTGGAGCCTCCCAAGGCCCAGATGCTCAAGTGGCTCGCCGATCCAGAGACGACTCCGAGGCCTCACCGGGTTGCCGACATCGTGGTCATCACCACGGACGGCAAGGTCTTTGACGGCAATGTCGATCTCACTGAAGGCAAGGTCGTCAGCTGGAAGGAAACCCCTAACGTGCAGCCATTGATCACCATGGAAGACCTCAATGCCGTCGAACAGACCATGCGCAAGGATCCTAAAGTGATTGAGCAATGTGGCCTTGTCGGCATTCCTCCCGAGGATATGGACAAGGTGTATTGTGACCCCTGGACGATTGGGTACGATGAGAGATTTGGCAATGGAGTCAGACTCCAGCAGGCCTTGATGTATTACCGGCCACATGTGGACGACAACCAGTATACCTACCCCTTGGATTTCTGTCCCATCTACGACTCAAACAAGAGAGAAATCATCCATATCGATGTGCCCAAGGTTCGGCGACCACTAAGCAAGGCACCTCCGAACAACTACCATGTCAAGGACATTGAGGGAAATGGTGGCTACCGGACGGACATCAAGCCCATCAACATCACGCAGCCCGAAGGCGTGAGTTTCAAAGTTCAAGGACGGACGATTGAATGGCAGAATTTCTCTGTCCACGTCGGGTTCAATTACCGTGAAGGTATTGTACTGAGTAATATCACGTATTTCGACAAGAACGAAAGCAAAGCCCGACCACTTTTCTACAGACTGTCACTGGCGGAAATGGTGGTGCCGTACGGAAACCCAGAACACCCGCACCAGCGCAAGCACGCTTTCGATCTTGGAGAGTACGGCGGCGGGTACATGACGAACTCGCTCAGCCTGGGATGTGACTGCAAAGGCAGCATCCACTACATGGACGCCGAGTTTGTGAACCGGGCGGGGGCGGCGCAGACGATCAAGAACGCCATCTGCATCCACGAGGAAGACAACGGCATTTTGTTCAAACACAGTGATTTCCGCGACGATTCGGTCATTGTGACCCGCGCCCGCAAGCTGATCATCAGCCAAATCTTCACGGCCGCCAACTACGAGTACTGCGTCTACTGGATCTTCCATCAGGACGGCACGATCCAGCTGGAGATCAAGCTGACGGGCATCCTCAACACGTACGCCATGAACCCCGGCGAGGACACAAAGGGCTGGGGCACCGAGGTGTACCCGGGCGTCAACGCACACAACCACCAGCACCTGTTCTGTCTGCGCGTCGACCCCAACATCGACGGTGCCAAAAACACCGTGTTTCAAGTCGACGCCGCCCAGGGCCCCGGCGAGCCCGGCTCGCCCGAGAACTACTACGGCAACGCCTTCTACGCCAAAAAGACAAAATACACAAACCCCGTCGAGGCCATGGCCGACTACAACGGCAACACTTCGCGCACATGGGACATTGCCAACGAAAACAAAATCAACCCTTACTCGCACAAACCGGTTTCTTACAAGCTCGTCAGCCGCGAGGTCCCGCCTTTGTTGCCAAAGAAGGGCTCGTTGGTCTGGAAACGTGCTGGCTTTGCTCGTCATGCTGTCCACGTTACAAAGTGTAAGTCTGCTGCACCGAGCACCCGAAGGGTGCGAGGGGCTTTCTCCCATAAAACGGAGAAGGGGAGGGGGGTGGCGCGGCGCGGCGGGAGGGAGCCGGCTGTGTTTCCCTACTTCTTCCCCTGTTATCATTATTAACCACTGCTAATACCTTTTTCTCATCTAGATTCCGACGACCAAATCCACCCAGCTGGCCGTCATGTGCCCCAAACCTCAGGTGAACCCTCCCAGGGTCTACCGCAGTGGATCGAGGCGAACCCACGAGAAAAGATCGACAACGAGGACATTGTCCTCTGGCACACTTTCGGACTGACCCACTTCCCGGCCCCCGAGGATTTCCCCGTCATGCCCGCCGAGCCCATGACTCTGCTGCTGCGGCCGAGAAACTTCTTCCTCCGCAACCCGGCGCTTGATGTGCCTCCCAGTTATGCTCGTACTCCGAGCCAGGTCGCTGCCGGTAAGGCTGGATGTAGTTGTACCAAGGACAAGGCGAGCGTGGCGGTGTGATTGTGATTGATTTGTGTTGGGCATTCAAGTTTGCTGTTTTTGTCGTCGGTCGCTCGCAACATTGGTATGGAAGGATATAAGTCAGTCAGATTATGCATCAATTCGATGATGTTATGTGTCAAAGGAATGGGATTTGCTCCAAGAGGGACACTGGACAGTACTATCTAGGCAGCCTGGAACTACCTTACTCTCTTGAAATACTAGTATTCTGAATCCTAATCCAGCGAGGTCTAGTTATCTCTAACGATATGCTATCTTGTCTCTCACTACCTACATCCTGCTGTACCTTTTCATCTAGATAGTAGTAGTGATATTGGAGAGATGGATTTTTGTCCTAAGACACCATATGGGGTTCCACATTGTTCAGGCCATCGCTGCAGTGTTCTGTGTACAATATATATAGAAGCAGTACTACGCTTGGTCGAACGGATGGGACCACTCTCCGACGAGGCCAGGGACCTGGACCCTCTAACCCTTCATGCCATTCTGATCAAAGAACCGCATCTTTTCCTCTTCACTCGAGGAGCCTCGGAACCTAACGCTATATATTTGTACATATATATACCCGTTCTACCAAGTTCCAGATTGAATTTCCTTTTTTTCACGACCACGTCTCCTGCTTATATCTTCCCACCTTTTCCAGTCTAGCCAGATACATTTCTGCATCCTTTTCAGAGGTTATCGAATCCTCCTCCTCCTCGTCATTATCTTGTTCGTGTTGGCCGACAGGACCTCCGCCGGCGGCCTGGGTCCCCTTTCCAGTTTCCTCCAATCTCTTGCGACCCTGTTCGACAAGCGCGTCGACAATGGCCTGCCGCACCGCCTTGGGCATTGCGCCGGATGAGCCGCACACGATGACCGTGGCGTTCCGGTCGCGCAGCAACTCCCAGATCAGGTCGCTGTGCTGCCGGATCCGGTCTTGAACATAGACTTTGGATTTCTGGTCGCGCGAAAACGCCGGAATGACTTGGAGGTCAAGCTTCGCGGCAGGAATCCTGGAGGTACCGTCGTCGGTTTCGAATCGTTCTTCTGCATTATTATTGGAATCTGTTGGCGTGATGTTGGCGTTGGCGTTGAGGGCAACCCACTCATCATGGAAAAAGTAGTCGGCTTTTTCGCTGCGGCAGCCGAAGAACAATGCGGTCCTTCCCAGACTGCCACTGTCGCCGCGAGCCTTTTCATGTATAAGGGCTCGGAGTGGCGCGATGCCCGTGCCTGCGCCCACGAGGATATGATTTTCACCGCTGGGATCGGAAGACTTGGAGAACCGCCCCTCGGTCTTCAGAGAGACCTGCAGCGTTGTGCCGACCGGTAGTTGTGCCAAGTATCTCGTGCACACGCCCTCGCGGATGCGCTTGATGACAGTCCTGTACTTCACAATTGCCACCAACAGCTCGAAAACGGTCGAGTTGTCGCCGTCGCCGTCGCCGTGCTTGAGCACACCGCCACTGGCGATACTGAACTGTCGAGCACGCAACGGCGGGAAAATGTTGGTCACTTCCTCCCAGGGGATGTGGACGGAGTCGAACTCCTGCAGGATTTCCAGCATGCTGCGCCTCGGCCGCGTGGCGTAATCGTAGTATTCGTCCAGGTATTGCGGGTCGGTGAACTCCAGCAGCCGCTCCTTGTGCATCTCGTTGTCCGTGTAGTTTGCAATGGCGCCGAAGAAGGATCGCCGCGGTATTGCGTTGATGTCCAGGTATTCGGTCAGAAGGATGCGCAGAGTCAAATCTGTGCGAGTGGAAATAGGATGGTGTGGAAGACGACCATTTGGGCGCGTGGACACGAGCCGGACTGGAATGTCTGCCGCGTCGTGCCAGTTCATCCTGTCAATCAGAAATGACACATCTGTAGGCATATTCTGAGGTAGGATCGCAAGCGCATCGCCGGGCATGTAGTCGAGCTTCTTGCCGACGGTCTTCAGCCGCATGAATCGCACATCTTGCCAATGCTCGGCCGGAGTCACCCGCTCGTTCTTCTCGAGAACAACGGGGAAAGACTCGGACGATACATCCGTCTTTGGAGCAGTATGTAGTAGTCCGTTCGGGGCTATCTGGGATTCGTGACTGGTCAAAGTTCCCTCCAAGCGATATTTGCTGGGCAGTAGAACTTCGTTAGGTATAGGATTGAGGCCCTCTGGCAGCGGGAAAAGCGTAAGGACGGTCTTGCGGAATATATCCAGCCAAGCTAGAAAGTAGCCGTCTGTTCCTTCATCCCCTTGTTCGTCAGCCTCGCATGATTCAAGGATGGAAGTTGCCCCAAGTTGGCGAAGACGTTTGTCCAGCTTCCTCGCTGCCCAGTTGAACTTTGGGTATGAGCTGTCGCCCAGTCCAACTAGAGCATATTTGCTGCCGGCCAATGTGGTGGGAGGCAACTTTTTGCGGAGAAGACTCGTCCAGAACTTCCGAGCATTTTCGGGGAAATCACCCTGGCCAGTCGTGGAGAGGACAAACACGGTGAAGGTGTAGTTCTTTAGCAATGCATAATTGACATCGTCCAGGCCTGCCACATCGGTATCGAAGTGAAGTCGCTCTAGACAGCGGCTGATCTCTTCCGCAAAGTCCTGTGAGGTACCTGTTTCTGTTCCGTAAAGTAGGAGGACAGACCTCCCGTGGTCTGGCTCAGTCGCTGCAACCATTCCCGAATATGGATTGTTGAGCTGTCATCATTCGATCTGTTCTGTCCTTACTCGTCCCAGACTCGAACTCGCGTGTGCTATGCGAGTATCCGATTACCGCTTCGTGCACCGCAGTGGAGGGCGAGATATTGGCATATCAACTGCTTCCAACTCCGCCGTAGAATTACCAGTCAGATACGCACGTGATCGTACGGATAAGTGTGTCCTCTTGAGACGCACTTTATGCCGCAAATGTTCAAGTTTCGGGAGAGACACAGGCACGAGGCAATCAGCTCAGGCTGCTGGAGAGGCGTCCTCTAATAGGAAAACCAGACTTCGCTGGCGAAGTGTAAAGGCAGTGTAGTGGTATCAAACTGCGGGTAATCGATAGGACGAAAACATCAGAGACATCATCTATTCGAAGGTCGTGGCACGGGTGATCCGGATGTCAAGGCGAATCCTAGCACAGTGTAGCACAAGAGGCGGTTTCTAAACATGGGTGTCTGAAACGACTTTGTGATATCCACTGTTGATTTCGTGCTTGCTGACCTCTTGATACAAAAATGAGAATTCGTACAATGTGAAGGCGCAAGTCTGTTGATCTCCATGCGGCGTCGAAATCAAGCAAAAGGCGCCGTGCAACATGCCTCAAGGCTCAAGGCTGAAATGCCACATACAAAACGTGCCTGCAAATATTCACAGCATGGGGAATCTACTCGCTTTCCCAAACTCCCGTTCATCTTATGTCACTTTGGTAAAAGATGCGGACGCTTTGGCCTGACATCCTGCGCTTCTTTGCGAGGTATCTCGATCAGAAGTAGCCCCCTTCATCGTCGCCGCCGCGCCCACCGCCAAAGGCAAAACCGTCCTCATCGTCGCCCTCTCCTGTGTCGAAATAATTCTCGGCATTGTAATCATCAGCGCCGCCGTCGTCTGACTCTGAGAATTCCGAGTCAACAGGCTCATCATCGGCTGACCCATCGTCGTCATCATCATCCGCGTCGTCGTTGTCTTTGTCATCGGCATTATCGTCCTCATCATCCTCGTCGTCCGAACCTTTGTTTCCTTTGTTTCCTTTCTTCTTTCGCGGTTTTGGTTGGATCTCTTCCTCTGAAAACTCGTCCTCGGCATCCAGGCCGCGCTTTTCGCCTGCTTTTCGATCATCGCGCTTCTTCTTGGCTTTAGTAGACCGTCGCGTGCCAGACAGTAATGGATCTGAGACGTCTGTGTCGTTTGCTTCGTCGTTTTCCTCGTCTTCATTGACGTCAATGGCAATGTCACGTTTCCGCTTCTTGCGAGGTGCACTGGTTGCGGCATCGAAGTCGTAGTCTGTAGTTTTCCATAGGGGGTGTTTGCGGCCGGGGTCGAGGAACGGCCACAGCTCGGGAGGAAAGTATTTCAACTCTGTTTACAAGAGACCATACCCTCACGTTAGATTCCCAGCCTTATTATAACCCAACGATTCATGTATCCGTCGCATATTGATAGACAAAGGAAATTGTGGGAGACGGATCGAATTTTACGTACCATAATCCCGCCCACTGAGGTCCGGTACCGTGCGTTTCTTCTTGTAGTATTTCGCGCTATACTTCTCTTGGTCGTTGAAAGGGTCGAAACCTGCACGCTTGATCACCTTTCCTGTCTTGGGGTCTGCAAGACTGCTCGGGTCGAGGACCGAATAGTAGGGGCCGTTGTGCGCTCGCCCGCGGAATCGCAGGTAGCTTTGGACGCAGGAGAATTCAAAGGGAGAGATCGGCCGTGGCACGGGAAACTCAATATCCTATATATTGTCCACATAGCGGTGTCAGTTGTCAACTGTCCTTTTCATCGTCTTCCTTCTCGCCTTCTCTGCATTGAGCCGTTTCTGAACATCGACCTACAGGAAACGTTGGTTCTGGCTTGCGAGCCGCATTGAAGGTTGCAGGGTCATCTTCTTCATCATCCCAGGAGAGATCAGGTCCGCGCTTCGCACCACCACCTCTTCCGCGTCGCGCCATGGTGAATGCGCCGTGAATATGCTAGATTTCTCGGAACGCCGAGTCGGAGAATACTCTCCTTTTCACGGTCACCGTACTGCGTGTTTCATCGCAACGAGGTTGTCTATTGATTTCTGGATTGTTTGCAGAAGTAATCCTAAACCACACAAGGCACAAGCGACAGAGTGCTTGTGCTAGTAAATGATCAGGTTTGCCTGAAATTAGTGCCTCAAGCCAGAAAATCCGCGGCAGAATTTGGGAGCGAGGTGGGGAAACGGCAAGGCTCACCGCCTTGGAGATGAACGAGGCTGACGGGCGAGGCTGAGATCAACCGAATTTGATGCAAATGACGGCGCGTCTCAGGCTACAAGGATACAACCCACTCAGAAGATAAAATCCACTTCTCAGAGGTATAGACAGTAATGATCTATCCTTGAGGTACCAGGTATTAACCTGTAAGCCACTTTGCGCTGCATCATTTCACAGCAAGGCTGAAATCCTGGCTCTGTGATTGGCCTTAGGACAAGCCAAGGTGCAGGTCACGTGGAGGTGTCTTTTTCCCCATAATTTTTCGACGACCCAGCATTGACTCATGTTGCAGGACTCAGTTGGCAGTTGAGTAAACAGTTCAATTCTCTTGCTTCGAGAGTAAGTTCGCTTGGTTCTTTGTCGGCCGCTCAGAAGGACGCTGAGGTCGCGATCACCGCAAGCAGTCCACTCTTAAGGTGAAGAGAACAAGAGAATCCAGGCTACTATCCATCCTTCCCTTTTCTCGTATTTCTTATATACTCCATCATGCCCAGTCGCTCAGAAGTCGCCTATTTCGGCGCGGGCCCTGCCCCTCTACCGACTGCAGCCATTGAAAAGAGCGCTCAAGCATTCGTCAACTTTGAAGATACTGGTTTGTCTTTGGCTGAGATCTCGCATCGCTCGCCGACCGCAAACAAGATCCTTTCCGACGCCAAAGATGCGCTGGCAAATTTGTACGACATTCCTATGGACGAATATGACATTCTATTCATGGAAGCCGGAGGCACTGGCGAGTTTAGCGCCGTTGTTCAGAACTTGATAGGCCACTGGATCGAAAAGCGTCGCAGACAGGCCATCGCCGAGCTGGGCGAGGGGAAGGATGCAGAAGTCTTGGAACGAGTGAAAAGAGAGGTCCAGACCGAGCTGAAGGTCGATTACCTCGTCACTGGTTCATGGTCCCTGAAGGCTAGCCAGGAGGCCACGAGGCTACTGGGCGGTCAATATGTCAACGTTGCTGTGGATGCTAGGAAGAGCAACAACGGCAAATTTGGAAAGATTCCAGACGAAAAGGAGTGGAAACTGACTTTCAAGGGGAGCGCGTACACATACTACTGCGACAATGAGACTGTGGACGGTGTCGAGTTTCCTACCTTCCCTCAAACGCTGGAGAGCAAGGGCGGAAGCGAACATGACGAAAGGATTGTGGTGGCCGACATGTCGAGCAACTTCCTCAGCCGGAAAATCGATGTTAGAAAGTTCGGCGTCATTTTTGTAAGTCTTATCTTGTCTTTTCCATGTTCCGTGCAGCGCTAACATTCGTTCAGGGTGGTGCTCAAAAGAATCTCGGCATTGCTGGGATCACGGTCGTCATCATCCGCAAGTCTCTTCTCGACCTGGTGCCGCCTCCAGCTTTTCTCCACGCTTTGTCGCCAGTGATCCCGGCCTCTGGCACTCTCCCACCGATCATCTTCTCCTTTCCCGTCATTGCTTCCAATAACAGTCTCTACAACACGCTCCCCATCTTCAACCTATACGTTGCCACGGTCGTGCTGCAAATGCTCGTCTCTACCTTTGGGCCCCGAAAGGTTTCTGGCCAGGAGGAGATCGCAAACAAGAAAGCTGCACTCATCTATAACGCGCTGGACGCTCATCCAGATACTTATTATGTCGTGCCGGACAAGAGCGTGCGGAGCCGAATGAACATATGCTTCCGGATCATTTCGGGCCAAAAGGCTGGTGACCAAGTGGTGCCTGATGAGGCCAAAGAAAAGGCCTTCCTGGCAGGAGCAGAGAAGAGAGGTCTACTCGGTCTCAAGGGTCATCGCTCTGTTGGTGGAATGCGGGCAAGCAATTACAATGCTGTCTCACTGGAAAGTGCTCAGAAGTTGGCGGATTACCTGGTTGAATTTGCTCGGTCATGATTTCACCACTTCTAGGTATTACACCTGGATTGCATACCGTATGTTGAACAGATGATGGATTGGCTGCTCAACTTAAAAAAGTCCCAATGAAAGAAATTTAGACAAGATAATCAACTATTTCTGGACCTAAAACATCGCTACCCGCTTATAATAAATAGTACGTGCCGTACCACGGAATCAGACATCTTCACGTGCACGTGCCCGCCGTGCCGTTTCCTGCCTGTAGTATTGAATCCGGTCACATCCAACGTGAATAGCACCGCCTTGGCGGAGCCGTGGGCGGTGAACCAATATCACTACTTGATATTTATCCTCCGCGCAATTATCCTCAACAATCCACCGAGCCAGACCCAGGCCCGATGGCCTAGGCGTCAGGCGGAGTGGTGCGTTACCAAACCCACAAAGTCTAAACCAAACCATTGTAAGAGGAGCTCTCTCGGAAAAAAATCCCCTGGGCCTAATCCCCTGATCTGCAAGGTAGAAGAGCGAGTGTCCTCCGACCCGAGGAGGCACCGTTGGCCGGGCAGATCTTGTGGAATTCGCAGCACCAACCGGGGGGTTCACTTGGTTCTACCCTTCGGATAGAAGACCTCAAGAACGAGGAAATTGCTAGGCCGGAGCTTAGTTCAAAAGTTTTTGCCATTCGGCAGAAACTCGTGGGGAGCTTTTTGGCCGCTGGGAATGCTGTTCAATTCACGTTCGTTGCAGCATGACTTTTCGGTTCATGGGGACGGTCACCTTGGTGGGAGGGAGAAGAATATTGTGCTTGGGGAGACGAGGCCTTGTATTCACCTTCACACAAACTGGAAGCTTACCATAGGTACTAGTAGTACAGCATCGCCCTTAATCAACCGTGAATGGTCCAACGACTCATATTCCAGTTGAGAACTTCAATATGAAGTCTCCCTTGTCATCACAAGTTCACCACACAATTCATATACTTCGCTGCGAGACTTCGTGGTGGCTACTGCACCCTCCGACGCTATCTCACCTCTGGTCCACCACTCGTACCGCACAGCATTTCAATAGTGCTGTTCATGAGAACAGATATTTCCCGCAGCAATAGCACCCACTTTGGCGATGAGACTCCCAAAGATCCGGGATGGCATCCCTCAGCTGATCACAACGATCCGATGTTGATGTGCAAACAACCTCAACTTTTGAACTTCGCAGAAACGCGCAGCCCAATGCCAAGACTGGTCACGTGTGCCGGCGTTTAAGTGGTTGCAGCCGGTCAAAGTCGATGACGGAACACACGCGTGCTGACTACTAGTACGCGTAGAATCCGCCTGGCAGAACGACAGTACTGCAAGTCTTTACAAAGGTCTCACTTGGCCGGGCGACCAGATCAACAGCGTAAAAGCCTCCTACCACCAATCCCTGGTGAGAAAAATCAAGCAGGCTTATCTTTATCACCACCCTCCAAGAACATATGTCGGGCCAGCGAGGTGGCAGCAGGACCAGGACCAGGACCAGGACCGGCTTCCCGAGCAAAGTGGGAAGATGAAGCCAACCTGAACGAGCTTCAAGCCCGAAAGGTGGGTGGAGGAAAAGGGAATACCCCAAACCGAAACAATCGGATAAAGGACACGACCAAAACACGCCATCATGTCATCGTCTCAACCGTTTAACATGTCCTCGCCCGTCGATGGCCTTGTTGGTGGAGGTGGAGGTTATGGAGGAGGGATGAAGAAGAGATCCTGCTTCACCTACAAACATCTCCAGCTCCTGAGCCAGTCCTCAACCAGCTGCCCACTACGAGTCATAGCACTGATCGACTACGACGCCTTCTACGCACAATGCGAGATGGTACGCCTGGGCGTGTCCGAAACACAACCTTTAGCGGTACAGCAATGGCAAGGGCTGATCGCCATCAACTACCCGGCGCGGGCATTCGGGCTCAACCGCCACGTGACAGTGACCGAAGCGAAGACCAAATGTCCCGAGCTGGTGGTGCAGCACGTCGCGACGTGGCGCGAAGGCGACGACAAATGGGCCTACCGCGACGACGCCGCCCGGCACATCCACACCGACAAGGTCTCGCTGGACCCTTACCGGCTGGAATCCCGCCGGACCCTGGCTCTGCTCAAGGAAATCCTCCCACCCCCTCCTGTCCAGAAGGTTGAGAAGGCCAGCATCGACGAGGTCTTTCTCGATTTGTCCGCCCAGATCCATCAGATCTTGCTTGAGCGCTACCCGGAATTGCGGTATGCTCCCTACGACGACCCGACGGAACCCTTACCCTTGCCGCCGTCGACCGCCTTGAACTGGCATGCCGATGCGCTGGTGGACTTGGATCTGGCCGAAACCGAGGACGACGACCCGGACTGGGATGACGTGGCCATGAACATTGGCGCAGAGGTCGTGCGTGGTGTCCGACAGACCATCTACGACAGACTCAAGTATACCTGCTCCGCTGGCATTGCGCGGAACAAGATGATGGCCAAGTTGGGCGCCGGATACAAGAAACCCAACCAGCAGACCATCGTGCGCAATCGCGCCGTGCAGCATTTCTTGTCCGGGTTCAAATTCACAAAGATCCGCAACCTTGGTGGGAAACTGGGCGACCATGTCGTGGACACGTTTGGGACCGACGAAGTCACCGAGTTGCTCGCCATCCCGATCGAACAGCTCAAGGCCAGATTGGGCGACGACACGGGCACCTGGCTCTACGGCATCATTCGCGGCGAGGACAACAGTGAGGTCAATTCACGCACACAGATCAAGTCCATGTTATCGGCCAAATCATTCAGGCCGAGCATCAACACCGTGGAACAGGCCAACAGGTGGTTACGCATTTTTGTGGCCGATATCTATGCCCGGCTAGTCGAGGAGGGCGTGACGGAGAACAAAAGAAGGCCCAAAACCATCACCCTCCACCATCGGCAGGGTGCACAAACCAGATCCAAACAACTTCCCATCCCACAGGGCAAGAAGATCGACGAGAATACCCTGTTTGAGCTCGCAAAGACTTTGCTCGGACAGGTTGTCGTTGACGGCCGAGCGTGGCCGTGTGCGAATCTGTCATTGAGCGTGGGAGGTTTCGAAGATGGCGTGGCGGGAAATAAAGGCATCGACACCTTCCTGCTCAAAGGTGATGAAGCCAGAGCGGCCTTGGAGCCACCGTCTCGGAGCAATACCGCTACACCAAATCCCGAAGAGTCTCGACCCGAGAAACGCCGCAGATTGAACGAAGCTCCTCCCAGCATTGCTCGGTTCTTTTCCCGAGGCGACAGTAATGGAGACCCTGAGGACGGGCTCATGGAAGAGGCTGCAGACGACATGGGTGACTCTGAGGCACGCGTCGAACACAACGAAGATGACGATAGCCGTCGGTCTTCTGTGCACCTTCACGAGCACGACATCAGAACGTACTTCTGCAAGGCCTGTCAAAAATCCATCGATGAGGCCGACAGAATCGAGCACGAAGACTGGCACTTCGCCAAAGAACTTCAGGCTCAAGAAACTCCGGCCGTCAAAGGTCCGTCGAACAGTCGTCCACCCGGTCAACCAAATGCAAAACCAAAGCGCGGAGGAATCGGCACTCGGGGCCGGGGTTCGAAGCCCGAGAAAGGGCAGAGCCGCCTTGCTTTTGGGTAGTGTTCATGGCGGCGTTTATTGGATACGCTCGTCCTTTTTTCCTCCTTCATCAAGGAACAGTGAGATATGCCTGCCTCTATTTGCATTTTTTTAGATACCCTGGCCAGCATACTCTTTGTTGAAAATTCTACCAATCACCATTCTTCTGATCTCGCTCGTGCCCGCCCCAATTTCGTATAACTTGGCATCTCTTAGTAATCTCCCTGCAGGGATCTCATTGACATAGCCATTACCGCCCAAGAGTTGAATGGCGTCCAGACCACATTCGGTAGCTCTCTCAGCCGCATATAGAATTGCACCAGCACAGTCCTGGGTGCGGATCTGACCTTCTTCATCAACCTTTTTGGCCGTGGCGTAGGTGTAGGCTCTCGCGGCTTGAAGTTTGGTGTACATATCGGCCAATTTGCCCTGGACCAGCTGGTTGTGGGCGATGGGAACACCAAACTGTTTGCGCTGATGAGTATATGGCAGCACCAGATCGAGACAAGCCTGCATGATGCCCAATGGACCGGCACTGAGGACGAGGCGCTCCAAGTCCAATCCTTCCATGAGGACTCGGACGCCCTTGTTGACTTCGCCCAGGACGTTTTCTTTGGGCACAAAGACATTGTCAAACACCAGCTCGCCGGTATTGGACCCGCGCATGCCCAGTTTATCTAGTTTTCTCGTGACAGAGAAACCGTCGGAGGACTTGCCTTCGACAATGAATGCCGTGATGCCTTTGCTTTGCTTTTCGGGCTCCGTCTTCGCATACACCACAATGTAGTCGGCGTCGGGCCCATTGGTGATCCACATCTTGGTGCCGTTGAGGACGTAACCCCCGTCGACTGGTTTCGCTGTCGTCTTCATGCTCACCACGTCACTGCCTGCCGAGTGTTCGGACATGGCCAGCGCGCCGATCTTGTCTCCCGAGATCAGACCGGGCAGAAACCGCTCTTTCTGGTCCTTGCTGCCGTTCAGGCTCAATTGGTTCACGCACAGCTGTGAATGTGCCGCATATGACAACCCAATCGACCCTGATGCCCGGCTGATTTCTTCGTTGATGATGCAGTGTGCCTGATAGCCCATGCCTAGCCCGCCATATTCCTCGTCTGCTGTCGGTCCGAGGAACCCAGCCTCGCCCAACTTCTTCCACATGTCGTTGGGAAATTCATTGGACTGGTCCGTCTTCAAGGCAATTTCTTCAGGAATCTCTCTTCGTGTAAACTCTTGTACTCTCTCGCGAAGCTCGTACAGCTCTTCTGTGCTCGGAGGCGTGAATCCAGACGGGTGTTTGGACGTGGAGGCGGCCCGAATCGTCGTCGTGCTCGGTGGGTAAGCGGAAATCAGCACAGGGAGACTCCTGGCTAGTCGGCTTCCCGGCCGAACAAGTCTTGATGCAATCAATGACACCATTGTGGATGATATGATTCACACAATGAACCCAACGAGAGAGAAAGAGGTTGCGAAAAGAGAACAGGACGTCGAGGTAGAGGCGTGTAGCCCCTTCTTGACCTCAGTGTTGACATAGGGAACCATGGTCCTCCGTGGCTAACCGCGTTGCCGAGGGGGTGCGGGCAAGAAACGTGGAGAACCCCAGTCTTTGATTTAGTTTAATTTGTAGTTCTTTGTAATACCGCACTGTAGCTGTTCTATCTAGTAGTATATCGATCTCTTAAAACCCGAACCGATTCTACTACTAGAGCTAGGCTGCGCAACGGGTTGGGTAGGGCAGGGTTTAGGGCACCTACCGCCCGCCTAGTTAATCTAATAGGGTTTTTAAAAAAAGCGCTACTCTACCCTTACGGGTTTCGAGTAGGGTAGAGTACCTAACGAGTTTCACTAAGAACCTAAAATTCTTAAAATTAGCGAGATTTTCGCTAAAAATAGCGACTTTTCTTATATAATTACTTACTAATTTATAATATCGTACGATATTTTTAAATATTTCTTAGTAAAATCGCGTATTTTTCGTAAAATACGGTAATTTTTTCGAGAGTTATACTCGCCTATTAGGGCGGCTCGACCCTAATAGATATCGCGGGTAGGGCTTAGATTTTAGATACTCGCTCGGGGCGCCCGTTAGGCTTCGGAATACCTACCTAGCCTAACCCTTAGGGTAGCCCTAACGCGGGTAGGGTAGGGCTAACCCGCGCCACTGCGCAGCCTAACTAGAGCTACCTAAACTACCTCTCTATACCGAATCGGATTCTCTTATATAGAAGTAGAAATAAATACTAGATAGAAAGAATAGAGACTATTAACGATAAATAGAACTATATTAATAATAGTCTACTCTAATATAACGACTTAACGATCGATTTAATAGAACGGTATTCTTATTAAATCGTCTATATTATAAGAATAAGCTTACGCTTTATTATCGGCTAAAGATATTAAGAGATTATCTAGAATTAATAAACGCTATAAAGAGATAAAGCCTCGCTTATAAGTAGAACGCTCTTAAATAAATATTACGAAGTAAAGATATAGAGATCTAGTTCTATTAGTAGAAGTCTTTATATAAATAATATACGGCTTTATATATAATAGAAACCTTAGAGAATATACTATAAATCGATTTTCTTACTACTATTAAACCGTTATACTCGAGTATAGTAGACTCGAAACTTACTAAGTTCTATAACTAAAGAGAAACTAAATATCTATCCTTATATAATCTCGTTAATATAGTTAAAAATATATATCGTAATATAAAGAATTTAATAATAAAAGCGGCTTTATATTCTATATTTAGCGTAATAAAAGAAGAAAAGAAGTAATAGAAGAAATCTAAATATATCTATAGATTTAAATACTTCTATAACGAGTATTATTATCTAAATTCTTCGAAGCGACCGAATAATTAGTCTTCTAATTCTAATATTAA